TGAAGTCTGTTTGCATTCCCATGTTGCTTTTCAATTGTACCTACAAGGCTCGTTGCTTCCGATACGCATGACAAGGTTGCATTCGGTAATGGTAATTCCATCCACTAATTGATGCGTTTTAAGGATGTGACTGGAAATCGGGAGGATCTCGCCCGTTAAAAGAAAAACCTTTTAAAACGAACTAGGGCGGGTGAACGTGTTAAGTATTGGCGGGATAAAGTGGATTTTTTCTTTATCACAAAGTTTTGTTTAACAAGCCCATACAAATATTTTGTTCATAATATCTGATGTGCAATGATTCTTTGAATGTATACCTTATTCATATAAGAACACGGAAAATTTGTATACTGGCCTGATGCCTTAAATGTATATGCCAACGCGGAAACATTTGTCATCATGTACATTCGGTATACATTCATCGCCCATTTGAGATGTTTATGTCAAATTCGATTACAGAAAAAACATGTATATCAAACTTCGGCGGGTTGAAGTTTCAAGTATTGGGAACTGAAAGTATTTGTGTCCACTGATGTGCACCTTTGCATGCAATCGTCTATTATTCGCGCAGATTCGGCGATTAGAGCGACTGCGTTTTGACAACCAGATTCTGACAGTCGGGCGCCTTCTATCGGGTCTTCTGTATAACCCGTTGTCTTACAAGCAAGCAAGGTACTCAGCCAAATTGGCCAATCAACAGCTTAGTCCACGGTCATTTCTGTTCGAAATGACGTCACAGTTTCTAAAATCGACTCCGATTGGCTTGCGTGCGGGGTCGCATAATGTGCATACTATTATCAGACGTTCGTTCCAGATTGTGGCTTAACACGACTCCGATTCTCAGACTACCAAAATTGCAGAAAATTCATGTGAACTACTGACCTAATGGTATGCGAAACATTCGTCATTATTGAAATTCGGCGCGTTCAATCGCGCTCATCTCCCAAATTGTGAACTTTTCACCGAACACTGATGAAGCCGAAATACGAAGAAAGAAAAAAGGAGGAAAACACGGAGATGCAGACCCCGCGAAATGTTTTCCATGTGACGAATGGACGAGCGATGAATGACATGCTGACGTATGAGGGATTATGTTTTCATACCAGGAAATCCATTTCATATCGCGCACTCGCTCGCCGCAGTGACCCGGGCCGGTCGCGGCGAGGCGGGGGCGGCCTCGTCGCAAAGTGACGGGATGCTGACGGGTATTAACGGTCTGGCTTGAGGCGGAGGAGGCCTCCGAAGGGTTCGCGTAGTCGAGTCCATCACAAGTCAACTCCAGTCCCAATTCAAATCACAAGCTATTCAAAAGAGCTTTGACAAAAGGCATTCCATTGTTATTGCTTACCCGTTGTTTCTGGAATTGTGACTGGTTTCGTATAATGGACTTGTGACGGACTCGACTAAGGTTTGTTCCTGAAATGACATCACACTTTTGCTCATGAATATGGAAATTTGGATCAGCATAAAAACCACAAACTCACCCAAACACCCTTGAAAATGGCACAACGAAAAAAATGAAGGTTAAATGGGACACAAGGTGCATTTTTCAAGAACTGTATTAAAAACAATCCATTGCATGGGTCCTTTAAAGAGCAATACAACGACTGTCATTTATTGTTCATTCCCGAATCACAAAAATGAATTACAATATGGAAATTTAAACTGCAAGTCTAAAGGACGATAAACCTCAGATATATACATTGTTGTAGTTCTACAGGAAGCAAAAACTCTAAGCAGTCATTTCACGATAACTGCTTAAAAGCATAGGCCCGAGTAGTCTTGGTCCATGCCTGGATTTGCTTTTACAGCCGGTCCGTGACAAGCGAGGTGGCTATCAATGAGATAAATCAAAATTGTTCTTGGGAATATTGGCAGCGCTACCCAGGAAATTTCTGAGAGTTATACTCACGCACGCTGTATTCAGCTTATGCATGCGCGTGGGGTATGTTCGGAATTTCATGGGCAGCGCTGCCAATATTGCCAAGACTGCATTTGATTCATCTGGTTGATCGAGACCTCCACCGCCACATCAACTTTACCGCTTTTATGACTGGACTGGCTGCAAAATAAGGGAATAAAAATTAAAATCCGGTCTTGAACCAAGGCTAAGGCCTGAGGGACATTTGTGTTAGTTCACGTTTATCAAGGAACTGATGACGGAATCGAAATAATTAGTTTCATGGAAAAATAATATATTTATATACATTATTTTTATTAAATTTAGATTTTTTGAATTACATTTTGCTATAATATTCAGTGAAAGAAACATTGATATTCTTTATAATGAAAAATGCGGATGTTTTGATTTTATTTAATTATATTTGAAACAAAAATCTTATTTAATTTCTTTTGTTTATATAAAAACATGTGTAATTGTGTAATATGTGTTTTAAAATGCGTAATTGCCACATTTTAGCATTATGCATCTTAAACAGATTCCTTCCCCAAACGGGCCTCATTTTAAGCTGTCCATTTTTAGGATATATTACCGACTTCAGCCAAACATGCATGAAAATTACTGTACAAGTCTGAGCTGCATGCAGCCTGTCTGGAAGTAATATGAGCAGACTATAACTCATCTGTCTAGAAGCGCCCGATCGAGACAGTCTGGGGCCTTGTGTTTCAAGAGAAGATGCAGTGATTTCAGCCGATGTATTCTGTACATCGTCGGCATTTCCTATAAGTGTTAATATATCAACAAAATGAAGGAGCTCATTTTTATTTTTTTATCTGTGTTAATTACACAAGACATGTTGCTATAATGCAAATCACCCTGTCGCCTGCTGGCGTCCATAATTATTTGCAGTTATTGGGCCTATATAGGCCCCTATTCAAAGTACGTTCGGTATATTTGCGAACTGATGGAGGAGCATTACAGATCTACCGGGGGGGGGGGGGGGGGGGGTCTAAATCCCTCCTTGTTGGACCGAAACAAAATCCATGCAGAAAAACGTAGCACATGCCTGCTAACCCCCACCCCATCCCGACAGCCTCCCCCACCCCTTGAGTCGAAGCCGGATACGCCCCTGGGCAGTGCACTTACATTAAATCTCATTCATTTTCAAGCTAATCAATTTTATTGGCGATTTTTTTTGTAAATTATACTTTGATTTCTTTTGTTATCCATCAGTTCATTTAGTAGGCCACACCTTGATACTTTAGTGTGAGGGCGCCCTCTGCCCAGCGGGTTGATAAATATGTCATGTCGGTTCAGTTCGAGTGTAACTATTATGTTAGAACTGTTTTAATATGGTAGAATACACTGTCTTGAAATATATAATTATCAAGAAAACCCTACAGAACCTGATATTAACCTGATCTTGCCAACGTACGAAGAGGAAATTAAATTCCCTAAAACTAATTAATTTAAGACTCCCCTTGTGTGTTTGGTACGTCATAAAACACGCAGGCCCATCGCTAAAATCCTTTACATTTGTCATATTGTGATCATCATTACAAATCTCGACGAATGATACATGTTCATAGAGCTACAGCTATGTTGAATTGTTTAATCATTTAACAGTAGCTAGCTATGGGCATTCTGCACTCTCATACGCGCCGCGCGCGACGTGACCAGAATGAAAACGATGAGGGCGCTCTGTAAAGTTAACAGGCCCGATATATTTCCCCTAGGCCTGCTGCCTTTAATAATTGATCGTCGAACTGTACGCCGCGCCACAAAATTATTTACCGAAACACTCAATGCTCAAATTCAAAAAAAATTCTACAGTCTACAAAATGCTGGAGCTTAATTATAATAAGCGCAGTTTTCATTTGGCTGGGGTGGGGAAGTGACGTTTTGGCGTGTACATAATTACTTGGTAAAGAAAACTAAGTCAAGGAGTAACTTTTTTTTTAAATAACAAGATTGGGTCAAGTCATTTAAACCTTAAAATATAAACAGATAGTTTAGCAAACCAACAAGCAACAAGTTCTTATTTTAGCCTTTCCGACAGGACAAGAAACGTATTTCAATTTTAAATCTCATGTTTTTTTAAAAACTGAAGCTCGACCAAAATACGACAAGCCGTCTAAAATGGAACAAATTGGCCTCTTATATACATGGTTGCTGTGGGCCTGCAGCCCAGCACACTACTAGTAATAATAGTACTCCAGCCAATGGACGTAATTTCACGTAATGCTAGCGCAACATCGTCGCAACATGTACACGAATGAGTTATTGTTTTGCGAACACGGATTCGCTCTAGGTCACGATAGCTGCCATTATAGCTGGCATGGTTGGGCCTACAATTTTTTGGTTGTCATCCGCATGGGGGTCTTACGACGCCATTAACCTTTTTCGTGTGTTTAAGACAACTTCAAAAACTCAAGCACAACTTACGTTCGAAGTTCCACACTCTCCATCCAAACTTAACTCCGAATCCATCAGCACAAGACACTCATTGCCTCATTGTCTATGCATAACTTGCTGTTGCTGTGATTAAGTTTTCCTTTCGCATGTACAGGCCGCCTGACATCTCTGACAAAATAATAGCTTTGCGAGTTTGCGCTGCGCTGCGGAACGGTTTATGCAGCAAATCGCCCAGCAGACGATCTCCACGCGAGCTCCCATTGGCTAAGAAAGTTTCTGCAAGGTAGGGCTCTTTCATATGCTAATGAGCTGACGTGCCGGGGTTAAGAAACTTTTTAGCCTTTTTTCGAAACTGCGGCTTCAACTTGAATTCAATCATGTTTTAGGAGATTTTTTGGCCCCGACGTCCGACCTGGGGTTCAAGTCTGACTCAACATATGTCCATATATATTCTGCGTCTTCAATATCATAATAGCAGATTAAATCTTCGATTGTTTTCATTTAGTTTGCATATTATTGAAGCTTTGAAATTATTCTGAAGCCAAAAATGAACTCGGACAGCAATAAAGCCGCCGTTTCGGAAACCCGCGAAGTTGCAATGGTCAGGTTGAGGGCGCTATATAAGGTTAATGGACCTCATTATTCTTTAATAAACTTGTACAAGTCAAGTACCTTTTCAATGACCCATCTCACGTGCACAACACGCGTGGTTGTTGCCTGACAAGCAGAACAGATTTACTAAGAACCACAGGCCAAGTCTATTCGGGAACCACACCGTCGACTTCTTGAGAACTCGAGTGAGAACTCTATCGCTGACTGTTGTTTTTTTCATTTTTGGGGCCTGGCGGCCATCAAAAGTTACCTTTGATCATGGGGATTTTAGAGAAGATAGCAGAAGTCGAGAGAGAGATTGGAAGGACTCAGAAGAATAAGGGTAGGTGTATTTTTTATCCAGTGCCTGATTGTTCTAGACTTTAGCGCTGCACCAATTTCGTGAAAAAAATAGAATAGGCTACACTATTTCATGGACACATGGAGCTATGTTTTGACAAAAGTTTGGCAAGTTTATGCTACAACTGCAAAAAAGCTTTGGACTTAGTAGAAGTTTTTTACATTTGATACCATGCAAATCAATGTGTTTTCGTGCATTTGCGGTGCGTCACGGCATGCCATGGTCACGGTGATCGCCATCTTTATTTTCATGTTGAGTTTTTTCATCTTTGTCGTCACTTTTAGTTTTATCCCAAAATTTCCCTAAAAAAATAAAAACTGTGCCCTCTATCAACGACACTCCTAAATGGTTTTAAATGTCGCTAAACTAGTTTGCTATAAGTCTGACAATCTAAAAATGGGGATATAGGAACAGGGCCCATAACTTCACAAACGCCATTTTTTGGGGGGGGGTGTCACTCATTTTAGGTTAGCCTGGTTATCTTGGGCCCAACTTATCACCTTCTTAACATTTGGACATGGTCTGGCGATAGGGCCCAAGTTTGAATGTCAGACATGGCTTTTCAAATAATCAAAAAGGCATATATAGCCCTAACAGTCCTGAATCCTCCAATTTCAATACGATTTTGCACACCCCTAGGGAGTTAGGGTTAGTAAAATATATTATATTTAGTAGTCTGATGTTTTTGTTGGAAAATGGTTGGGTCGTTAATTATTTGAAACGCCATGTCAATGACATTCAACTTGGGCCCAGACTATGTCCAAAATGTTAAAAAGGAGTTAAGTTGGGTCCAAGTTACTTGGGCTACTTTAAGGTGATATTTTTTAGGATTGATGTTGATTTTATTTCATATTTTGTTTTCCTTGACTTCAGCCACTGAGTACCATCTGGGTCTACTGAAGGCAAAACTTGCCAGGTATCGAGCACAGCTGATTGAACCCACGACCAAAAGCGGTCCTAAGGTATTTATCTTACTTGCATGGGTGACAATCCCTCATTCCACCCCATTGAAGCATGAATAAGGCGAAGTAAAAAAAAAACATGTTTAGCGTCCCCGCCCGCTTCCTTTTTAGAGGCCGCCTCCTTTTTTTTTTTTTTTTTTTTTTTTTAAAAGACAAAAATTGATAAGTTTTAACGATCTCTGACGAAAGAAATAGTATTTTTAGACTTTTATACTGTGTATAAAGCTGTGGAAATAGTCAATGAGTCCAAGTGGCGGCCATTTTGAAAAAAGCTGGTAACCATCTTGAAAAATAGCCCGGCCGCGTTGTCTTGAAAAATGTGTCGGGCGGCCATTTTGAAAAGAAAAAAAAAAAAAAAAAGGGCCTCCTCCTTCCTTTTTGTCAAAGAGGCAGGACGCTAAACATGTTTTTTTTTTTATTTTGCTTAACACTCTAGAATGTTCTTACCACTGCTCGATCCGAATATGTCTTCAGCGTTTTCTTTGTCTACCCTTCTTCAGGCTTTTGAGCCTTGCACTTGAACCTTTTTGAGAAACCTTTCATTCATTACCTAAAATTAACATAAAATAAAGCACATTTTAGTGTTTAATGTAAAATTTTAACTTGTATCGTCCAATAGGGGGAAGGCTTTGATGTGATGAAATCTGGAGATGCCAGAGTTGCTCTGATTGGTTTCCCATCTGTTGGCAAGGTAAAGTCACCAGATTTTTTTTTTTGAGGAAGTATAGCCCAGCCCTTTACAGTACATTGGAAGTGAAAGTACATAAAATGTGCCGCTGAGTTCATATAAAGTGCGATGAAAACAAATTGGGGAACTTCTATCGGAAACATTTAAGGTTTAGAGTTAAAAAGGCAGTACATGCAAAGCATTACTTTAAACTTTCAAATTCCCCTAAAAAGAAAACAACATTGCTTTGGCAAAAAAACAAAAAAAACATGTTTAGCGTCCCTTCCCGCTTCCTTTTTGGCCGCCTCTTTTTTAAATTTTTTTTTAAATTTAGTTAAAAAAAAAAAGCCCATATAAAGCTGGTATGTCATTTCCTGAGTCCAAGTGGCGGCCATTTAAAAAAAAAGCTGGCTGCCATCTTAAAAAATAGCCTGGCTGGTCATTTGGAAAATGGGTTGGGCGGCCATTTTGGAAAGAAAAAAAAAGAAAGAAAAGGGCCTCCTTCCTTTTTTTAAAAAGGTACGACACTAAACATGTTTTTTATTTTACTTGGCCTTACATAATGTGTTGCCAATTCGGACGATTCACAATGCAGTGCGCCACCAAGAATTTGCTACGGAGAGTTCATTTTTCCCAGTGCATTGTGGGAGATGGTCGACAAATTCGATGCGCGGGACATTTGAAATTGTTAGTTTTTTCGGTCAGTCATTTCTTTTCTTGTTATCAATATGGCGTTTTTGTTAGGCGGCAGAACGCTATGCCCCAATCTATGACATAATTAGCTCAAGTTGTCTACCGACACTCATGCAAATGGGCCATGTTATGTCGACCGTAAACTTGAAAAATGGACTCTCCGTGGCAAACTCTTGGTGGCGCACTGCATTGTGAATCGCCCGAATTGTATTCCTTGTACACATGTACACGTGTTTGTCATTTATATACTGTATTCAACTTAAAATTGAAGGTTTTGTTCGCCTTAAAAAAGTAGATTTTGTTGGTAGCCCTTTAGAGATTAGTTCTTAAAGGGAATGTACATCATTGGCTTTTGCTGTAATTTTCAGAAATGAACTATTTGATGGATTAGTATAATAGATCAAATATTGTTACACTGACATTTTTGAAGTTTTGTGTTTGAAAATGCTGGAAAAGCCATGGAAAAAAAAAATGTTCAAGTAGTCTGGTTCCCTGACTCCACTTAAGATGAAATGGATCAATTTATAGATGCCGGAAAATTGTAAGGTAACGGAACCAGTCTAGCTGGCCTGCACCCGTTCATGAACATGTAACCAATAGCAAACAAAATTTTGACTGAAAAAATTGGTAAATTTGGAGCAGTAGATGAAAAATAGTTAGGTTTTTCCAACGGTGGTCGGCCAACCACAGTTGGAAATTTATACAAAAATACCATTTTCTTGAAAATGACTTCACACCAGGTGCCATAATTTTACAGGATGCTTTAGACTGTCATTAACCAACATCCTAGTAAGGTATTTCGTAAAAACTTGGTAGTTTTATTTGTTGATGTTTGCAAATGTTGTATATTTCCTTTAAGCCATATAACATTTGTGATTGTTACCTTCATGTATTAGTCCACTCTTCTGAACACACTCACCAAGACGCACAGCGAGTCGGCATCCTATGCTTTCACCACCTTGACCTGTATTCCCGGGGTCATTGAGGTGAGTCGAGGTCATTGTTTCCCCTCAAGTTTATGGTTACTTTAACCCTAACTCCCTAGCATGATTTACTAGGAACCACACCCATCCTGGCAAATTCCTACGCCCATATGGGAAACTGCGCACACATATTTCTGACTTTGATTCTGGAGGTGTGCCAACCCGATGTAAAAGACTGTCAGTTTAGGGGTACTGTACCCATCCTGACAGATTCCAACAAAACATGCCGTTGGGGTTTGATGGGTTGAGTTGTGTCAGGTTTAATGAATCACTAACCCCCTAGTAGTTCCCCAGGACTACCCTACTATAAATCTAACAGAGTCTGACAGTTACCCATATGAGTTTCCTGCTCAATCCAACGCAGTCCCACACAATCCAACTTGCCAAGTTGTTGGGTACCTGAACATATCAAATGACTGGCATGCTCAATCCAACAGAATCCAACTGGGCCTTATTTTTCTGTTTCCTGCTGGATCCAACAGAGTCCAACTTACCGTTATTTACCAGTACCCAACAGAAACTGACTCTGAATGTTTTCAGTAGCATGCTGAATCCAACAGATTTCAACAGGAATATATACAAAGGGTTTACTGCTCGATCCAACAGAATCCAACAGAAGTGTAAAATAGTTGGATCATGTTGGATTGAGTAGGGTTAGTGTATTAAAAAAGTGACCTTACTTGACAAAAGTGCCTTTAAATCTATATCCACACAGGCTGTGACAAACCTTGCACTCTGTGGTTTGGGTGTGTTTGTACTTTTCAGAAAGAGCGTTTACAAATAGTTTTTTCTCTTTTAAGTCTTTGTGGACATAATTGCCTTAATTAGGCAGAAGTAAAACAATGCGTTATGACGTTTGGTTCGATATGTTTTGGCTTGTTGGCTTGTTGTCTCTATCGAATGCCATTTTGAGCCGGTGTATCGACTCACCACAAAGATATTACAGAATAGTCATTGAATGTTAAAATTTATTTTTATGCCATTTGCTTTGTTGCTTATTTTTCCCCTCAGTACAACGGTGCCAACATCCAGCTGCTGGATCTTCCAGGAATCATTGAAGGAGCTTCTCAAGGTGACTTAAAAAAGAGTTTATTTGCCGAGTAGAAATTGCTTGATAAAACATTCAAATGAGTAGCTATAAGTGCTCTTAGTCTTAAAGAGGTTGTGGAATGCTCGAAGACATTTCCGTCATTTTTTGGGTATATGTAGCCTAAGGTGTGATGAAATAAAAACGACTATTGTTTCTGTCATGAAATGAGTACAAAGGTTACTTTTGAGAGTTATTTTTCAGGTCCTGTTTCGACCCGAACGTGCAATTTGTAAAAAGTCGTCGTTGCGGGCAGCAAACAAAACACAGCAAATCGTGACGTAATAAACAGGACTCGTTTATGCTACTCTGCATCGGGAGTCCTGTTTATTACGTCACGATTTACTGTGTTTTGTTTGCTGCCCGCAATGACGACTTTTACACAAATTGCACGTTCGGGTCGAAACAGGCATGACAGGACTTGAAAAACAGCTCTCAAAAGTACCTTTTGTACTCATTTTATGACAGAAACAATAGTCGTTTTTATTTCATCACACCTTAGGCTACATATACCCGAAAAATGACGGAAATGTCTTCGAGCATTCCACAACCTCTTTAAAGACATCATAGTTGTAGTCACGTCCTATCAAAGTCGTCACAAGTCCTCTGTTGGCCCTCCCTCTCTGGCTGGCAGTTTCAACAAGGCCAGCCCAGCAGTCAAAAATAAATACAAGTGACTGTTCTTAAAAAGTTGAGTGCTCCCTGCCTTCACAAAGCAGGATTGACTGGCTGTGATTGTTATGAAACCTGATATAACTATGCTTTGGCTGCAGGAGATTGATAAGCCAGCTGTGCCTACCAGTCACCCACTTTTGTCTGGTGATGGAATTTGACTGCCACAGTGCTTATGAGAAATATGGTTTGACTGTTGGAGTGCTTTCGAGCGTGTTACTCTTGACTTGCTACTCCCGAGTGCAAGAAAATGTTGTGTGCGCATTACTCTCGGTGCCTGAGTATTCTCCTGGCCCGAGTAGCTTACTTAACTCAGCACTGAAATTGAATAAGGCAAGGAACTTGGCCACAGTGTCCAAAAATGTTGTTGTGATCAATTGACAATTGTGTAGTGATGCGTGACTGAAATCAAATGAAACTCATAGGGGTTGAGGCTGAGGCTTAAAGCTATAGTCCATCATTTGCAGCCATCCGAAAAGTAACTGGCGTAATTACTGTTGAAAAACACACTTGGTTGAAAGATAGTAAGGGAACTAAACTCCCTGTGAAATTATTCTTTCTGGGAAGCGGTCATTTTGAAGTAAACAACGAAAGAAGGCATTTCCAACGGTGCTTCTTAAGAAGCACCGTAGGGAAATTTAAATTAGTAGTTCGTTTTGTTATTCAGCGCAGCGCGCACAAGTATTGGAACGACGCACATGCGCGCGCGGTTGTTATAATTCGTCGGATCAGTGCGCGACGCCGCGTATAGCTGCAATTCAAAACAATTCAAAACATGATTCAGTAACTTTTGATTTGAAATTGAGATCTTAGAATGCTGCTTTTCTCGGAATGTACAGCTGAAGCTTAGCTGAAACTTCATCAGGTTAGTTGCTCAGTATCCTTCATTAGATTTTGAACACTTGTGTTGCTTCAAACGAACAAAATGCACTAATTACAAATGATGGACTATAGCTTTAAGAGTATCTGCACAACCAACAATTTTCAAAATTGACCTCATGGTTTTGTAGTTATTTCAAAAGTAGTCAGACGATCACTTACTGTAGAAACCATTCAGCCAGCAGCTTTTTATCCTGATTTGTTACTTGACAAGGTAAGGGTAGAGGTCGTCAGGTCATCGCCGTGGCGAGGACGGCTGACGTGGTCATCATGATGCTGGATGCAAACAAAGGAGATGTACAAAGGTTGGTTTCATGCTATGTTTTATTTTATTTTTAATTTTTTCTGTGATTTAAAGGCACGCAGGGACATTGGTAATTATCCTGACATACCTGCTGTATTAATGGGAAAATCCTTGCTCAGAATGAAAGACTTATACCACACATCCTGTGAAATTATTCCTCCAGAAATGGTTCCAATTATTGGAAAAAAGGTGGTTAAAAACAAGTGTGCCTGTAGACAATGTGCATAAAGTGGAACGTTGCTACACTGAACACCCCTACTCTGAGCATTCGGCTTTACTGAACATCGTGCTTGGCTGCTGATTTTTGTGTATGCTGTTGAAAAATGTTAGCAGAAGAGCCACAAGTGACTATTATTTCCCCAAGGAATAGAAAGGGAAAGCCGACCATTGCTATAAGTAGTAAGCTCAAAAACTGTAATTGTATAATTCAATAGTTGGCACGCGTTCATACTCATCTTTCAGTAACTATCAGGGCTTGCAGGGTGAAGTTCTGAAGGGCACTATTTATTGAAAAGTGAGTACTGGAGCACCGGTAGCTTAAAAGCACTATACTGAATGATCATTATTACGAACAATTTCTGTGGATCCCGCGATGTTCATTAAAGCGGCGTTCCACTGTACATTATGTGATTTCTGTGTGGTTTTTTTTCAAAAATATGTAGCGGTCACTGAGGTTAACTTTTCAATAGGTTAGTTGTTATGCACCCTATGTAGGATTTCTAGCAATGTTGTTGCTTCAGACGCAACACCAGTGTTGTAGTCGAGTCACCAATGTCGAGTCCGAGTCTCGAGTAACAAGCCTCGAGTCAGAGTCCGAGTCTCGAGTCATAAGCTTCAAGTGCGGGTCCGAGTCTCGAGTCACAAGCCCCGAGTCCGAGTGTCGAGTTACAAGCCTCGAGTCTGAGTCCGATTCTCGAGTCACAAGCCTCGAGTCCGAGTTGGAGTCACAAGCCTCGAGTCCGAGTTGGAGTCAAAAGTCACTTGTTCTTAGTTCCGAGTTGGAGTCAAAAGTCACTTGTTCTTAGTTGTTCACCAAACTAATCAAAATGTTTTCAAATTTTTTTAGAGGAAATCCCACTGTATGCAGTGTACCTTGTGTGTGTACATGTTGTTTAGACCCAAAACGTGTTTTCCTTTTAATTCATATCCCTAAAAAAAACCTCTTCCATGATACCAGACACTTTTTGGCATGACACCGGGGCCTGGTGCTCGTCGTGCAGGCACTAGGCGTGCGTGCGCTGCCCCCTGGATGTGATTTTTCGCGTCGCCGTGTTTTGTCTATGAAGTAAAAAAGAATGCTACGTTTGTCACACAAATACGTAACGTTATGTTTTTTTCTTTTAATAAAAAATTTGTGACTCGAGTCTCGAGTCACCAAGCTCGAGTCCGAGTCATCATGGTCGAGTCTGAGTCCGAGTCATTTTCTAATGCGACTCCAGTCACGAAAAATGTGGCTTGAGTCGGACTCGACTCGAGTCCTACATCACTGCGCAACACTTTACAAAGAGCAAATGATCACGTGTATCTTTATATGCACAAATCTGCAAAAGATCGTGTGTTAGCATCTCATGTATGTGGATATCTCAGTTGGTACAACTGCTGAACAAGGCCCAATTTCATAAAGGATTGGTCCCAGGTCTCTGATACATTCTTTGTTTGTTTTCCTTGCGTTCTTTTGCCCAGGCAACTACTGACGCAGGAGCTGGAGACTGTCGGCCTGAGACTGAACAAAGCCAAGCCAAACATATACTTCAAGGTGAGATTGCTCATAGCTTTCCTATCTCTGTGTTTGTGGAGCATTGCATACTAACAATATCACTTTTCAAGTGAAAAAGGTTTAGTACCAATAGTAGAGATATCATACAGTATGTCCCAAAAAAAGTATCCGTCTGCCTTTTTTTTGGAGATAACTACAAAGCCATGAAGTCAATTTTGAAATTTTTTTTATTGTGCAGATACTCTTTATCCTTGGCTCCCATCCCTACGAGTTTCATTTTGTTTCAGTCACGCATCACTGCACAATACTCAATTGATCACAACAACATTTTTGGACACTGTGACCAAGTCCCTTGCCTTAATCACTTTCAGTGCTGTGTTATTGATGAATTGTGAAGGATCTTGCAGAGTTCGGTTTTTCATTGATTTATATATTTATTTATACAGATAAAGAAAGCCGGGGGTTTATCGTTCAACTCCACGCTGACGCTCACCAAGTGTAACGAGAAGCTTATCCAGTTAATCCTACACGAGTACAGTATCCTTTACTGGCAGTGCCAAGATACGTTTGATTTATTGCCACCTCACGGCGTAGGGCTCTTTCACGACCCAACCTACATCCGGGTACTGCAAAGTCAGTGTCTCTTTTGTAGTAGGCAAGCCTTTAAAGCTGTGATGGGTGACAAAAACTGAGAAAACACGAAGCCAACACCGAAGCCAGTGCAGGTCGGCATGATTATGACAACCATATTACTGCAATGATTAGTGGCTGAATATGGGAAAACTGGATGGTTACGTGGTACTTTGGCGTCATACAATAGGCCTAAGACGTAATGACGTCATACTTTGTTTACATGTGCACTTTCCTATGTAGTAGACGGACCCCACTTTATCTGGTGTCCCGACTTCGCTCCCATAGGAAAGCGCATATGTAAACAAAGCCATTACGTCATTACGTCTCAGGTCTATTGGAACCATAGATTTGAGCAATTTTGTTATTTAATTGTTTCAGGCTTCGTAACTGGTTGAAAAATTATTAAGGCCCCCCAAAAAAATTTCTTCCGATTACATGGCATTCAATAATAGGGTAGGTAAGTAGGGATTTTTGGCCAATTTTTTTTGTGTACGATCATATGGAAGCGTCTGCATGTAGTCAAGGGTAAAAGGTAAAAATTGATGGTTTTACGTGGTTTTATTTCTCATTTCCCTCCCAAAAAAATAGGATAGGGGCTGTCAGAATAATGTAGGTAGGGAAACTGGAAGCAGAACAATATTTTTTTTTTTGGCCTGAGCTGTCAAAGTCTTCTAAACATGCAAAATATGTAAATCGGTCACAATTTTCAACGATAGGGTTTTTTTCCTTAGCTTTTTCCTCAGAAATTTTCAATGCCGAGGTTCTATTCAGGGACGACTGCACACCGGATGAGTTCATAGACGTGGTGGTCGGAAACAGAATATACCTGCCTTGTATATATGTGAGTACGGGAGAAAACTGAATTTTCGCATATACGTCGTGTACACCGAGCAGAATTGCCATTCATACATATGAATAATTAATTAGCCATAATTTAAAACCCTTTGACCTATAGTCATGAAATTTCTTGGGCATGTTTAGGAAGAGTTGCTCTATGCATGTGGTGAGTTTCAAAAATTTTCGTCACTCGATGGCCGAGATCTTAGGGGGGGGGCGGAATCCGCCCCCCCCCCCCCGGCTGAGAGATGGTCAAAATAACCCGGCCCCTTTAGGGTTAACACAGCCCCAACATATCTCACGTAGGATTGAGAGTCTGAGACCAACCAGTGTGTCGTTGGCATACCGATCCATCGCATTGGCGTCAGCTTAATTTACCACTTCGCGTGGGGATTGTTTTTTGCCGAAAATTTTGATTTTCGCAAAAGGCAAAATTTTCCAGCCAACTTCTGATACACAGCCAAACGCCACAAATACCGATTCGCAAGAGTCATTTCAACAGTATTTGAACGATATTTCTTGCCGAAACCTAAGTTTCAATACTACGGGGTGTGCACTGGAGCGTAAATTGTCAAACAATTGGCCGTGCTTAACTCCTTAAGGACGGGTTATAATGGGGACATTCCTCCACACATAGAGCAAGTGGCCCGCATGACTGCACAGCCTTTGTGTGGTAGCGGGACTGCACAAAAGCAGCAGCTGTGGAACTACCCACTAGCCGTGTGCCACGGCATACCACAGCTGGCAACTGCATTCCAATGAGGATTAGCGGCCGCGGCCATGACCGCTTCCCGTGCGCATGGGGTTAACGGCCAATTCAAGATCAACCCACGGTCCGCCTCTACAGACTTCACGGACTTTGTGTGTGTGTGTACAAAACGCACGAGGGATTGGCGTGTTTAGATGTCACCCGGAGGCGGGTCGATGCAATCTTGACTGTGTGATCACACACAGGCAATTGTGTTGGATGCAATAGGTATACATCATGTGGAATACGCACAACTAATAATTATAATTCATATATTGTAGCGTGGTTAGGTGCCGCAGCGAGACAAACAAATAACTTGGTACAGAGCGAAGATGTAATAGGCTTCAAGTAAATTAATTTATTTAGAAAGATCGGATCTGTCTACTTATTTCTACTACTAATTACTTCTAATTTTAGGGGCAACTTAGCGCTATGATTCAAGTTCTTTAAAGCTATAGTCCATCATTTGCAGCCATCCGAAAAGTAACTGGCGTAATTATTGTTGAAAACCTACTTGGTTGAAAGATAGTAAGGGGACTAAACTCCCTGTGAAATTATTCTTTCTGGCAAGCTGTCATTTTGAAGTAATCAACGAAAGAAGGCCTTTAGGAAAATTTAAATTAGTAGTTCGTTTTGTTATTCGGCGAAGCGCGCGCAAGCATTGGCACGACGCACACGCGCGTGCGGTTGCTATAATTCCACGGATCAGTGCGCGACATCACGTATAGCTGCAATCGGCTCAGTGAGAACGTGTCTCGGACGCTGAATTCAGGCCCAATTCAAAACATGATTCAGCAACTTTTGATTTAAAATTGAGATCCTAGAATGCTGTTTTTCTCGGAATATACAGCTGAAGCTGAGCTGAAACTTCATCAGGTTAGTTGTTCAGTATCCTTCATTAGATTTTGAACACTTTTGTTGCTTGAAACGAACAAAATGCACAAATTGCAAATGATGGACTATATCTTTAATTAAAGTACTGAATAAAGGAACTTGTAGAATAAATGCAAGGAAAACAATTCATTATGAGAAATTACAAAGGGCGGGGCTTGGTGATGGTTGCAGTGAGTGGGGTAGCTTATGGTAAAAGCACCATAACTCTACTCCCAACCCAGGGGGAATTAACTAAGTTGTCCTGCACTACAACTTACTTGGTCATTACTTCAAGGCTTTCCTTGTCACGCCCAGGCAAAACCTGCCCAGCCCTCCACAGACGACCTATCCCTAGCACAGCACCCAGCAGACTGAAGCACACATGGCTAGTTCAAATTCCATGCACATGGGGCTTACAATAGAATTATGCAAATAAGAGGCCTGGCTGGACTGATACACACTCAGCTCAGGGGGTGTGATGGATGAGAGGGGCAGGCTAAACCAAAAATAGGTGGGGAGTCGGGTTGGCGTAGCGGTACTTTCCCTGCCTTCCACCGCTGTGACCCGGGTTCGAATCCCGCCTGGGTCAATTTGTCGATTGGGTTTTCAGTCCCTGCCTGATTCCATGGGTTTTCCCCAGAATATCTTCTGGGCTTTTCCTCCCACCTCTAAAACTGCACTTTCTTCTCATTGTCTTCTCTCTAAGTTGGTGTGATGTTTCCCCTGGGATGCTTTACCAACTACAATGATACAGATACACTAATGACGAAAGGCTATTTTCATTACAATATGATGTGCATTAATTCGCAGTGACTTTATGTTGGTCATATTTCTTTTTTGACTCCGTAGACCTTTATCATGCTGCCACCATTTTAGTCATGTTCCCTGCATCCAATAACAGTACGGAATGATAATGCGTTTTGTGCAAAAAGGAACCAGACTTATTTTTCCTTCCAGCCTCGCTTTGGTTACATTGATTTGAATGGGAAAAAAATCAAGATGGCGGCAACACGATAATGGTCTATTGAGGGGGTACTCTTGCACCAAGTGTATAGCATGAATCATTTCTGGAGTATCTTCGGAAGTGTCTCCTAAATCAGCTCTTCGGTATCTTTTAGACCATCAGCCTCGGTCCAAAATTTTGGCCACCGATATCAAATGAGGGGAATAATCGTCATAGCGATTTTTGGCAAGGTATACACCTCCAGAGTTGGAAAATATGTGATAGCATTGCAGCGGTGGCAGCTTTTTGGGTGTTATCACCCTTTTTTTCAAAATGTCCATCAAAATGCTTGTTACCACTCTAGGGGCGGTATACCTTGCGCCTGCGCACTATAATCATTTATGCCCTGATTTGAAACTGGCCAAACCCCCAGGCTGATGGCCTGTTTATTGTGATCGCTTTCCTTGAGTATTTATTATAATTTTTTTTCAAGAAAAAGTAGCTTGATTGTACTTCCAATATTAATTTTTCAAAAGGTGTATAACAAGATAGATCAGACGTCCATAGAGGAGGTGGATCGCATTGCTCACGAGCCCAACAGCGTGGTCATCAGCTGTGAGATGAAGCTGAATCTAGACTACCTCCTGGAGACGACGTGGGAGTATCTCAGCCTTATATGCATCTACACCAAGAGGAGAGGAGGTAAGGTACCAGACCTTGTAAAGGTTTTGGCCATAGTGTAGTGAAGAATCAGCCAGATTTCAAAAATGGAAAAACAGAAACTTGGAATCGGAAGTTTTGAGAAGTTAACAGTGTCGCTACATGTATTTTGTGGATGTGAAATTTGAAATTCTATGGATTTTAAAATTGGTAACAGAAACTTGAACCTCAAATTTTGGGACTGAATTTTAAGATTTGGTATGAGCATACTGACCCATTGGTGGTCGGCAACAGTTTAACAAGAAAACAAATATGTATGTGTATCGAGGTTTGACTTTTTTTTCACAACCGGGCCACTGAAACAGACTCTTAACAAGCCCGCAGGCATTTTCACTAGCCCGCATGTTTTTCTTTAATAGGGTCTCATAAACAATGTGCATACATGTCAATCGTGTATCCTGAGGCAATCTTGTCAGTGTTTTTAATTAACAGATCTGATAATTTAACCCTAAACAGTTAATACAATTAAAGACAAATTGATACAGGTTTGCTTTCTGAATTTAATGATTCATTTTTTCCTGTCCTTTCACCTTTGCCATAGCCCAATCATTTTTGACTCGACAGCTGGGCTACTTAAAGATATAGCCCATCATTTGTAATTTGTGCTTTTTGTTCGTTTGAAGCAAAAAAAGTGTTCAAAATCTAATGAAGGATACTGAACAACTAACCTGATGAAGTTTTAGCCGAGCTTCAGCTGTATATTCCGAGAAAAACGGCATTCTAGGATCTCAATTTCAAATCAAAAGTTACTGAATCATGTTTTGAATTGTTTTGAATTGCAGCTATACGCGACGTCGCGCACTGATCGGACAAATTTTAGCAACCGCGTGTGCGTCGTGCCAATGCTTGCGCGCGCTTCGCCGAATAACAAAACGAACTACTAATTTAAATTTTCCTACGGTGCGTCTTAAGAGGCACCGTTGGGAAGGCCTTCTTTCGTTGATTTACTTCTAAATGACAGCTTCCCAGAAAGAATAATTTCACAGGGAGTTTAGTTCCCTTACTATCTTTCAACCAAATTTGTTTTTCAACAATAATTACGCCAGTTACTTTTCGTATGGCTGCAAATGATGGACTATAGCTTTAAGGAATAGTTCGACTAGCCCACCGCTGTTTTGCCTAGCACTTGGTTAGCGGGCTTACCACTGAAGTAGAACCCTGCGTGTACTCTGTGTGCTTTGGGTCAACCAGCAGCTCTGTACTTAATATCTAATTTGTTGTTTTCTTTCCTCTTTTTCAGAGAGGCCAGATTTTGAAGGAGGAATTATCATGAGAAAAGGCTGCACAGTGGAACACGTCGTAAGTACACTCATGTGAAATTTTAGAGGTAGAGTTCTGCACTACTGCTTTGAGAAAAACTCATGTTCAAAAACTGCACAACTTTTTGAATCTGCTGATGTAAATTTATTGTTTTTCTTCTTCTGCAGTGCCACGCTATACACAGAACTCTCGTCAGCAACTTTAAGTTTGCTCTTGTATGGGTAAGTCGTTCTCAAGAACTCCGAGCAGACTTTTACTCACATGTTAAGAAGTTGCAAAATGAAGTTTACAAAATACTAAACATAAAGACGTGCAGAAAATAAAGCTGTGTACTATTTTTCCGGGGAAGGGGTGTACTTTTGGTCACGTATTCAGACATGGGGGGAAAAAGAAGTTGTGGGTATTTCGGAACACGCTGTTGTGTGTTCTTGATGTTGCAGGGCCCAATTTCATAGCACTGCTCAACAGTAAGCAGAAAAGTTGTGCTTACTATAGCAGAAAATCATGCTGCTGCTTAAGCACTATTTCATGCTAACGGTTGCGCGCACATGGAGATTTCTATTGTTACGTCACTGATTTAAGCAAAGTTTTTTTCTAGGGTTAAGCCTGCTTTTGCTGTGCTTACTGCTTAACGGTCCCTATGAAATAGATGGAGGCTCGGTAATCACAAAGTCGGCTGTTAAGCAGCACTATGAAATTGGGCCTGGTTTAAAATCACTCCCTGGAATTTTTTTTCAACCTTGTATTTGTATATTTTAATATTGTATTTGTTTATCTTTGTAGGGTTGCAGTGTTAAGTACAGCCCTCAACGAGTTGGCCTGCAGCATGTCATGAGCCATGAAGACGTCATACAGGTCATGAAGAAATAAAAGATTCAGATCCTCGGATTAGAATTTAACATATGTGGGGTGTCAGTTATTTAGTTTAACAATACCCTTTCCTCTCTGGACTTGTCTTTATTTTCTCCTCAAACTTCCTGCTTTTTGCTCTAAGCTTGCTTTTACAATTTATCACAGCCCAAAAGTAAAGACACAAATGGAAGAATTAGATTTTACATTTTTTTGGTAGAATTCCTTCTTTTTATGGCCCAAATAAATAAATAAAATTTAAAAAAGGAGAGAAGCTAATTTACAGAAATTTGAAGCTACTAAGGTTTTGTGTACATTTGAGGGGGGGGGGGGGGGGGGAGCACAATATGAGGTACATTTAAAAGCTCACAGAGTGTGTAAGTATACATGTATACATGTAAGTACATATCAAGTACATGTACATTGTACTGGGATTTGGGGTAGTTTTCTCAAAAGTCTCTATGATAAATTATCACAGTTACCATAAAAATCTTGAACTTTAAAATGACGAGAAGTATGGATGCAGAGGTTTACGAAATAAAAAAAAAGACAGAAACTTTAGTTTTTCAGTGTTATTCTGTTCTTAATTTGTTCATCCAGTTTGTTTATCCAACACGCTTATACAATTTACATTAATGCCTAATACGGCAGTGTTTCTAATATATTAAACAAGGCCGGAACAGTTTTCAACCAGTTCAAAGTACGGTAGTGGACTCGCAGACAGTTTCTCGTGGACTATACACACTATTGTTCAGAAAGAATTCATGTGCGACTGAAATTATTAACCAATGAGATTCTCAATGCAAAAGCAATGCTGAAAAAATTGCCTTGCAATTTGACTGACAAAATACCGGACTTTCTATGGCATTCTCAAGAAATTATACTTGTACAAACTGATAAAGTCCAAACAAAGTTATTTTGGGCAAACGATAAATTTATAAGCAAGGAAATAAAGAAGGATATTTGTATTATCAAGCCCCTTTGGTACTTTTACAAGGAAACGTTCTGTTAAAAAGAATACACGAGAAAGTGTGGATTCGTAATTTAAGAAAAGAATCCACACTTGCGAGTGTATTCTTGGACTTAAACCATTGCGTCATAAGAAGTATTGGCATTAACAGTGAGTGGAGATGAAAGGACTTGAGAAAAATGTTGCAACCTGACGCCACTTCGGCGATTGTGTACAAAGTCTATGGAGAGTCAAGAATTTTTTTTAAGTATTTCCTAACAAAATTGGAAATATTTTTCAGTCCCAGATTCATGTCTTGTCATCATTTTTGCAATGAATGACCTTCATTGAGATGATATATGAAGAAAAAAGTGGCGTCAGGTTGCAATATTTTTCCCGGCTCCTTCCGTCGACATATGGATAGTTCAGACGATGATTTCTTTCCAACTCGAAGTAGGTTTGCATATGACGGTGGAGAATCTGACAGTGAAGATGCATTGGTAATTTCGGAAGGAAATTTTCACGCATACGGTCCTATTAATTCTCATTATGGAGAACAATTGTTCGACGTGTTCAAAGTGTGGATTCGTAATTCCGAATTCACACTTTACTACATTGTAAATGTTCGTCGTTCCGAATCCACACTCTGTGACCAGCGTAACAGATTTGTAGTTCCTAATCCACACTTTTAACAATAGTGTGACGTCATAGCAATGGTTTAATCATCATCCAATGTGCTTACTCTCAAGGGTATATATCTAAATCAAGCTCAAAACTTTTTTTAGTTGTGAAAAGTCCTCCAAAAATCTTATTGGATTTTGAAGGATTTTGGAGGGTTTAACCCTTGATAGAACACTTGTTTCTTCTGACAAGAAACACAATTTCCTGAACTTTACTGGACGGGAGTGTACATTTATGTGTTTGGCATAAAATTCAACGAACTCAATGAAAGCAGGCTGCAATAGTTTGTACAGGCATGCAACTTTTCCTTGGATCTGCTGATTTCCTCGATTTTTACTTCTCATGAATGCCATTACAAATTGAAAAACACTGTACAAAGTCTTGTGTGGTTTGGAATTTCCTCGTTTTCCCCCCTAAATTCCCCCCTAAATCCCCCCTAAATTCCCAGTTGCATGCCTGTTTGTAGCAGGCGAAGAAAAAACTACATCAACTTGGAAAGCAAGAAAGCCATTACATGTGGTACTACTACATGGCCTTCCAAATAAACCTAAAATGGAGCCTTTTAAAAATTTCATGCAATCCAAACGTGTCCGATTTTCTGTTGTTGCTAACTTCTCATTCAGTCTTGTCTGCAAAATTATTGTATGGACTCAGTGCACGAACAGTGTATGGTGCTTTTTTGGTAACACTTTCAAAAGCTTCAGTGGGGGAGGGGGGTGGGGAAGGGGGGTGAGGGAGGTTCTCGCACGTATGGTGCGAAGTACGTACGACTAAGTTTAATCCGAGTCTTCATATGAGCGTCGGACACTGACATTAGTGCATTCGAATGCCACCTTAAGTGATCTCGTCTCCCCATAACTCTCCGCTTGGAAACCGTTGATGGGGCACGTGTGCACGGAGTGCACGCTATCACTCAAAGCACTTTAGTGGTTAATCATAATATGTAAGTTGATCAAGAGGTGTCTGCTAGAAAGTTATCAACATTTACACCAAATCTGTCGTTCCCTAACCTTCCCAAATCCTCCAAAATCCTCTTTGCAAAATGGAGGGTTTTGCAGGATTGAGGCTACATCCATGTATGGCAAAAATGTGCGGCTGATTTCGGAAGATGCACTGTGTCAAGGTCTTAGGCCGGACCTTGTGTTGTTTATGCTCAGCCGTGCATAAATGTAGGCCGAGATTATACTTGAAATCCTCCACACTGCTCCAGGATGTCACTGGCTCTGCCTCAACATATTGACAGTGACTGCTAGAGGATTTTGCAGGATTGAGGCAGCGGTCACCCCTCCAAGGACCACATTCAAGAAATAACGGAGGATTTTGCAGGATTGAGGCTGTACAAACGTGTATGTATGCAATTTTTACATGGAGACAGTTGTAGGATACTGCAGGATTAAGGTTGCATCGTAGCAAAATGCCGAGGGAGTCGAGGGTGAAGCATCTGGAATCTGGTCCAAGAGTACTGACATCGGCTAATACGGAAAGTTAATGCCTTGAAAAAAAAAAAAAATGGACGCAACGTTCTAAATAATTCCTGCTTGGAGTAGCCCAAGCCAAATTAAATATCTTAACCCTAACTCCCTAGGCCTTTTTGCTAGGATGTAGCCTCAATCCTGCAAAATCCTCCAATTGGCTGCATGGGAAAATAGCATATAGCCTCAATCCTGCAAATTCCTCCATTATTTCTTGAATAAGGTCAAATCCTGCCTGAATCCTGCAAAATCCTGCGGCAGTGACTGTCAATATGTTGAGGCTTGGCCAGTGACATCCTGGAGCAGTGCGGAGGATTTCAAGCATAATCCAGGCCTATATGAATGCATGGCTGAGCAAAAAACAACACAAGGTTCGGCCCTAGACCTTGACAAAGTGCATCCTACGAAATCAGTAACGCACTTTTGCCATGTAACCTCAATCCTCCAAATTCCTCCACTTTGGCAAAGAGGATTTTGCAGGATTCAGGGCGGTTAGGGTTAAACCAAATGAGTGTAGAATTACTGACAGCCATCATTTCTCTGTTGGCTTCCTGGTGTACGTACATTGTACTGTACAAGCACTGCAGATACAGTGCACGTGTTGCAGCTACACATACATAATGAACTCTCTTTCTGTACCACAACCTTTTTAGTAATCATGAAAACAGCAATCAAGCATACACGCAGTTTTAGACCGAAAACATTGGTCAACCTTAAAATGCCAATATCCCTAGCACAATAAAAACTTTAACACAACCTTTAACATTGCCTTAACGCTGGTTCGCACTTCATGCGAGTGTGATGCGAATTTGATGTCACGAAGCATTCCCTGCGAAATTCGCCCGAGTTGAAATGTGTTCAACATTTGCGAATTCGCAGCGCGAAAACTTGCCCTGACGTCACAAATTCGCGTTCCTTTTCACGCCGAGTATGAATCAGCTCTCACAATGCTTGAACTGTGTTGCAGTCGAGTCAACGCACAAGTCTAGGCACAAGTAACAGGGCGATGCGCAATACCAAAGCAATACCTTTTGACACAGTTTATGTGAATAGTGACTTGAATGCAGACTTAGGCTGCATCCGAATCAACTGTCTAGAGCTAGGTCTAGGTCTGCCCCCATTGAAAATACGCGGGGACACGCTGACAATAGACGAAGCCTTAGCTCTGGAAGCCCGTTTCGGACACGGCCTAAGAATACTTGTGCTTGACTTGCGATGGATTCGACTACAACCCTGTGCACAAGAAACGCATTTAAAAAAATGATTGAACATTGTTCCAAACAGCTCCGACGCATAGCTGGCTCATACAAAGTCCTACGGCTGGTTGACGCAGCATCATTGAGCGCACCAGTGATAGAATTTGTAGGTGAGATAGATGGCCGCCAGTCCGGCGATGACGTTGTGTAGCGTCTTACGATACTTGTCCTCCCGTCGGACTAGGACGACAGGGGTAGCCGTGGTGAGGGTGTGCAGGGGCAAGCGGGCCAGGCTCCTGGTGTCGTACTCCACTTGGTACTTGCAGCAGGGGTCAAACTGCCAGGAGACGCCGTACAGCGTGGCGCACGCCACGCTGGCCGTGCCGAAGGGAATGCTGACAAAGTTCGTGGCTTTGGCGGGGAGCATCCAGGGGGAGACCAGGCACGCCATACCGGCCAGGACCGCCGTCTTGTGCAGGCAGTTGCCCACGGTGATCCAGCGCGCCGTCTCGTCGCCGAGCCGCGACGGCTCGATGATGATGATGCTGCGGCCGGCCTCCAGGGCCTGCTCCAGTTCGTACTCAAATTGTTCCTGGGCGTCACCATTGTCGTAGATCTCGTGGATGATGGCGCAGTCAGTGGGCAACATTTCTCTGCAAGGAGAGAAGCAAGAAAACTGAACTCACGACGGACACTCACAAAGCTGTAAATTCAGTCAATCACAATTCAGGTCACATCTAATGACCAACAATGACAAAGAAATTATATATGCCTTTATCATACTTCTTTAAAACTACAGTAATTCAAAAAATTGGGAAAAAAATGTCTAGTTTAAGTACAGCAGGGAAAGATTCCCATATCTGGCCATCACTAATTTTTCCATTCAGTGACCTATCAGTATCACCCATCAGAAAGGGATAATATACAAGTCCTAAAAAGTCAAATTTAGCAGGGAAAATGGAAAGATTTCCATATACGAAGTTCACTAATTTTCCTCTGTATTGACTAACAAGCCCCCAGATAGCAATTTCATGTCATCAAAGTCAATTTGAGAAGTGAGAAAATACAAGCATTTTCTTAGAAAACACTTAGAATTTTTCAGTCCAATCTCATAGGGTTTGTACACAGGGTGTTGAGTGAACTTCGTATATGGAAATCTTTCCGGGAAAATATTGAAGTATTTACTGAGAAAACACTTAGAAATTTTCAGACCAGTCTCATACGGTTTGTGCACAGGGTGACAAGTGATGGTCAGATATATGGGAATCTTTCCTAAACATGCTAAAGGACTATGGAGTTTCGCTCTATATGCTGTTGTTGATATGGTTTCTCAGTCTCAAATTCAATTCAGGGTACTAATGCATTTCCTACACTAATAATAATATCAGCTTAAACATCAAGCAATTATTAAATCACGTCATCAGGATTAGCCTTAGCCCCATAATGTGGCCAGTTTACTGGACTGCCTCCGTAAACATAGGCCACACGTCCACCATCTTGGAATCTGACTCGCCGAAATTTTGAAAGTGATTTCCACATTGCGACTTCAAACCCAGTTCATTTATGCTTTAAAAATACACTTACCCTCTTAATAACAAAATTAGAACCTGCTGCCTGTGTCAGTTGCCCAGCTGCTGCGTAATTTACGACATTTTCTGGATCCTTCTTGGCAACTTGGTCCAACCATGGAGCTATCTCCATGGTCCAACTGAACAATGCCCTCGCGCAGATCGTTCACCTGTCAATCACGCGTGCAGGACGCACGCCGCAGGCCCAGTGGTAGTCCGGTTCCCAGACCAAAAGATTCTGACTATTCCTAGGATCAGGAATAGTCAGAATCTTTTGGTCTGGGAACCGGACTACCACTGGGCCTGCGGCGTGCGTCCTGCACGCGTGATTGACAGGTGAACGATCTGCGCGAGGGCATTGTTCAGTTGGACCATGGAGATAGCTCCATGGTTGGACCAAGTTGCCAAGAAGGATCCAGAAAATGTCGTAAATTACGCAGCAGCTGGGCAACTGACACTGGCAGCAGGTTCTAATTTTGTTATTAAGAGGGTAAGTGTATTTTTAAAGCATAAATGAACTGGGTTTGAAGTCGCAATGTGGAAATCACTTTCAAAATTTCGGCGAGTCAGATTCCAAGATGGTGGACGTGTGGCCTATGTTTACGGAGGCAGTCCAGTAAACTGGCCACATTATGGGGCTAGATTAGCCTAATCAGCTAATTAAAATGTAATGGTCGTGACGAAAATTAATTTGTAGGAAAGAATGTGGGAAAAGTTCCATACTCGGATGTCAATTTATCTGCTGCCAAACATATTTATTGTCACCTCACCTTGTCATTTGAACCAAAAGAAATCCAGGAAGCTGTGTAAAGGTGAAAAAAATGTACTCAAAATGTGTTTTTAGAGCACATTTTGGATGCATACGTCGTGCAGAACTAACTTGAAGCAGCTGGTCAAAACTGATTGTAGTGGCTGAAAAGACAGCGGTACGTTATACACGTGACATCAACAACCATGACGTCGCATGAGCCTGCCAATGATAGTTCAATACGTCATTATGAATATTTATTTTCTCATGAATATTTAGTTTATTTCAATGGTACTTCAAATACGTCCAAAGATTGATGATTGCAACAGCGATCGTGCGCGGCCTAGCGGTTAAGAGTCTCGTGTATCAAGCAAGCGTCAGAGGTTCGAATCCCGATGAAGTAACTGACTGATTAATAAATAGACATTAAGGAAAGGAGAGGGTGAAAGTAGAGGAGGGAAAGTGAAGGAATAACCATAAAAGATGTAACTTTTGGCGCTAGAAAATTAATTGAAAAAAGTGACGTCCGAGTATGGAATTTTTTCCAAGAATGTTGCATCTCAGTGGAGGTCAGTCATTGCTAAAAGGTTGAAAAGACATGAATCTGGGACTGAGAAACATTCCCAATTTTGTTTAAAAAATACTTTGAAATTCTTCTTGACTCTCCTTAGACTTTGTACACAACCAATTCTTTCCAAATTGTATTGCCACGACTGCGAGACGAGCGTAAAAATGTACGCAGGCAAAATGCGATTGCACAATTTCACCGGTTTCAAATTCATGAAAACAAATCACGTGCAGACTAGGTATGCAGAATACTTCATGCCACCGTTATGGCTTAATGCCATCTGTGGTAATCTCAGGGCATAAGATATTAATAAATGAAAAAAAAAAGCATTTTACCGTTCTGTTTCTGCCATCTTTGTGGACGTGCACAACCATTATCAAAACACTCGACCAATAGAGGGCGCTAGTCATTATCAACAGTGGACAACTTTAATAATTAACTGGACATACACGTACACTTTGATGTGTCTTTGTTTTATAGATCGCTCGGATTTTCTGTGCGATTTTTACTCCCTCCCCCCGGAAAGTTATAATAGTCGTGTTCCCTAACGTGGCGCACTTCGCAGCTTACCCAACTTTCCTCGTGTAGTGTTGCCAAACCTCTTTGTTGACAAACCTCAAATTCATGCAGTGAAATACTGGTACTTTTACCTTATTAATGCGTGCTATTTGACATCTGTGAACAATTTCGGTTTCATAAAATTTAATCCGAAATTCAAAAACGGTGTCGTCCGGAAATTGGGCAAAAATTCGCGGAGTGTTCCCTAACGTGGCGCACTTAAATGAACCTCGGAAAATTCCAAATTAACATTAAAGAATTTTTTGTTAACTTGATAAATTCTGATAAATCATTATTATGTCTACTTACATACCGAGCCAGATGTTTGTCAGAAAATTATTTTCTTATTTTTCGGGGCATTTTCAAAGGGTTCACTTTGCACTTGAAAATAAAATCGGAAAATCACGCCAAAATAAATGTTCTTGTAACTTTGTAACGGGTAAATAAACTCGCGATTTATAAACGGGAGTGTTTAGAACTTGATGAAATTTCACTTTCTGTGAAATTTCAGTTAAAACTTTTGCTCTAGCTAAGCGCTACAGGCGAAAAATCAAAGTGCGCCACGTTGGGAGCCGCGCCACGTTAGGGTACATCAACAAAAACTATTGATTGTGTCATCGAACAAAACAAAATTGTAGGTTTGCAGTCGTCCATAATTGAAAAAAAAGGTCTTTTTTGTTTGCAATTGTTGAAGAAAACAAGCCTAGACCCGTGAATTAAAGTAGACCCACTAAAACTGGGGCGCCTTTTCTGACAAAATGTCAGAAAAGGAGTTCTAGCGCCCCAGTACTTAGTGGGTCTAGGTCCACAGTACAGTACCATGGAGGATGATCTGACTAACTTTGTGCATGGGAGGAAAAAAGATCATCCTCCATGTTTTTGTTATTAGGGGGCGAGTGAAATAAAATGCATAACTGAAGCTGGCCAAAGACAATTTTTTATTTTTCAGAGCATGGACATTTTTATAGGGATATAGTTCATTAATGAATACACGCACAAATTCAGAGCCCAAACTCGACTTTATAATTCTTCATGCACCTATAGCCATTGGCGATACATTAATACCGGATATATGGGTGAAATTTCCTTCCCCCCCCCCCCCCCCACTCCCCCTCCACAAACCAAAAACACATGGCATTCAAAAAGAAACTACAATGTTTTGGTAAAGTCTTTGTGCTTTACTTGCATTTTATATCTTGTTTATTTGCATTGCTGTGATACAAGTAATTGTAATAGGCTAATGCGTGTACACCATAATGCGTCCATGAATTAATTCGCACCTCGGTATTTAGCCCCTTTAAGTAAATCGGTGTAAGTCTTAATAAAACCAGTCTCATGATCGTAAATGAAGAAAGTCTGAGTAAAAGTAAATCAAGAAAATACAATATCTGTGTTTCAAAATCTCATTTTACTTACAGCATAGCAATTTCTCCTATTTTTTTTCTTGGCAAAATCTTAACTTGAGAGGGTGCCTATTTTCCAAAAAAATTAAAAAAACAAAATTCACTACGGGAACGTTTTAAACTAAACTATGGATGCTGGTATGCTGAAGATGATGTAAATTACATCGGGGCACCAACAAATTAGTAATTTAGGTGAAAACAAAGAAGTTTAATGTGACAATGATAGTTCTTTAACAGCATAAATGTTTAGAAGATACTGCATAAAATTGATCATACAGAGTGTCACTGCTTTAGTTATATTTCTAGACGCACAAGTGTACATGCACTGCTTGTTTGTACATTAAGTATTCATGGCCACTTTTGTGTGCAATGCCAAAGTTCGGGAAAGAAAAAAAGAATCGAATAACTGACTCCCAGTGCTAAAAAAACCAACAACCGGCAACCCACAGACAGACAAGCTGAAAGACCAACCAAGAGACCGACACATTGACCAAATGAACAATAAAACTGACTGTCCGTTGAAGGAAATATTAGGTGCCTTACTTTTAGTTCAATGTTTGCCTTACTTTAGTTCAATGTCTGCTCCATATATAACAGCTTGTGTACATCACCCAAACCAGAGCTTAACGCTGTTTAGTGCAACAAAATTGTAGATTTTTTCATTTTCACTAAATTTCAAAATTTCCTTCAAACACACTTTTCTTGCCTTTGGTACTCCTTGAATAAAAAAAATTGGTTATCTACTCAAGATAAACCATAGGCCTACCTTCTTATAAACTCTTCTTAAAAAAAAAATATTACAAAAAAAATTCACTAGTTCATAAAGTTATACATCATTAGACAGAAAAACAATTCAACATCTCTAGAACCTACATATATTTTGATTTTAGATTTTGATCGGAATAATTCCGAGTTTGTTTATTTCCTTTTTTATATACAAGCGGAGAAGGGAACTATAAGGAGTTGCAGTAAAACACCTGTTTTTTTTTTTTATCTCAATAAATTTGAAGAATCATATAAAAATAATATTCATAATTTATAAAGACACAATAAATGTTGCGTGTTTATATCTGGTTTTGAAAACGTGATATGACTAAGAATAGCTTCATGCAATTTACTAACATTTTCATTTAAAAATGTACACTTGAAATTTGCAATATTTTTAAGCGCGAGATTATCAGTTCTCTAGAACACTGTTTCAACTACTTTTATCCACCTATAGGGGGCGCTATTCAGGGGTCCTTTTGTTTCGTAAATGCCACCAGTTTCATAAATTTATGCACAACAAACTTCCAGTAAAAGTGTACTTTAGGACCTTTCAATTTTTTATTAAGTTCCGACATGGTTTTAGCATTTCGAATGACTGCAAAAACCTAAAGAAATCTTTTAAATCTAAAGTCATAATAGTTTTTGTAATTTTGAAAAGCGTTTCTGGTAGAAAATGCGATTTTCTTAACCCAGTTTTTTGTTCTTTTATTAGAACAGAGTCCGAAAGTAAACTTTTACCGAAACTGCTACCCCAAAAACACTTTTCGATGAAATATATACACAAGTCAAGAAAACATAATCACTTATCCATTTTTTGACAAATTAAAGAAATAACTCGACTTAAAATTTGCGCTATTCTATAAAATAAAACACATACATGTACATCACATGTGTATATCACCAGTGCATGCGTCAAATATATTTTCATTACTATTAAACACATTTGATGCTTTTGTTTTATTTTTATTTTTTTTCAAAATCCAAACAAAGATATCGTTGCAGGAACAGACACTTTTGGCCTGAAACACCCTTCGAATTGTTAAAATGTTTCTGGATTAGCTGAATATAGAAGAAATGAAATCAATGTAGAATATGACGATATTTCTTAATTTGGTTCGTATCTTACAATACACTGCTGGATATGATTTTTTTTTACACATTCATGCATGACAGATATTGTAACAAAATTTCACAACTGCATGATGGCGTGAAGAGAAAATTACTACATTTTTTTTGTATGTACACATTTTCTTGTTTAAAGTTTTACATCAATGCACATGCTCCTTATGTACATTTAAATTTAGTGTTTCATTTTTTTTTTCACTACGGTGAAAAAAAAATTCAAAAAAAAAATTCAGCTGACCACCACAAAGCTGACCACCCTTCACCCCCTTTTTCTCGGAATGGTTGGATCCGTCTGGTCTGATAGCGATATCTTCTATAAGGCAAACATGGTGTTCTCGGCATCCTCCATTTTATTCTGGTGGGACTGACTCATCTGGCCGGCCGGGAGATTGTCAGCTGCCTTTGCCCTTGCCTCAAGAAACTGATCAAATTCTGTTGAAAAAAATACCCCCCAAGTCTTTCATAAATTAGTATTGAACAATGAAATGTTTGCATTAACAACGTATCGTCCATGCTGTTTTCAAGTTTAACCCCCAAAATATAGGTTTCTAAAAAAAAACTGAACCCCTCTTTTTCACAGCTTAAAAAAAAAAATACCTCACAAATATCGAAAGTGGAGAGTATAGTTCATTAGGCCAAAAAAAAAAGTCTCCGGTTTCTGGTATGGAGCTTGCCCAAAAAGTGGTGCGGCGACGCGGATTTTTTTTTTTTTTTACCTACCTGATTTTTTTGCTTCAAATGTCGGCTGATGACTGCAAATGGTGCCCGACTAAACTTAGTGCAAATATATAGGAGTCCAGAGAGGCCACATAAAGCTTATTCTCGACTATAACCCAATCTAAAAACACGTTAAAATTGTGCAGTAGCAGGATTCCAGTCAAACCAGTGAGTTTGGCGGTTTTGAGACATCATCTTTCATTGAAAAAAAAACTTTTTCATTTTGCCGACGCACATGGCTACGGCGACGCACGCGCATACCAGAAACCGGAGCCTTTTTTTTTTTTGGCCTTAGCTTTTCAGCAACGAAAAAATCTTTCCAATCGGGTAAATATTTATTGAGTTTATGGCCAATTCAAAATCAGTTCTGATTTTTCAATCAGTCCACGTCTCAACTGTCACGTCGTAGCAATGCAATGGATTTGGGTGAGGGTAGTTTTGCTTTTCTTAGAGTTTTAATATTTTTCTCCCTTTATTTGTTTCTTTTTGTCTTTTAGCAACAATTGTTATTTATCCTTGGAAGTAATGGTAGTCCTGAAAAGAACTGTTTGGTTAACTTCTTAGATGTTTACTGTGCTGCTCTGCCTCTGCCCTCGACTCTGCCTTTTTCACAAATGCAAGCTTCGTCCCGTGCTCTTATTGCGGCAGTCAAAATATTAGTTTCCGTGGACAACTTGAAAAAGTGCTATTGTATTCAATTGACTATAACTCAATAAATATTTACCCGATTGGAAAGATTTTTTCGATGTTAAAAAGCTAATGAAATAGTCTCTCTACATGTGAATCTGATATTTGTGATGTATTTTTTTAAAGTTGTGAAAAGAGGGAGCTTGGAGGGATCATTTTTTTTTTTAGACACCCTGTACAATACAAAAGTTATTTTGAACGAGACATCGAATGAATCAAATCAGCCCCATTTATTGAATTTTTAAAATTACAATGTCACTTTATTGGCTGCCAGACAATAATTGCCATTATCACAGGATAGGCTGGTTCCCGACCCACAATCAGTATCAATAATGTTCCGACTGGGAGCCAGTCTACTCGCAAAGCGGACCTGTTTGTGCCCGAAACAATTTGTTTTTCAGAGGTTTGTAAACGTCCAAAAAAAGCAGAAAACTGAGAAGATTTTTGGTTGGAATAAAACATACAAGTTGAACTTTTATTAGTAAAAAAGTTTGTGTTTGTTGAAGAGCATATCGCATACAACTTAAAGCTACAGTCCATCATTTGTAATTTGTGCATTTTGTTCGTTTGAAGCAACAAAAGAGTTCAAAATCTAATGAAGGATACTGAGCAACTAACCTGATGAAGTTTCAGCTAAGCTTCAGCTGTACATTCCGAGTAAAACAGCATTCTAAGATCTCAATTTCAAATCAAAAGTTACTGAATCATGTTTTGAATTGTTTTGAATTGCAGCTATACGCGACGTCGCGCACTGATCCGACGAATTATAACAACCGCGCGCGCGTGTGCGTCGTTCCAGTACTTGTGCGCGCTGCGCTGAATAACAAAACAAAACTACTAATTTAAATTTTTCCTACGGTGCTTCTTAAGAATCACCGTTGGAAATGCCTTCTTTCGTTGATTACTTCAAAATGACAGCTTCCCAGAAAGGATAATTTCACAGGGAGTTTAGTTCCCTTACTATCTTTCAACCATTTCAACAATAATTACGCCAGTTACTTTTCGGATGGCTGCAAATGATGGACTCTAGCTTTAAGGACACTTAGAGGTATCTATGAGGTGTACCGACCAGAACTCATACCTGAACTTGTGATTCCATTATCTGTCTGATTGTTGGTGTTCTGAGCTGCGAGTCCATCATTTTCCTTCTCCTGTCAAAGAATCAAGCAAATTCCAATGTCATTTGACACAGCGCATCCTCCAAAATCAACATGCACAAAATTACAGAATACAGCCTCAGTCCTTCAAAACCTTCCAAAACTGTTTGGTTTAGTGAGTAGGGTTAGGGTTAATGAGATCGCGCAAGGAGACTCCACTCGTTCACACACACTGAAATTTGTATCCCTGTGGAGTCACTTTTTTGTTCTCGTGTACTAACATTTTTAGAGTTTGAAAATCAATTTCAAAATGCTCCTATTTTAATCTTAAAATTAATGTGGCCTGACATTAATTTTAAGATTGATATATTTCAGGTCCATCCAGTCAGTAAGCAGTTTGCAGCAGTCTTACTTTTTTTCATGCTCCTATTTTAATCAGAATTCATAAATACCGTACCTAAGACAGTTTAGGCATTCCTATTGGTCGAGAGCCCGTCACGTGGCCGGTCTTAAACGGATGATAAAGACATGGCTAGCTGGTCTTAAACACTTTTCCAGTGTCACATGAAATTTGGACTCCCATGAAATCCGGTGCCTTATCACGTTTCATTGGTTGACTGTTCAAATTCCCCACGTATGCATGCGCAATACTACCAGTGAATCATTATTTCATAGTCTGATATTCACAATACACCAGCCCAGCTGCGTTTTGCGCGACATCGCATGGTACGCGCAACCATGGAGGTGGAATGCGCGACGCGCACGCAATTGTGGAGGGGCATTCCATATTATAGTCAGAGGGGTATTTTGAAAAATATGAAGTAAAATTGTTGAACAAAATGGTTAACAACGTCTAGTTTTTTACTTTTGTTTTGATTTTTGGACCGAAAAGATTAGTTTTTTGACCAAAAAGGTATTAATGAATGGGAATAAATATGTGTTTCGTCGGTATTAAACACTCTGTTTAAAACCGGCGTGAGTCTGGATGGGCGATATTACCCTTGGCTTTGCCTCGGGTAATTATCACTCATACAGACTCACACCGGTTTTAAACAGAGTGTTATAATACCTCCGAAACACACATTTATTCCCTTATTAATTTCCTGGGCTGAAATTCGGACTTAATATCCCTTTCATAAAACACTTCATTTTGCGATGGATCAACACAGCTGGGAAATTCCTAGTTTTTGAGTAAAATTGATGTCTATATCATGATAATCTTTTGGAGACGTAGTCATTAGTCAACTATAGCAATTGCTCTGTGGAGATGTATACAATCTTTTGTTCCCTATTATGCACATGTCTCCGTAGGGTTGTGAATAACAAATCGAGCACACTGATTCAATGTCCCAGTGTGCATGCGAGGCAAAACTGCACCAAATAAACCGTGCCACTTACCAGATCTGTGGCATGTAGCCACTGTTCCATTTCATCGACATCGACATTGGGTGGGAGGCCCTTAAATAACAGAAATAAAAACAAATTAAAATATGATAACAAAATCAGTTTGATAATCACTTTCACTGATAATTTTTTTTCATCTGAAATTGTTTAATATTTCTTTTGCTCACTGTTTTGAGTTCACTTTTTGCTGAAAACATTGAGATTATTTACATTATAATCTCTTAGTAAAATATTCTCCCCACTTAGCAGCCACGAAAGGATCGCACAGATTCCTACTCAGAGAAAAACACTGTTGGAATATTATTCCGTCATCTTCTAGCTTGTGAATTCCATCTACTTTGTGTGATTCACAACACAAAGCAAATACATGTACTGGTACAACTACATGTAGTTGTAGGGATATGCAGAATATACTGAATAGTTGATTGACCACCGAGTATCCAAACAACATTTTACCAAATAGAATATTCCAAAAATTTGAGCCGTCTTGTGAAGATGATGAAAAACGTGCACGCTGTAATGTTATCTGTGTACATGTAAGTAGCGAGATTTTGTTTGTTTATAATATTTAAGAGTCTATGAATGCTATAAATATTGAAAAAAAAAAAAAAAAATGAAATCTTGGTCACGGCCAAACGTGTGACTGCTTTTCACCTTATGCAAAGTGGCACATGAAATAGTACCCACGATATGCTGCAGCTGTAACAAAATTTTGTTTAATACTTTTTTTTGGCATTGCAAAATCACTATTTTTCCTGATATTTAGCAACTCTTAAGGAAAGATGTGTAGTTTCACATGATGACCGCGCTGCGCTGTGCCTATGTTAACTTTGTTAACTTCACATATAAAAAGCTACAACTACCACACTACATAACTGAAAAAAACTCGGCCGACTAAGAAGTGGATGTGCAAATTGTACCATAACAGTCAATGCTTTCCTGTGTATATATTCTCTGTCACTCATTGGCTTTCGCTGTAATTTTTAAAAATGAACTATTTGAGGGGTTAGTATAATATGATCAAATATTGTTACACTGACATGTTTGAAGTTTTGTGTTCGAAAATGCTGGAAAAACCAAGAAAAACTAAAACGTTCTGAAAGTAGTCTGGTTCCCTGACTCAATTAAAGTTGAAATGGATCAATTTACAGATGCCGAAAAATTGTGAGGTAAGGGAACCAGTCTAGCTGGCCTGCACCCGCTCATGAACATGTAACCAATAGCAAACAAACTTTGGACTAAAAAAAAAATGGTGAATTTGGAGCAGTAGTTGAAAAATAGTTAGGTTTTTCCAACGGTGGTCGGCTGACCACCGTTGGAAATTTATACAAAAATACCATTTTCTTGAAAATGACTTCACACCAGGTGCCATAATTTTACAGGATGCTTTAGACTGTCATTTACCAAGATCCTAGTAAGGTATTTCGTAAAAACTGGTAGTTTTATTTTTCGATGTTTGCAAATGTTGTGTATTCCCTTTAATATACTGCTTGTCAGTACAATATTTGTAATGGCAACAGTATGTACTGATACGGAGCACATTCTATGAAAATGTTACAATACCCTGTCTGCTCAATTGTGTGAATCGACCTTCATATGGGTCAAAGTTCAGATCACAAAAGAAATCCAATATGGGAAAAACACTTTGAACACAAAAGCAAAACTGAAAGGAATTTACAACATACACAATTCAGGGGGAAAAATCTGCCATATTTCATTGGAAACAAAAGAGTGCATCGTGCATTTAAAATGAAAGGAAACGGTGTTAAAATGGCACAAAAATAAAGTTTAAAAAAATGGGGGTTTTAAACTTCAAAATTAGGCTTGAGTTCATTTACAACTTAGCTCTGCCTCTCTGAAGTTGTTTTTTTTTCACTTTATTTTTCCTTTTTCTTTTTGTAAATTTGTTTACCATCATCTTCAATGGTAATTTTTTTTTTAGAAATTCACAGCTACTCTTTGAATAATCCATGGCTAAGAAAACTTGCTGACAAAAAATTCACTACAATGTAAACATGATTGCATGGATAATGACATGGACATTTGGATCTGAACTGAAAATTATGAAGAAAACACTTGGAATTCCACATAGAACTTTCAGGACCCAAATTCAGGAGGAAATTCCAAATGTGGACTACTCAAAGGAATGATAAGGGACCGTGACCATTCAGCCCCGGTATGAAAAGGGCCCCGTTAAGCTTGTCCCCTCCCAAGAAGTCCTTTCATACAGTCCCAGCTACCAGCCCAGGAGCTGGTCCTGTTGCTAATCAGGAACTCCTCTATCCTAAGGTCTATTGTTTGCAAGTATTGACACATGTAATATATCCCAGAAGAAACCTGCTTGTGGTTTTCATCTCTCAGAGCGAAACAATAGAACACTTTCGTCTGCACAGATCAAAACCTCTGCCATGCGGTTTCGCGCACAATGGGACCGTAAATTACCAAGGCGTTTGGAAGGCTTTTATCTTTAATCCAGAAAGTCTGCTATTGTTCTGCTCTGGATGTTCTCTGAAGGGCAATAAATTGATGCGCCTGACTGACTTCAAAACTTCTGGTCAGGCAGGACCATGTACCGGACGAGTCTGGGCTGAAGACCGGACTGGCTCTGGACTGGATGAGGTACCGGGGGGCCCTTTTCATACCAGGGCTGAACGGTCACGGTCCCTAACATATTCCTAAAAACTTTTTACTTTTGGGAAAGATCACCAAAGACACATTAGCTATTTGTAATGGAACCTCATTTGGAAATCAAGAATCTTTCATAGAATTCCACAGGGTTCCGTATAGGAATATTCCGTATAGGAATATTCCGTATGGGCTCCGTGCACAAGTACCCCCTCAACGGTAAGAAAGGAAGAGTTGGGGGAGACCACTTGGAGAGACTTTCGAACGCCCCGCCGATGCCGCCTGATGCTCACGCGAATACGCCATGCCTTTGTGTACATTCAGAACTAAATGAGACTTGCGTACTTCGTGCCATGCGCTCACTAACCAGTATCACACGCGGTGCGTCCCTTCCATGGAGCTCTGAAAAGTTGTCTCTTGTTTGCGCCCGGAGCCCATGGGCTCCGGGCGCCAACAAAAGAGGGTGCCCTTTTACCTAGCAACGACGTCCCATGGGCGGGACACATACCTTTTGCTGGTAGACGCGCGAGCGCTGTTCCTTGTGTGTGACGCATGTACACCAGGGGGGTTCTACTATGTACAGGCAGTGGCCATGCCTGCAGCAAAATATTGCAGTCAGGCAAGATGGCGTCGTTTGGTCACCCCCAACTGTACTTTCTTTGCCGGTGAGGGGGTACTTGTGAACGGAGCGGATAGAAATGCCATATGGGAATTCCACAGGAAAAATTCCCCATGGAGATTCTTTATGAGTGGAATGTGCTTACCTCCTCCGTTAGCTCAGGTTCTATGTCCTGATGTGAGCATGACAGGCAAATGGAACAAGGTGGATGGAAACGGAAAAATGGTGACCAAATTATAACGGAAAATTAAAAGTAAACACAGAGAGAGAAAGATTGATGCATAAACCGGTACTTGCATTGTAAACCATTGATGTTTAAGAGATTTTTTTGCCGATTTTCACAAGTTTGCTGAGTTTCGAGGTAGAATAAATGAAATTAGGAAAAAAGCCTAAGAAAGTGGCCTGAAAAGTCAGTATTTTAACTCAAATTTCAAAGGAAAAATTGCAATGGAACATGAACGCTTCATTGACTAATGACCACAAAAAATATTTCCTAATTTGATAGTAATGCGCAATTTTTGATATCACTTTTTGAATATGTGTGGTGTTCTAACAAAAATGGGACAGAACTGGGCAGAGGTCGAAATGAGAGTTTGTGGGTATTAGGAATGAGACTAAAATTCTCCTCACAATACTGTTTGTTGCACTTCAATGGGACATTCCCTTGACAAGTTATGGCTGTTTAAAGTTTGCATTTACCGACATGTCGAAAAAGTAAAACACCCAGAAAAGGGCCTTTTACGATCCAAGTTTTGTAAAATAAAATATCTTTTATAACGGTTGTTACAACTGTAACAGTTGTTACAATTATCAAGTTTTGTATTCGTGAAAATGAAAGATGCCAATTGTTTTTCCTTGAAAATACTTTTATTCCACGACTTTAAAAAAAATAATGTGTAGTAGACATATCAAAGATGACAAATATCAATAAATCTGAAAATTGACAAAAGAAAAATTCACCCCCATTTGGTTTTTTTTTTATGCATGATTCTCCACCATGGCCCGTGCCCAGTTCCGTCTTACATATATGGAGTTTGAAGGGGAGTGTTACTTTTTATAAGCATGAAGATTCGGTTAAAACCCGTCGAGTTACGAAAACGAACAAGTGTGATAAGGCCCCCACCCCCCCAAAAAAGTCGGTCTCTGGTCAGATCAAAGTTCCGGAATTGACGCGGCCACGCGGCTTTTTTTTTTTTTTTTTTTTTTTTTTTTCTTCAAGCTTGGATTGTACAGACAGGGTGGGTACTATTTTGCTTTTTTGGTGTCCTCATGTACATTGGTGTCCTCCATAATTTGCCTTGGTGCTTTCGATCATTTGCCTTGGTGCAATTTCCCATTCCTTGGTGCTCTTTGATAAAAAAAAGATTGAGGAGGTGCGGAAATAGAGGGCGCTGTTTGAGCTACCGCGGAACATTTTGTAAAAAAAAAAAAGATCGACGCGCATGAATAAAATCGACGCGCGCGCTGACCAGAGACCGACTTATTTTTTTTTTTGGCATAAAAGAGACTTTATGGTTTACAATACAAAATTTGTCATGTGAATGGCAACGAAACCACAACATAAAAGTAAACAGCATCCAACGCAAACCAACACACTATAACAAAAACAAAATGCCCTTAAGACTCTGAGGCAATTTCATAGTTGAAACGGTTGTTGCAATTGTTAAAAATATTTTAGAAGTACAATCTCAGAGAATTGAAGTACACTGTATGAGTGGTAAAAAGCAAATATGAGACGACATGAAATAGCTTGACATCTTGAGACTGTTCCTGGTACTTCGGGAGAAGTAAGAGTTTCGGATGGCCAGGTATTCACAAGGAAAACTAATTTGATCCCCAAAATGTGTTTGTTTTATTTTTTTTATATTCTTTATTCCTCTGAACATGCCATCGTTTAGTTTTTTCTTTTTCAGTGTGTTTATATGTCATCGATTGTAAGGAATGGATGACAATAATACATGAATATTATAAAGATGTGTTGGTTAACACTGCAAACTTAAAATAAAGTTAACAGCTTTAACTATAAATAAACAAGGGTATTGGTGCAAATGAAAAAGAAAAACCTCAAAATAAACTGTTAATAGATTCAATGGAAACAGAACAAAACAAGTGAATAACTGTATAGACGTGCTCCAAATTAAAAAAATAATCCACGTACCATGCCAAACGGTGCAAAGTTAGTCGATTAAAAAAAATCATGTCCTGATGTAGCTAAAATATCTCTGATATTTTTTTCATAATCAACTTTAAATACGTGTTATCAATAATCATGGAACTTTTTTTTTTTGGGGGGGGGGGAGTCCAAAAAGTCAGGCTTAGCTAGAATTTAAGTATCACTACATCGTCGCGTCATTGCAACAAGCCAAGAAGGTCGTAACTTCATTCTGCAACAAAATCGTATCTCGTGCAAATACGCTCCATGCAACAAGATCGTTTCACGACGTCCATTGACTTTGTGTGTACATCTGGGTTTATTTTAAGTGAGATGCGCCCTTTTGACATTCTGAAACTCGCGTTTCACACACGGCCAGTTTTAGGAGAAACGACCTTGTTGCACAGACACGACGATATATGTTGAAGTTGAGTGATCTGAGTTGAGTAAACATAGCCGAAGAGCAATTTCGTGAAACATCATTCTCATGAATGTGCCGGATAGCGTAGTGATATATTTTACCTTCTTAAACAGCTTTTCAATCTTACCTGTGCGGGTTCAGCCACTGGCGCAGCCGAGAACGGGTTGGCTCTGGCATTGACAAGGTTACCCATCGTCACGCCCGATTGGTCCAAATTCAGGATGTCTTGGTACGTGCTGCCACTGTCGGGGAAAGAGATCAGTCGAGATAGTCTGAAAGAGTTTTGCCGGCAACTGAGTGCGCAAATTCAAATTAAACGATCCTTTTGTCAGTAATTTAATTACATTTTTGGGATTTGATTAACCCTATCTCCCTAGCATGATTTACTAGGAACCATACATATGTTCCCATCCTGGCAAATTCCAACACCATATGGGAAACTGCACACATATATTTCCGACTTCATATTTCTGGAGGTGTGCCAACCCAATGTAAAAGACTGTCAGTTTAGGGGTACTGTACCCATCCAGACAGATTCCAACAAAACAGGCGTTGGGGTTTGATGGGTTGAGTTCTGTTAGGGTTAATAGAAAACCACACACAGTGCTGTGAAATAAAGGCTTCCTTTGGAAGCTTTTTGAATCACACTCAAAAACTGTTTGGCCAAAATTTCCAAAACAATTCAAAGCATGAATCTCTTCATAAGGAGTGGGACACGAATACAAAGACGGATGGGACTTTGCGAAAATACTGTCAAGATATTGTGAGTAAGTGATTGGTTATTGAGGTTTCGGCAATTCATACTTGAAACAACGGATCTATTGCGGACAAACTTGTCCGTAACTTAGGCCAGATATATATTGAGATGTCTCCGACTCCTTAACCCTAACCCCCTAGGCCCTCTGGCTAGGATGCAACCTCAATCCTGCAAAATCATTCGTTATTTCGTGAATATAGTCTGTGGAGGGTGACCACTGCCTCAATCCTCCAAAATTCCTCTGCCAATTACTGCTATGGTCTGAGGCAGTGCGAATGGCGTTTAGAAGCAGTGCGGATGAAATCATAGCTGCCAACATTTCAAAATCCCAATTAGTAATCAACCCGCGCGGTCATTTTCAACTTCTCGTTTTATCAAAAGCTTTACCAACATCGAGTACAGGTACATGGTTTACATGTACACATACATGTGCATACCCTTCTTGTTGTGAATAATAATGTACTGTAGGCCAAAAGATAATAATAAAAAAAAAAATTAATTAATTTTTAAATTAATTTTGTTTTAATGTCTGTATTTGTTTGTTGAAGTCAAATAAATAATAACATCAATAACATGTGTGCATATTTTTTTGGAGATGCATGCTATCGATGTTGAGTTTCGAGTTCGTATCATGTTTTTACACACAATGATCTATGGCCACCGTATGCAATAGAAATATCCCGCCAAGATACCTTGCAAATGCATGCTGATTTATCTTTTCTGTCCGTTGTGACAAACTCAAACTCTATTACCAATTATTCCAACCATACTCTTATTAAATTCCATGATTAAAATCTCGAACTGATGGGTCTCATCCTGGCAATAAACGACTAAATGTGCTCACGATCGTCACTGAAAAGTACTCACATACAGTACACACAACCACACATCCACGAGATGCACACAAATGACACACCATTGAAAAATATTTTTAGTCTGGTCCTCAAGTACTCCACTGCGCACACTGCATTGGTGTCTATCAGGTACTTGACTGCATTCTTATTAGACTTGTCACCAGTCCATCTATTATCGCGACATTTTGCCAGAAGTTTTCGGTCAAAAACGATACTTTACATTTTTTTTTTTTTTCGTTAGGTAGAAAATGGGAAATTTGTAATGTTTTAGTGGCAAATCGTATTTTCGTAATTTAACAAACAATTCGTAATAATTACGAAAAAATCATACTAGTTGGCAGCTATGTGAAATGCAAGAAAAACACAGGGCTGATTATGCATGGCTGAACATAACCAATGCAGGATATGGCCCACTGGCTTGACGTAATGCATCCTCCACACAGAAAAAAAGCGATACATCTTTGCCATTCATCCTCAATCCTCTAAAATCATCCAAAACTGGCAGGAGGATTTTGGAGGATTGAGGAGGGTCAGGGCTAAGCATACAGACAGCATGCAGACTTCTTACCTTTTCCTACTGTCTGTGTAGCTGGTCTGCCTACTCTGTGCAAACATGTCAAACTCGTCTGTGGGCGCAGCGGGGGCAGCATTTGTCCCTCCCGATATGTCTGAAAATGAAAATTGCACCAAAAAAATTAATCTACTTCAATGATTATTTCATCTCTTCATCCTTTCAGTGCCAAAACAAAATGTTATACCGCATTATGTCCATAGAGCTATATTAAATTACTAGAGCGCTAACTTCGTGTACAAAGTAATGCCTGCTGGGCGCAACCATGTTTGTGCACAAACCTATGGAGACCTAGAAATTTTGTACGGCTTTTGTACGTCTATTTGCATATCTGCGTTTGTATTCCATACTGGTGCGTTATCGAAGCCAATACGCCAAAAATCGCAAATGCACGATCAGCAAATGAGCGTTTCATTTTGCTCTACGCAAACAGCGCGTATTCGCTGCAGATGCTTTTTGCCATAACGCTTTTTTGAACCGTCAATGACGCGTTGTTTGCGTATGTTCTACTTGCGCATTGCATGTAGAGTACACTTTCAAAATTCAATCCATCTAATTTAATTATGTTCTACAAACACGCATCTGAATTCAAAATGTCTGCGCCCAGGACGGCTTCAAAGTGTCTCCACGTGCAGAATGAGGAGTTAGTGCTCCAGTAATTTAATATAGCTCTATGTTTATGTCAGAACTTAAAAAAAACTTGTGCCAAAGCTACCCTGGGCAATGGGAATATGTGCGCAAAAAAAGTGTATGATCTGAAAACCAACTACAGTCGAACATCTTTATAACAAGGTCCTTAGGACTTTACAAGTTAGCGCGTAATAACAAATAAAAACAAAGAAAACAAAGACAAACAACGACTTGGGACCTAAAATTGTGCTAATTATAAGCAGGATGTTGCATTAACAGTGCCTTCTTATCAAGGTTCCACTGTAAAATACTTTTTTTGTTTCATTCCAAAACTAACTACTATAGGGGAACAAAATTCCACATTCTCAATACTTCACATGTCTAACCACGTGCGAAGTAAAAGTGTCTGGGTTGGACCTTCATTATTCTTGTAAATTCTCCCAAAACCACCTATCTCCCAGATTATGAAGGATTTTGGAGGCTGTAACGAAAAACCACCAAACTACCAAACTCTTTTCTACATGTACCAATGTATGGGATGAAAGCGGGCTCTGGCATTTTTTTTTGGCAGGAAATTTGAGGAAATGTATATAACACAGGTAAGATGTCAAAAAGCCTGAAACTTTAAAATTTTTGACAGGATTTACATCCCTGCAAACTAGTGTCATCTCTGATGTAAAAGATCCCGGGATGCAGAAACAGTGGATGAATGACAACAAAGGAACGGCTTTGTCAACGTTCACCTGGATAACTTGCAATTTGAATTGGGACTTCAGGGAATTGTAATGGACTTGTGACGGCCTTGACTTCACGCCAGGAATATCACATGCAATGCAAAGGAATTATCCAATAAACAAGACCAATAGATGTACCCAGAGATGTACCCAAAGCAAAACTGAATTGAGGGGCAGGGGAGGGGGCACGGGGCGGGGAGAACAGAGACAGAGAAAGCCCCTCACCAAGACCAGCCATCTGTTGGCTCATGTCCCCTGAGCCAGCGACGGGGGCGGGCGAAGCAAAGGTGTTAGGGGCGGAGGCGGGATCTTCCGCCCCAAAGTCGATCAGGGTGGCCGTGTTGGCGGCGGCTGGCGGTGGGGCGGCGGGGGAAGAGGATGCAGGGTAGGGCGGAGGAGCGCTGTTCATTTCATTCTGTGGATGAGGTAAGAAGAAGCAACATTCGGTTTGGACTCCGTGCACAAGTAACCCCGCAGCAGGTTCCAAAGATGAAGTTTGGGGAGACCACTGGGGAGGGACATTTGAGCACATCGCCCGTCGCGCCAAATTCTCACACAAAGATGCCACGGTTTTAAGAACAGGGCGAGTCAGAATGATCCGGACCCAGGTTTACCATCTTTTTTTGTGGCAAATAGAGTATACTGAGAAAAAAAAACTGAGTGCTTCAATGGTTATTACCTTGGCTTCCACAGGAATTTTGAATTGTTCTAATTAGTGGCTGTGGTGAGGAGTTATGCCATTTTCATTGAAGTGGCTCATTTTCCAGTCTGCACACGGAATTGGTTTTGCCTTTTTTTAAAAAAATGTGTCAATAACTTCAAGTGAGTCAGTCACCATGACTAGGTTTTCATTTGGTTATAACACTGCTTCACATCAATACGCGATTTTGATAAATTGGTTGAACCATGGAACCGTGGTCAGAGTGTTTGTTAGCGTGTGTTCTTTGCTAGCGCTTTTCTTCAAAATGGTACGATGGATATACAAGAAACTTTCACCAAATATTCCCAAAACACCAACCTATATAACATATCTCATTTGCACTTGTTTTGATAATTGCTACATATTTTTAATATTTTCTTTAATTTGGGTCCAGATCATTCTGACTTGCCCTGTACATTCGGAATAACATTAGTCTTGCATATTTCCGCAGTGCACGCCTGTAACAATGTGCCAACGCGATGCGTCTCCCACCAGTCCAACTGGAGCTCTCCCGAGTGGTGGCGAAGTACCATCCACTGTCTTCATGCACAGGGTCCAATGACTAACTCAGCAAATTGCAAATAGTCGGACAGGGCTTTAAATTAATAATTCACATTTTGTGATGTCCGTGCATTCGTACCTTTTACCTCGCACGGTGCAGTAGGTATCAAAGCAGCCTTCCAAACAAACACATTCAAGTTAAAACCTGATTCATCATATGAACAACTTTGAACAACTTTGAACATCATGAACAACTTTGTAGAAGAAAAATAAAACTAAGACCACTCAAGTCGGTCCAGTAGTTTCTAGAGCCTATTTTGTGAAGCAAGGTAGGGGTAATTTTTGACACGAAAAATTACTAAACCGCGCTCGAGAATTTGACTTGCACTGTAATTGATAGAGGGATTGTTATGTAACAAAACCCACATGAAAGAAGTGTGCTTCACAAAATAGGCTCTGCAGCAAAAACTACAGGACCGAATCGGAAGATTTTGGTTTCATAATTCTTCTATAAGGATTCTCCATCAGTTGGTACAGGTGGTTTGGGTCTCAAGGTAGTGGAAGTATGCCGTTCCGTTGGGTTTTTTTTGACCACTCTGTATCATTAAAGGGTCCATAAAATGAATTTACACTGGAGCATATATGTGGTGAGTATCCATTCCTCCGAAATGCATAAAAACTACGAGACATCCCTTTTTGGTAAAAAATAAAAGTGCACTTTTGTAAACATTTTGTATGTTTCATGATTTGCCTGACAATTGAGGGCGCTGTTGCTGTGATGTCACTTCAGGAACTCACTCTTCGGGTTAGGGTTTTTCTCTTTTAAATTGTACAACAAAAATTCTGGTTATTGAAAACATGTGTGAGTTTTCTGATTGTCTGTCATATACTGAAACAACAATAAACCACTGAATACGGACATTTGTATTAGCATGAAAATAAATAACGTAAAGATTATAAACAAAGTTAAATGTAAGGCCAAAAAAAAAAAAAAAGTCGGTCTCTGGTCAGCGCGCGCGTCGATTTTAATCATGCACGTCAATCTTTTTTTTCTCCAAAATGTTCCGCGGTAGCTCCAACAGCATTAAAAAAAATTTTTTTTAACAAAGAGCACGAAGGAATGGGAAATTGCACCAAGGCAAATGATCGAGAGCACCAAGGCAAATTATGGAGGACACCAATGTACATGAGGACACCAAAAAAGCAAAATAGTACCCCACCTTGTCTGTACAATCCAAGCTTGAAGAAAAAAAAAAAGGAAAAAAAAGAAGAAAAAAGCCGCGTCCCCGCGTCAATTCCGGAACTTTGGTCTGACCAGAGACCGAATATTTTTTTTTTGGGGGGGGGCCTAACATGACGGTTTATTTAAAGGACTGAACTTTTCGCGGAGCCACCACTTTAATCTACACACATTTGACCGTGGCTGGGATTGTTTTCCCACCACCGTGTAATTTGAGCCAACCCATCTTCAAACCGAAACTAACCACAGTCCGTTCATTCATGGTATCATTCAGACCCCAAACAGCCATTAAAACCACAGAATTGCCTTGTGAAGATCAAGACTCTTTCATTTTGTCAGCAGGGGCGATCCATGGCAATCCACAATGAACAGGGGCAATTGTATACAAGCCTATGTAAATGTGCACAGGCCCGGTAGGTTTCCCGCCAAACTTTAAGCCAACCACTGGGGCCTGGCAAGTGACACCCCCTCTGGTGGATGTACCATGGTCCAAACTAGGATCTAGTGATAGGCATGCCTATCACGTGGCTGGGACAATATAAAACATTAAAATGTGAGAAGTCTTTATTCCCTGGTGACTCCGGAAATTTTTTAAATGGGCTCTATAAATTCAGGAGAGGGAAGTGTGGCCTAGTGGTTTGGGTTCGTGACTCATGATCAGATGGTCAGGGGTTCGAATCCAGCTGCTGGCCATACGTTGTGTCCTTGGGCAAGGCACTTTATCCCCACTTGCCTCTCTCCACCCAGGAGTATAAAAGGGTACCAGCATTAGCTGGGGAGTAACCTGCGATGGACTGGCGTCCTGTCCAGGGGGAATACAAATATTCTCAGTCGTTTCATGCTACTGAAACCGGAGATAAACGCCGGCCTGATGGGCCATATAGGCTCGGGACAGACTTTACTTTACTCTTTAAATTCAGGAAGCCGACACTAAAAGATTTGATATTTTGAATAGAACGAGATGCATCTTACAGTCTGTGCCGGTGGAGGTGCCTGGGGCATTGACGTGATGCCCATCTGTGGTGCCGGCTGCTGGGAGGTCTGGCTCTGTCTGTAGCGCTCAAAGCGATCATAGCGGACGAATACGTTATTCAGGTCATCGTTCACCCTCAGTAGTTCTCCTACAGACATTTAAAAAAAAAAGTAAAATTGAAATGAAACATCAAGGCTGCACACAAAATTTACTGCTGCACAGTACGTAAGCTTAAATGTAGTCTAGGCGCTAGAAGTTGTTATGGTTTTGATACGTGATAATCCACCGCAGCGATAACCAGCCGCCGCAAGAGGGCGCTATCACGACCAACCAATAATCACCCACGAACTTGTCGGTAGCAACGTCTAGGCCAACTCTTATAATCTCCCCCCGAAAAATGGGGGAAACTAGTGCGCATGCGCGACTTCGACAGGCAATTACGGTCCATTTTCAGTCCCACACATACTACACACAACAAAAGAGATGACCAGTGAAGTTGCACAAAAGTCTTGCTGCATTTTTTTATGGTACTGGAAGATATTTGAGAGTTTGCTTCGGAACTTCTATGAATTTTGTCATGAATTGCGCGCTGCACATCTTAGGCCAAACAGGTGCGCGCACATTACACAACCAATAGGAAGTGGCCTCAACGTTGTTCCGACGGGTTCGTGGGTGATATGTTGGTCGTGATAGCGCCCCCTCGCGGGGGCGGGTTATCGCCGCAGCGGGTTATCGCGTATCAAACCATAACAACGTCTAGCCCCTAGACTAGCTTAAAAGCAGTGAAGGAATCTTTTATAGGAGTTGGGAATGGTTCATAGTTGGCACAAAAATGAATGTGAATGTGTTAATGTTTGTTTTTGAGCCGCGAATATTCAAAAGTTGTACATCTGCGATGTTGACTTTGCATCAGATTCGCATGAATTCCCAGAAATTAATCAGTCTTTATTATGGAGTACATGTACATGTATGTAGAAAACATACGATACCAAAAGAATGATCATACATTTATGCTACAGTTTATCGTGAGTTCGGATCTACTAACTTGCAGTGTGGAAATTGTTGTGATTCCATTTTGTAAACCTCTTTTGTGTATATCCACTTTAAACGAGTTCAATGGCATATACATGTACATGTATCTAAAAGGCTTCCAACTTAAAGGGACATTACGTCTTGGAATGAGCCCAATTGGGCTACAGAACACATTATAAAACGAATTGATGTTTAATTGGAGAGAACTTTTAAAAATAGCATATAAATATGTACATAATCATCCTTTAAAAACTGGGCGTCTTTGTGTTATTCTTGCGAGAATGAATTTGGGGGGGGGGGGGTCAAAATTTTGGCTCTCAAAAAGCGAGCTGTTGGGTGCTAGTCGTGAATCCTGCTGCATGTGTTACACCAGTGCATGGCATTCTGCGGACGTGTGAGAAACATTGTTGAGGTATCGGTGCTGTGTGACAGAAGTAAACAACCAGGGGTTTTTTTTCTCGGGAACGGTAAGACATTAGGTTGGTTTCCTTTCAACCAGACCTTTGAAATAGGACAAGTAAACAATCCAAAGCACAACACTTTTCAGAGATTTCAGGCCGTAAATTGAGTAATTTATAGACGTCCAAGAATTGTAAGGTCAGGGAACCAGTCTAGCTGGCTTGCACTCGTTCATGGGTGTGTAATCAAATGCAAACAAAATGCGGACTATAAACTCAATATGGTAAATTATTATTACTCAAAATGGGGGCAGTATTGAAAAAAAAGCCAGTTTTTTCCAACGCTGGTCGGCTGACCAGCGTTGGAAATCTATTACAAAAATACCATTTTTTTTTACCATGTCAGCACACCAGGTGCCACGATTTCACAGCATGCTTGAGACTATTATTCAATAACAGTCCAGTTAGATATTTCCTAACAGTTTGGTTGTTTTGTCTCTTGATGTTTGCAAATGTTGTATATTCCCTTTAATTTTGTCACTTTTTGCTTTAAAAATTCCATCTGTGATCACATAATTAATATTCACCCAGCAACAATGTAGAAATACACACGGCACTATCATGTCCTTTGGAATGCAATATTACACATATAACCCCGGGTACCAGTAAATATTTTCTGAGAATTTATCTTTTTTTTCCCTACCTGTAACTTCCTCATTGTTGACGGAGCTTATCAGCTCCACGACACGCTGCTGCATTGCACGGCAGGTTTTGTTCAGATCCTGGGCGGAGAAAAAAAATTCTGACGGTTAAAACGAGGTCGCTGTTTACAAATGGTATGAAACTGAAAGGAAACAGTGCGTGTTCAACAACTGTGTAATAAAAACAAAATGGCTGTACTAGGAATTTCATGGCAAACAGAGAGAAAATGACAATATGTGACCTGTTCTGTCAAAAGCAGACGCTTCTGGGCAGAGGTTGAAATTAAGATAGGGCCAAAAATGCTGTGGGGGTGATTTTTTTCGATTTTCAAATTTTTGCATTTTTGTAATCCTGAACATGTCTAAAATATACTATTAAAGTTTGAAACCCTAATTTGAACTCTAAATATAGTATTTTTGATGATTTGTTAAGGTATATCAGTTAAAGAAATTACTGTTTTGTGACGTTCGTGGCCATTTTCTCCGTTTTCTACTTTTCGACACAGTGAACTTCAAAATAGCATAACTCTGCCCAGGAATGACCGATTTCAAAAATTAAACCACCAATTAAAAAGAAAAAGAACATGCTTTAACAATATGCAAAAATCTCATTTTTGACCTTTTGCCCAGAAAAGTCTGATTTTGACAGAACAGGTCACATATATGACAAAATAGCAATATTTCAAAACTCATGGTTTTGACTGCGAGTGCCTTTGGAGGTAAGTCCAACTTATTCTAGTGAGTGAAATTTGCTTAGACAATTTGCTAAGCTGAAAGTGACTAGGACAAGATAATACAAAAGATGATATCTTTTTTATTTGAGAAAATAACAGGTTTTTTTTTCTGTGTTATACGTACGTAACATGGACAGACACACTGCAAGGAAAAGGGTGGTTAGGACAAATTAAGTTTCTAATAGGCACTTCCAGTGACATTATTAAGCCATTTTACATTGTTATCAAACCAAAATATAACAGTTTTCACACTGGCTTCAAATTTATGATGTGATTAGGGTTACGTACGAACAGGAACAGACATTTTGTTACAAATGTCCAGTCTGCTCGTACGTATAAATCCTGATTATATAATATCAAATAATTCTTCACATCGACTCCGAGTTTTCTAGGTTTTAACTGATAGCATTCCTCCAGGGTACATCTTCTTAAATCAGACAACATTAGGGAATCTTTAAATGTTATGCTTACTTCTTGACTTTATCTAAAATGTCTGTCCTTCGTTACATATGCAACACTTTTAAAAACGATATCCACTATATTTTTCTAAAATACAAAACCAGTTATATCCTTTGCAGGTGAGGATAATTGTTTAAAGCTTGCAATGTTTACAGCAAAAATTGAGAGACCAAGATCCTAGTTTTATAATCAAAAATCAAAAGGTCTTCTCACAAGTCACACTTTTGGGCCCATTGGTGTGGAATTGCCCAACTATGAGCTGGGCAATTCAGTAAATTTGGATGTTCATGTCAGACACTTCAATGAGCTGCTGTTGGAAAAGTGAATGTGATACTTCACTTATACAGCCTGTCTAAAAAAAAATGGTACATGTACAATCAGAAAAAAAATTGGTTAAATATGAAATTTCAAAATAAGTCATTCTTACTTGGCATAATATTAAAGAACAGAGACTGGGCTTTCCAATAGTGTTTGTTTGATCTTATTTGCTTTTGTCAATTCAGAGATATAATCAATTTAGTGCGATACACCAAAATCGATTTTGTGCCACTTTTATGCATGGGCAGAGTTGTTTCGAGTACTGGGCCATGCTGTCTTGAAGCTCACAAAAGATTGCAATTTGGCAAAAGAAACAAACTCGATTTTTGTGTTCCGCAGTAAACTGGAGTTATCTCTGGATGGACAAAAGCAAATGAGATGAAACAAAAAGTATTGGAAACCCTGGTCTTTTTTCTTTAATGTGATGCTCAAAACGACTTACTTATGTTGAGATTTAATATTGAAAAAAAAATTGTTTTTGATTGTACCATTTTTTTTTTGAGACAGGCTGTAGTGTGACATCTAATGAGTAGAAAACAATTACAGACCAAACTAAAGGTACAACCACAATTAACGACCTTGTTCAAGTAAATACGTTGAATTTTACGGAAGTTGCCAAACTGCCAATTTAAAGGTAGAGTAGATCATTTGTCATTTATGCATTTTTTTTCGTTTGAAGCAACAAAAGTGCTCAAATCTAAAGAATGGTGCTTAACAACTAACCTGATGAATTAAAGCTCAGTGAATGCTAAATATTCTGAGAAAACAATATTCTAGTATCTTGATTTCAGGTCAACAGTACAATTTTTGACCGAGTATTTCCAGTTTTGTTTGGACGAACATGGTAAATGGTAATGTAAGTGCAGGAGAGCAAAATCTCGCATTTTGAATTGGGAATGAGTTAACTTCAGTTTTGTGAATGCCATATCATTCTAGGCGCGTAGCCAGAGTTTTTTGCTTGCTCGTTGCAAAATGGAATTTTTGTCCCGTTTACGTTTCGCCGTCCCGATATTGCTTCCATCAGCATCCCGGTTTTGTTTTTAAAATCTCTAGCGTGTTGCACTCTGCACCTACTGGCTACACCTTTGTATCGTTCGTACTAAGAACAAACAGGGCTCATTTTCATGACACTACTAAGCAGAAAATATGCTAGAGCAAAACTTCACTGGTAAGCAAAAATCAGCTGTAATTCAAACTAAAGCAGCATACAAAATGGGGCAATTTAGCTGGTAACTTGGTTTTTGCTAAGCGGATGTTTTCTATGCTTGACAAATTTCTGGGGTATTGTATTAATTTTACTATGACCCTTACCAGTAGAAGCTGCAGGTCGTTTGGATCCTCCTGGCCGGGCACCATCTCGGTCAGCATCTCCGACATGACCCTGACGTTGCCCAACACGACCTCCAGGTCACGCCTCATCTTGGCAAGCTGCTCTGGAGCCAAGCCGGCCGCGGGAGGGGCCACGCTGGGCTGCGGAGGGGCCATGCCGGGCTGGGGAGGGGACTGCGCAGCCACGGCCACCGGTCCGGTGTTCAGAGGGGGGGACTGGGGATAGGCAGTCTGCTGCGGAGGGTAAGGGGTCTGCTGCGTAGGGTAAGGGGTCTGCTGCGGAGGGTAGGGGCTCTGCTGGGGAGGGTAGGGGCTCTGCTGGGGAGGGTAGGGGGTCATCTGGGGTTGCATCTGGGGTTGCATCTGGGGTTGCGTCTGGGGTTGTGAATTCTGTGACATCGGGGAAAAAAAAGAAGGTTGAATGCTGTTTTTACCCTAATGTCCTGAGGGCTCTTTGGGGGTCAAGGACCAAAAAACCACAGAATACTACACGAGTTGTGCACACTTGTATGGAAAGAAATGCATACTACAGGTTACTACTCAGTAGTATTTTGTAGCTTTAGGTGAGGTTAGGGTCAATGAACACTGCTTGATACAAAGCTTTTAGTAATAACATACATTACGTCCCCTTTGGCTATGAGATTTTTGGTACAATTGTCCCGAGACACCTGTGGCCAAAAATCCATTCCAGAGCCACTAATGAAAGTCATATTTTAAAATATTTTGAAAACAGTCTAACTTTCAACATACCGAACGCACTGAAGGTATGTTTTTTGCACACAAACCCAGGGTTTTTTTTCGATAGAAATGTCAAATTTGCAAATTTTAATCTTCAAAATCAAATTTCACATCCACAAAACAAAACGGTATTCTTGAAGGCCTTTCAACAGAAAACATGATTTTGTCCAATACCTGTCTGGTCGGAGCCGGGCGCCTGCTGGCTGGGTCCACTTCTGGTGTTGCCTAGAGAAGGAAAATATGCAGTCAATTAAGTAATTAATTAACCCTAATTCCCTAGGCCTTTTTGCTAGGATGTAGCCTCAATCCTGCAAAATCCTGCAATTGGCCTCATGGAAAAAATAGCATATTAGCCTCAATCCTGCAAATTCCTCCATTATTCCTCCATTATGCGTGTTCTTTCAGCAAAACGAAAATAATTCACACACATCCCTATGTGAATTTTTTTTGTTTTGCTGAACGAACACTTACTCTTTGTGTGATCCATGGACAGAACTTTACCACGGTAGTTGTGTTGTTTAAAATTCCGTAACTTGAAAAGTACACGAGTGATATGTATGATTCTTGTACTAAAAGAAAGCTTATGAATTGGGCTTTCATATTCTAGATTTTGATAGTGCTACATGCAGAACTTCACTAAAACAATGGTCCCGACATTTGGGTTTCCTACTCACCCTGTACAATGGAACACAAAGTAGTACATGAGCGAATTTGTAAACCCTAACTCCCTCGGCCTTTTTTCTAGAATGTAGCCTCAATCCTGCAAAATCCTGCAATTGGCCTCATGGAAAAATAGTATATATAGCCTCCATTCCCTGCAAAATCTTACGGCAGTGACTGTCAATATATACGAGGCTTGGCCAGTGACATCCTGGAGCAGTACGGAGGATTTCAAGCATAATCCAGGCCTATATTTATGCATGGCTGAGCAAAAACAACACAAGGTCTGGCCCAAGACCTTGACAAAGTGCATCCTACGAAATCAGTAACGCACTTTTGCCATGTAACCTCAATCCTCTAAATTCCTCCACTTTGGCAAAGAGGATTTTGAAGGATTCAGGGCGGTTGGGGTTAACGACTCACTCATCCTGAACCACCCTGTCTACTCTTCCCTGTGCTGCCCCCAAACCACCTATTAGCATTCTACAATGTTATGGCTTCATCAGGGCATAAATACAATGTAATACACAGTAAAACAGGTGCTAATTTGTTAACGACTCACTCACCCTAAGCCACCCTGTCTCTTTTTCCCTGTACTGCCCCAATTTTACGGCTTCATCGGGGAATAAATACAATGTAATACATATTAGTACATGTGTTAACCCTAACCCCTTGGGTATATTTACTAGAAAGTATCCTGAATCCGCCAAAATCCATCAATTTTGCCATGCAAAAAAATTCTGGCGGCCAGCGAGTCCATCAGAATCCACCAGTTAGCCGGGAGTAAATCTGTTGAGATCCTGAATCCATCAAATTCCCCAAACTGCTCAATATGGAGGCATCCTGAATCCATAAAAAAATCCTGCAGTAGCGCTAGGCTTCATGTCCTGAATCCATCAAAATCCCCCAACTTTTTCAATATCGAAGTATCCTGAATCTGCCGAAATCCCCCGAAAAACAGGGGTGTGGATTTTGATGGATTCAGGTACCTTAGGGTTAATGTGTTAACGACTCACTCTCTGAGGAGTTACAATCGGCGACAGCTCGTCCAGGTTGGTGGCGGGGAACTCGATGCCCTTCTGCTTGAGCTCCTCGTAGACCTTGACCACGCCCTGCAGGTCGGGCTTGGCCCGGAAGGCGTCGGCCCAGGACTGGATGATGCTGAGGATCTTCTCCTGGACCACTGTGGGCGGGTTCATGTTGGGCTGGATGATCTTGACGAGCTCCTTGACGAATTCTTGCTTGCAGACCAAGACATGGAAACGGTGGCCGCAGTTCTTGACGCATGTCTCCAAGACCTGGGGGGAAGGGGGGGGGGGGTTGAGAGAAGGAAGGGAAACAGAAATGAAAGGAGGGCAAAGGATGTGAGAGGCAGCGGAGGAAGTATCAGGAACTGACATAAGTTTTGATACTTTGACAATTTTCGTCCTGGAGAAAAGCTGTTTTGAATCATTGGACTTCTAACAACATGTTTTAGAATGATTATATAGAACTAATGTTTTCGTATTTGATTATCCGCTACTTTCCATTTCATCCATTAGAACAGTACAAAGCATTTAGGTGTCAACTGAAGATGGCTAAACTCACTTTCCTGTTAGACAATATTGCTCCAAATTATGACTTATTATGACTTCAATTTTTAAGGTTGCAGTGGGTTTCTTAAAGTTAGATCTTATCAGTTTTCATCGAGGCGAGAATCTTTATGTGCATAACATGGAATTTTGTGTCAGGGTGATGTAAATCAATATTAGGTTTTGCCCTTCACTGACATACACTGCATACTCAGTGTGTTACCTCCCGAGTGAAAGATGGAAAAAATCACTCGGGTGGGACTCGAACCCACGACCTCCTGCTCAAACCCACGGGAGGTTTCACACTGAGTATATAGTGTCAATACGTTAGTGAAGGACAAAACTTAATTTTGATTTACGCCCCCCCCCCCCCCCCCCCCCCCCCCGCCCCCGGCACAAATTTATCTAATGAATTGTTTGATAGCAGGATCTCCTGCAACATGTGCATCAGATTCGAACCAGCCAACCGATCCCGCAAGCTCGGTGGTCGAGTGGTGAGACGTCTGCTCTAGAAAGCAGGAGGTTGTGGATTTGAGTCCCACCCAAGTGATTTTTTTCCAACTTTCACTCGGGAGGTAACACACTGGGTATACAGTGTCAATACTTCGGTGAAGGGCAAAACCTAATATTGATTTTTCTGTGAGAAAGATCCTGCTCGGATCGGGGCTGTATTATTTTTGCAATCTGTATATATCAGGGCAGTAAGCATGTTGCAGAGGATTTCTCTTCACTCTGTCTATTTAACAATGACACAAGATGTCATGGGTACTTCACTTGCCATATAAATTAACCCTATCCCTGCTCAATGCAACAGAAAGCAACAAAGGTAAAAAAGTTGTTGCATACTGTTGCATTGAGCAGCCAACTCAAGTCCCCGTGCTTTGTTGCATCTTGTTGCATTTAGCAGGGTAACTGCTCATAGTGCCAAGGTGATACAACAGAATCCACTGTTGCACTTGGTTGCATTTAGCAGGGTTTATAACTGCTTGGTGCCAAGGCTGGTATGCACTGGGTTCACTGCACAATGCAACAGAATCCACTGTTGCAATTTGGTTGCATTTAGCAGGGTAACTGCTTGGTGCTAAGGCTGGTATGCACTGGGCTCACTGCACAATGCAACAAAATCCACTGTTGCACTTGGTTGCATTTAGCAGGGTAACTGCTTGGTCCCAAGGCTGGTATGCACTTGGCTAACTGCACAATGCAACAGAATCCACTGTTGCAATTTGTTGCATTTAGCAGGGTAACTGCTTGGTGCCAAGGCTGGTTTGCACTGGGTTCACTGCACAATGCAACAGAATCCACTGTTGCAATTTGTTGCATTTAGCAGGGTAACTGCTTGGTGCTAAGGCTGGTATGCACTGGGTTCACTGCGCAATGCAACATAATCCACTGTTGCAATTTGGTTGCATTTAGCAGGGTAACTGCTTGGTGCCAAGGCTGGTGTGTACTGGGCTCACTGCACAATGCAACAGAATCCACTGTTGCAATTTGGTTGCATTTAGCAGGGTAACTGCTTAGTGCCAAGGCTGGTATGCACTGGGTTCACTGCACAATGTACATGATGTAACAGAATCCACTGTTGCAATTTGGTTGCATTTAGCAGGGTTTATAACTGCTTGGTGCCAAGGCTGGTATGCACTGGGCTCACTGCACAATGCAACAGAATCCACTGTTGCACTTGGTTGCATTTAGCAGGGTTTATAACTGCTTGGTGCCAAGGCTGGTATGTACTGGGCTCACTGCACAATGCAACAGAATCCACTGTTGCAATTTGTTGCATTTAGCATAGTCCTCATTTTGGCCAAGCTGCATTTTGTTGCATTTGGCAGGGTGCCTAGAGAAAAACTGTTGGGGTTAGGTTGAAAGACAAACTTTATGCGTTTAATTCTCAAAACACCGGGTCGGATATTTATACTCACTGTGAGCGCAAACATGACTTCTTTCCAATTCTTATTCCCCATCAGCCTCTTCTTGATGGCTTTGACAGAATCTTTGGGCCTGCAAAGAATTAGATAACAATTGTAAACATTTTAGTTGAACAGGTTCCAGCAAGTGACAAAATGAACTGATTTCAATTTGATTGAGGTCTCAATTCACATCATGAAGGAGCTATCCACAATTTTTTTTGCACAACTGAGTGAAGCCATGTGAAGGTGGGGTGCTGTGGTCCAATGGTTACGGTGTTCGACTCGTGAGCCATGGTACATGGGTTCGAATCTTGACGTGGAACATGGTGCTTGTGCTCTTGAGCATTACACTTTACCATTACTGCTTCGTCCTTCGGATGGGACGCAAAGCCGGAGGTCCCGTGTGTTGTGTAATGCACGTTAACTCTAACCCACCTCACTCCTCCAAAATCCTCCTGGCGGTTTTGGAGGATTCTAGAGGATTGAGGATGAATGGTGATTGAATCAAATGAGGATTCTGGAGGATTGAGGATGAATGGTGATTGAAGCACATGAGGATTTTGGAGGATTGAGGATGAATGGTGATTGAAGCACAAGAGGATTTTGGAGGATTGAGGATGAATGCATTTTGAGGCAGGACTGTCTGAGGATTTTGAAGGATTTGGTGTTGGTTATCCTTCATTTAAACACGAGTGCAAAGTTTTGGGATGAGGAGGATTTTGGAGGATTGAGGATGAATGCATTTTGAGGCAGGACTGTCTGACAATTTTGAAAAATTTAGGCGGAGTTGCAAAATTTTGGAAAATTTTGGAGGATTTTGGAGGATTGAGGATGGTTGTAAGCAACAAGGGCCTAGGGGGTTAGGGTTAAAGAACCCAGTAACACTTCTCGCTAAGAGAAGGGGTTTGCCCCGGTGTTTCTGGCAGTGGCTACAATATGCCCTGCAGCACCTTGTAAACCCTTACAAGATGCTACATAATGGGTCTCGTATTTCTTATCAACTTCATTTACCTGTCTTTAAAAATAGACATAATTACCAGCGCCTTGACTACCTAATTGTTGGTAGATACGTGCGCTATATAAGACTCCAGTATTATTCAAATTATGAAACTCAGCAGAATAAATTGGAGTATATCCAATCTTTTTAAATAGATGGATCGTTTAGTAGTCTGGTGACAAGGCTGTGGGGAGAATGTACATAGAATAGGCTAAGAACCAGACGTTTCTTCTGACACGATTAACACGAGCAGTGATAAAGAAATTGTTGGACTGATTGTTTCCCACAATTTGCACGGTTTCACAATCTCAAATTTTTGAGCGAGAAACACTACGCCAAAAAAAAAATTGTGTTTCTGGTTACCCCACCCCAACCTAGAAAATGATGCAGAACCTTACAAAAAGAAAGTTATGTTGATGCCCGCCCTACTTTTCGCAGTCATCGCCCTAAATTTGTGAATTTTTACATTTCATGTTTTGTAAGTTGGTCGCCAATGTGGTCTTAACATGCCTTGCAGTGAATGCAGAATGAACAGTTGATTTACAACTTAACCGTTACGAATTCATGGAGAACAAAAATTTGAAAAAAAAAAACCCAATTAATCGACCAACATTCCATCCTAATATTTCTGGCTATAAAAAAAAATAGAGCAACCCCCCCCCCCAAGGAACATTTTATCCACCCCTATTTGTTTTCATTTCTAAGGAAAACATGGTCTAAGGCCAAAAAAAAAAAGTCTCCGGTTTGAAAAAGTTGAAATGAAAAAGTTTTTTTTTCAATGAAAGATGATGTCTCAAAACCGCCAAACTCACTGGTTTGACTGGAATCCTGCTGCTGCACAATTTTAACGTGTTTTTAGATTGGGTTATGGTCGAGAATAAGCTTTATGTGGCCTCTCTGGACTCCCATATATTTGCACAAAGTTTAGTCGGGCACCATTTGCAGTCATCAGCCGACATTTGAAGCAAAAAAATCAGGTAAAAAAAAAAAAAAAAGCCGCGTCGCCGCACCACTTCTTGGGCAAGCTCCATACCAGAAACCGGAGACTTTTGGGGGGGGGGGCCTAATATTAAAATTCTTAAATTTTTGGACCCAATTTATCAACATCAAAAAGTGGGCATCTTACCCGTCCTCTGTTTCATTGACAATGTCACAGATCTCCATGTTCAGGCCCCAATCCTCGGAGGCTAATCCCTCCGAGGTGGCCCTCTCTGTTGGCAAAAAGAAAAGGTAAAATACAATTTTAGTTAAAACTCTACCACTTTGGTCTCATTGACACATGTATGTATAATGTAGTACGGATGTGACATTTTAACATTTCAAAGAAAAAATCTTAATCCATTTACAAATTTTAAATTTTTTTTAACGAAGCCTACATTATAAAAAAGTGATTATGTTAAAGGGAATATACATCATTTGCTTTTGCTGTAATTTTCAGAAATGGATGGAATTGGGGGGTTCGTATTATATAGCAAATATTGTTACAGTGACTTTTTTTAAGTTTTGGGTTCGAAAATACTATAAAAACTAAGAAAACCTTCATTTTCCTGTAGTCTGGTTCCCTGACTCCATTTAAGAAGAAACAGAGCAGTTTATGTACATTGGGGAATTGTAAGGTCAGGGAACCAGCCTAGCTGGCTTGTACCCATTCATAGGTTTCTAATCGATTGCAAACAAGTGCGATGGTCAATTGGGGCCAGTATTTGAAAAAAAAGCCAGTTGTTTCCAACGCTGATCGGCCGATCAGCGTTGGAAATTGATACAAAAATACCACTTTTCTTGAAAATGACAGTATACCAGGTGCCATGATTTTACAGGATACTTTACACTGTCATTCACTAATAGTCCAGCAAGGTATTTCAAAATGATTTGGTAGTTTTATTTTTTGATGTTTGCAAATGTTGTATTTTCCCTTTAACTCGATATGCCCTCAAAGTTACTGCATTTCACAAAGAATCAAGGATTCCTTTAAATTTTTTTAACCCTAACTCCCCAGGTATTTTTGCTAGGATGCAACCTCAATCCTGCAAAATCCCTCAGCTGCCTCCAAGTAAAAATAGCATACAGCCTCAATCCTCTAAAATCATCTAAAATGATTAAGGCCTATCGACAGTTTGCACGGAAAGCAAATAGTATCCAGACACCACTTCAACCGTCAACGGTGTTGTACATGTACGTGTACAATGTCTATGGAGAGTCAAGACAATTTTCAAGGTATTCCCAAACAAATTAGATTTGTTTAAGCTTATACCCTATAAAAAAAGGGGCATCAGGTTGCAACAAAATAAAGACATTTTTCCGCTTACACAATCAATCATTCATGGCACTAATAAAGTAAAATGATTCGGTAACGAATCAATGCACATTCAGCACAATTTATTAAAATTACTGATAAAATCACAAGTCATTCATCAGCTGTATTACAATATACAGTTACATGTAACACTCATGGGAAAGATTACCATATCTGGCCATCACTTGTCACCCTGTGCACAAACCCTGAGACTGGTCTGAAAAAAAAAGTGTTTTCTCAGTAACTGCTTCAATGTTTTCCCTGCTTTATTGGGCTTTTTAGGACATATTATCACTTTCTGATGGCTGATAGGTCACTGCAGGGTAAAATTAGTGATGTCAATGTATGGAATTCTTCCCCCCCCCCAAAAAAAATGTTGGACACCAATCCAAAACTAAAGAGATTTAATTTGAACTGAAGCGATCTAGAACGAAGAAAATTCTAGAACTAGAAATTAAAGAAAACGACTGTCAATGAGTGTTTCTCACTTCTCACTCTCGGTGCTCAGCAAGAAACCTGTATTTATCGACAGTTTTACAAATTACCATGATTACACAATGATCACAACAGTAAAACGATTCGGTAATTAATCAATGCACATTCAGTACAAAGTATTAAAAAACACTGATAAAAACATGAGTCATTCCTCTACAGCTATATCCCAGTAGGCCTACACAGATAACAATGAACCCAATGACACAAATCCACAATGACATTCAATGTAGTATGACTATGAGAAAATAACATTGGCCATTGAAATTGAATGAAAGGCAATGTGTGCATGACGTGCGAAGTCTTGGCCTTGCGCACAGGGTCACCAAAACCGTTCCGTTAAAACGACCCACTCCTTATTATTACAAAAACACCGCCACATCCAAAAGCCTGAAAGATGACAGAACCATTCTAAACACTTTGCCACAAAGTCAGTGGAGGTTTTCGAGGGTAACTCACCTATCCTTTGCCCGACGGGCGTTACGAACGGACTGGAACCGAAAAACGACATCTTGGAAATATCGTGACTGGTAATAAGCACGAGACCAACACAACACAACAGGTATTACTGCACTTTTTACGCAGCTTGTGGGTGGGTACCAGCCAGTGACCTTCGGTCGGCCTCTGTCGCTCGGGCATTGATAACGTAATGAGCTATTTTTAGACAAATTACCATACGGGATTGACCCGAGAAATGAATTATGGGTAGTGTTCCTTGACAACTGATTTTCGTGCGGGACGGTTGACGTCCGATGCTCTCTGTTTGAAAGCCGGAATTTTGTGTTTTTTGCTGGTAATTATATTGCGAATAAGTTTCGAAAATTGTTTTGAATGTTTCAGACTTTAAATTCAAAGATTCACTTCTGGAAATTTAATTTCCTTTACGGGAAAAAGTGTTGCAACCTGACGCCACTTCAGTCTTCATTTCAGTTTTCACTCAGTCTCAGCGGTCGTGTACAAAGTCTATGGAGAGTCAAGAAAATTTCTAAGTAGGCCTAGGCCGCCCTAGGCCTATTTCCTAACATTCAGTAACAAAATTGGAAATGTTTCTCAGTCCCAGATTCATGTCTTATCATTTTTGCCATGACTGACCCTCATTGAGATGATACGCCTATATGAATTGATTATGAAGAAAAAAAGTGGCGTCACGTCAGGTTGTAGCCCCACTAGTGTGGCCTTCGGTATGCTGCGCTGAACCTAAGGCCACACACCGTGGTCCGCGCACTACTGAGGACGTTTTCATAAAATTTGCAGGGAATTTCTTACATATGGTTGTATTCTACGATGTCCCATCTATCACTTCTGGGATGCTTAGGTGTAATGATGTTCAATTTTCCAAGATATTCTTGAATCTTTCTGGAGCCCATATGCACTCGTGAAACGTCTGGTGATGGCAGCCATTTTGAATGTGACAAGAGATGACCTCAAGCTGTGACGTCGCGTTTATGCAAATTGCTTGTCGAGCGAGGGCGCGAGTTGCAAATGCGACGGCTGTTTCCTGTGCCGTAGATCCTGAATAGAGATCAGTGCACGTGGCCCCCAGACGATAAATGCATGGTACAGGAAACAGCCGTCGCATTTGCAACTCGCGCCCTCGCTCGACAAGCAATTTGCATAAACGCGACGTCACAGCTTGAGGTCATCTCTTGTCACATTCAAAATGGCTGCCATCACCAGACGTTTCACGAGTGCATATGGGCTCCACACAGCTCCAGAAAGATTCAAGAATATCTTGGAAAATTGAACATCATTACACCCAAGCATCCCAGAAGTGAAAGTTGGGACATCGTAGAATACAACCATATGTAAGAAATTCGCTGTTGAAATTATGAAAACGTCCTCAGTAGTGCGCAGACCACGGTGTGTGGCCTTGGGTTCAGCGCAGCATACCGACGGCCACACTAGTGGGGCTAAGGGGGCCTAGGCCTAGGCCTACATCAAATTTCAAAGTTGATTTGATAGTTGTGGAATTTACTTTATCTGAAAGAGCTTTCAAAATGCAATTAAACAAATGGTCTCCTAACTTCATAGGGCAAGCAGTTCTGACATTATTGCAATTTTAAAGTTGCTTTTTTTGCCTTAAAATGATGCTCGATTTGGCTGAAATAAATGTGACCTTGTCAGTTGATTATGTGTCCTACAAACCTATGGGAAATTTACACACAAATAACGGCATAGCTGTTTTGGGGAATCCACAACTTTTTTTGGCAATGTGATTTAATAACAAACCAAACTTTCTAAGGTCAACTAGGGCCTACACCCTGCAATTCTCTTTTATTGATGTTTGGAGCTAAGCGAAAGTATCCCTGTATGTGATACTCCATGTCAAACGTTTTCAATAAAGGTGGTCACAAAAAATTATGTCATTTTGGGCATGAAAATAGCGCCACCAATGTCCATGGCGGTGGTTCAACCTACCTTTACGGTTTCTGTTACACCTCGTGAGTCGAGTGCATGCAGAGTGTAGTCAGTGTATCCTAGAACTATGAGGCTCCACATAGTGGAGCCTCATAGGCAGCTTACCCCGCAAAACTGTTTGTCTCTACAAAACACCAACTAAGTACAAAAACGTCCATCACAACCAAGCTATTTCCCACAGAACTGCTGCACAGTTTGCCCCTAAACTCCGTACAATACCTCATGACATACTCACGTTATGTGCACCAAACAAACATCGGTGGATTCTGTCGGTTTTTAGGCCAAAATGATGAAAAATATACCCTTTCCGCACTGAGTCAACTTGACGTTTTTGTACTTAGTTGGTGTTTCGTACAGGCAAACAGTTTTGTGGGGTACGCTGCCTTTGAGGCTCCACGAGCCTCATAGTTCTAGGAGTAGTGGCACTGCACTGGAACTTGCAAATTTTTATGAACATGATCATGAATGTGCAAAACAAAGTCGGAATTGTGTCTATCCTTACGGCAATCGACCGTCTGGTTCCCGTACCTGGCAATATGCAACGTCACGATCTACTATGGCTCTTGCAACCAGACTATTATTAACCGAATGGTTCTCCGACTTTATTTCCCTCTTAAAAAATGATATGGAGTCGGACTAGCTTGAACTGGTTTCCGCTGATAGCTGCCTTAGTTCCCGACTTCCTATCATCGTTCGAAATGCACTTGTGTTTACAAATGAGATCCAGTCTACTCATTATCATAATCGATGCATGTTCAAATGTTAAAAAAGGTGATAAGTAGGGTCCAAGTTACTCGCGGACTAGCTGCCCTGGTGGACTTGTTTTTCTGTTCCAATTTTAAATACGGAAAGATTTCCATATACAAAGTTCACTAATTTTCCTCTGTATTGACTAACAAGCCCCCAGATAGCAATTTCATGTCATCAAAGTCAATTTGAGCAGTGAGAAAATACAAGCATTTTCTTAGAAAACACTTAAAAATGTTCAGTCCAATCTCATAGAGTTTGTACACAGGGTGTTGAGTGAACTTCGTATATGGAAATCTTTCCTTAAATACTTTTTGTTGATGCAACATCCCTGCTATTGCTAACTATAAGAAATAAAACAATACAGTAGGCCTATAGGTTGCCTCAAATTTTCATATTTTTTTTGGCCTCAGCTATACATATGCCATACATACTCACCTCATCTGTGAAACACTTTTTCTTCTTTTCCTAACAGATGACAGATGCAGAGTCTTTGAGAGCATAGTTCATCCTTAACAAGTTTTCGTACCTGACTTGCCATCATGAGTCGACTGTACGACACAGTGGAGCCAGCCGTCATCGATGAGGACATGCTGCAGAAGGCCGTGGAGGAGCAGGGTCCTAAAGATGAGGCTGGACGCATTGCCAAACAGGAAGGAATCGACTTTACTGATGTCACACAGCTCCGATTGGACTTCAAAAGTGAGGAGGACGGAGGGGGAAAAGAGTCTAATTCAAAGTAGTTCAAGATTCCAGACTTAGGTTTTCTTTTCATGACATTGTCATTCCTTCATGTGCTTTTGGCGTCTGTGTATCTCTGAACACTTAACTCTAAACGGCCCTTGCTTAAAGGCAATGCAATGTATACAACATTTGCAAATATCATAAAACAAAACTACCAAATTGTTGTTACATCGCCTTCATTGGCTACCAATTTGAGCACGCACAAATTTCAAACTTCTTGTCATTGTATACAAATGTATCAACTCTATGGCACCTTCATATCTCCAAGAACTCATCTCCAAGAACTCATCTCTTTCAACACATCTGTCTATGCCACCCGCTCATCATTTGACAAAACACGTCTCCATAACCCCCAAACTAAGTCGCGTACTGGAGATCGTGCCTTTCAAGCCGCTGCTCCCCGGCTGTGGAATTCCCTTCCCCGTAACATCCGGGAAGCCAACACACTTCAGCTCTTCAAAAATAGACTCAAAACCCATTTATTTGTTTAATCATGCCATATGTTATTTTGCTTGTATAGTTTATTATATCTGTATCAATGCATCTTTTATTTGTATCTTTAATTATTTTGTCAGCTTTTGTAAAGTGCTCCGATCTTTGTGGGGCGCTATAAAAATGCCTATATGTATGTATGTATATGTAAATTATTATGAAATACCTTACTGGACTGGTAGTGAATGTCTCATCATGTAAAATCATGGCACCTGGTGTGCTGACATTTTCAAGAAAAGTGGTAATTTGGTATCATTTTCCAACGCTGGTCGGCTGACATTCCGTAATCCAAAGCTGATCTGACATCAATTATGTTTTACAGATATATTAAAGATAGACAACCTGTGGCAGTTCAAGAACCTCGTCAAGTTGCAGATGGACAACAACATCATTGAGAGGATAGAGGGGCTCGACACATTGAAAAACCTGGTGTGGTTAGGTAAGTGAGTATATTCCTTAAGCAGATTTGCTTCATTCAATCATCATTCATCATGTCGGGGTCGCCTGGGTTGTGACGACATCACGAGCCAGTCCCTGAGTCCTCTTCCTCCAGCTGTCTCGATCTACCATGCAGGTGCGCAGCTCCTCTGCAGATGTGAGATCAGTGTCCCTCTTGAGCCACTGGTCCACAAAGGTCAGACTTCTTCTCCCTCTTAAGGCAGTGCCCTGGGTGGGCTCCCACGGTATGGTTGGGTGGGCAGCAAGCTCAGGGTGGCGGACGCAGTGGCCAGCAAGATTAAGACGACGCTCTCTGATCTTGTGAGTCGCTCTCTGCATGCCGTTGTAGAGGTCATCATTCCTCATACGATCCTGCCACGATACGTTGAGGGCTATACGTAGCATGCGAGTGTAGCATCCATCCAGTGACTTCTCCTCCTTGGTTGTGAGGGTCCACGTCTCTGCACCATAGAGTTGGACGGACTCAATTGTGGAGATGAAGAGCGACCTTTGCTTCATTACCCACATTGGTTTCAGGAGAATTTCGGCCCTTGACTTTGGGGATTCTGGCTCAGCACATTTTGTTCGCGCTCCTGTAGTTACGGGCCCCTCTTTCGTTTCGATCAAATAGAGGCAAGGGTGTTGTTTATCATTCAAAAATGACCTTTTCAGCCTAAGGCCAAAAAAAAGTCTGGTTTCTGGTATGCGCGCGCGTCGCTGTAGCCATGCGCGTCGGCAAAATGAAAAAGTTGTTTTTTTTTTAATGAAAGATGATGTCTCAAAACCGCCAAACTCACTGGTTTGACTGGAATCCTGCTGCTGCACAATTTTAACATGTTTTTAAATGGGGTTATGATCGAGAATAAGCTTTATGTGGCCTCTCTGGACTCCCATGTATTTGCACTAAGTTCAGTCGGGCACCATTTGCAGTCATCAGCCGACATTTGAGACAAAAAAAATCAGGTAAAAAAAAAAAAAAGCCGCGTCACCGCACCACTTTTTGGGCAAGCTCCATACCAGAAACCGGAGACTTTTTTGGGGGGGCCTAAAGGAAACTTCTCTCAATCCTAATGAACCCTTTAAAAAAAATTTGAACAGTTAGTGGGGTAGAAATTACGATTTTCATGCACGGTTGGTGCCATACAATTCAGCACGCGCCTTCACGGTTCATCGCGCTGATCGCCATCATTTGTTTTCGTGTTAAGTTTTGTCGTTATCATCATCATTTTACCCCCAAATTTCCCTCAAAAATTCAAAACCCTTCCCTCTATCTGTGACATTCCTGCATGTTCTTAATGTCACCAACTAGTTTGGTAAGTCAAATAAATTCAAAGCAGAGTTTGTTCTCTTATAGGGAACCGGGCCCGTAACTACATGATCGCCCATTATTTTTTTAATATAAGGCTATTTTTTTTTTAATTTGAAGAGCATTTTTAAGGGTATGTATTAAAGGCTTCTGATTGATTCTGTAGCCAGAGATAAAGCCAATGCCGGAGATAAATGCTGTTTTTTTTTTTCAAATAAAAAACTTTGTGAGTACCATAGTTAATCGAAGTGATGCACATTTTTTTTCAAATTCAAATTGGCCAGTTTTTAAAAGTGAGTTTTCCTCTATGTTCTTGCACAGATCTTTCTTTCAACAACATTGAGGTGATTGACGGCCTAGACAGCTTGACTAAACTGGAAGACCTTACCCTGTACAACAACAGGATCAGCACGCTGGAGAACATGGACAAACTGACCAGACTACACGTCTTCTCCATCGGCAATAACAACCTGGGTAGTCTAGACAATGTAAGTCACATATGGTGTAGAAATTAAACATGGGAGCATTTGCCCGCCCCCCCCCCCCACACCACTTTTTGAAAATCATTAAGTTTGAGGCCCATTACAGTAATAAAACCAGATAACTCAAATTTGGATAAGGCCAAAAAAAAAAGTCTCCGGTTTCTGGTATGCGCGCGCGTCGCCGTAACAATGCGCGTCGGCAAAATGAAAAAGTTTTTTTTTTCAATGAAAGATGATGTCTCAAAACCGCCAAACTCAATGGTTTGACATGGAATCCTGCTGCTGCACAATTTTAACGTATTTTTAGATTGGGTTATGGTCGAGAATAAGCTTTATGTGGCCTCTCTGGACTCCCATATATTTGCACTAAGTTAAGTCGGGCACCATTTGCAGTCATCAGCCGACATTTGAAGCAAAAAAATCAGGTAAAAAAAAAAAAAAACTGCGTCGCTGGCGCACCACTTTTTGGGCAAGCTCCATACCAGAAACCGGAGACTTTTTTTTTTGGCCTAACTCAAAACTCAATTGTTTATCTCAATGTAATACTCCATCTGTACCTGTATCTGTATGGGTACGTTGCAGAAACCTATTCAGGCATTAACGCAACAGAGAGAGAGGGTGCATGTTCCAGGGATGTTACACTGAGTGAGGTACTAGGTCCTTGATCAAGGAGAATTTTAAACCTCTTAAAGGGAATATACAACATTTGCAAACATCGAAAAATAAAACTATCAAGTTTTTACGAAATACCTTACTAGGATGTTGGTAAATGACAGTCAAAAGCATCCTGTACAATTATGGCTCCTGGTGTGAAATCATTTTCAAGAAATTGGTATTTTTGTATACATTTCCAACAGTGGTCGGCCGATCACCGTTGGAAAAACCTAACTATTTTTCAACTTTTGCTTCAAATTTACCATTTTTTCAGTCCAAATTTTGTTTGCTATTGGTAACATGTTCATGAACGGATGCAGGCCAGCTACACTGGTTCCCTTACCTTACAATTTTCCGGCATCTATAAATTGATCCATTTTATCCTTAGTGGAGTCAGGGAACCAGACTACTTGAACATTTTTCGTTTTTCTTGGTTTTTCCAGCATTTTTGAACACAAAACTTCAAACAATTGGCAGTGTTACAATATTTTTATCTATTATACTAACCCTTCAAGTAGTTCATTTCTGAAAATTACAGCAAAAGCCAATGATGTACATTCCCTTTAACCAAGTCGGCTTGAACAGAGTTTTCGTCAAGATGGTTCCAGTCTATAATTGCTCTGTTAAAGAATGAGTTTTTAAGTTGATTTGTGTTGCACCAGGATGCTTTGAAGCACTTGGAGTTCATGGTGATGGAACTTTCTATTGTTTTTGATGATGATGTACCGTCAATCTTTCTTGGCTGAATTTTTCTGCCCATTCCTGTCAAGAGAATAGGATATTATGTACATGAATGCCCCCGTAACTCGAAATACCCTCTCTGGTACCTCCGTTTATCTCAAAGTTTTGTTCGACCAGTCGATGAGGAACCACTGCCTAACAGTCACAAAGAAGCGTATAAAAGATCGCGAAACTTTGTTCATGAGTCATTACTGCCCAATGCGCTTCGTCTTTTCACGTGCCTGCAGGGTACACGATGATATTGTGATTGAACTCAAGCCCGTAACTGCAACACATCCTGGCTTTCCAGTTAGCCTGATCGCTACCGCGGGCCCAATTGTAGCCCACATGCCAGCAGTGCAATCGCTGGCTCTTTGCAGATGCCAGTCACGCCATAAAATGTTAAAGGGAAAATACAACATTTGCAAACATCAAAAATAAAACTACCAAATCATTTTGAAATACCTTGCTGGACTGTTAGTGAATGACAGTGTAAAGCATCCTGTAAAATCATGGCACCTGGTAAACTGTCATTTTCAAGAAAAGTGGTATTTTTGTATCAAACTGGCTTTTTTTCAAATACTAGCCCCAATTGACCATCGCACTTGTTTGCAATCGATTACACACCTATGAACGGGTACAAGCCAGCTAGACTGGTTCCCTGACCTTACAATTCCCCAATGTATGTAAACTGCTCTGTTGCTTCTTATATGGAGTCACTACAGGAATATGATTGTTTTTCTTAATTTTTATAGCATTTTCGAACCCAAAACCTCAAAAAAGTCAGTGTAACTATATTTTCTATATATTTCCAACCTCCCAATTCCATCCATTTCTGAAAATTACAGCAAAAGCAAATGATGTATATTCCCTTTAAGTAAACTGAAAAAATAGGAATTACAGTCCTTTTGCAACTTGTCTACTTAAAGGGAATATACAACATTTGCAAACATCGAAAAATAAAACTACCAAATTTTTACGAAATACCTTACAAGGATGTTGGTAAATGACAGTCTAAAGCATCCTGTAAAGTTATGGCACCTGGTGTCAAGTCATTTTCAAGGAAATGGTATTTTTGTATACATTTTCAACGGTGGTTGGCCGACCACCGTTGGAAAAACCTAACCATTTTTTAACTACTGCTCCAAATTTACATTTATTTTTCAGTCCAAATTTTGTTTGCTATTGGTGACATGTTCATGAACGGGTGCAGGCCAGCTAGACTGTTTCCCTTACCTTACAATTTTCCAACATCTATAAATTGATCCATTTTATCTTTAGTGGAGTCGGGGAACCAGACTACTTAAACGTTTTTGTTTTTCTTGGTTTGTCAAGCATTTTCGAACACAAAAGTTCAAACATGTCAGTTAAACAATATTTGAGCTATTATACTAACCCCTCAAATAGTTCATTTCTGAAAATTACAGCAAAAGCCAATGATGTACATTCCCTTTAATATTGAAAAATGGATAGTCAAAGTGTTCAATTTTTAAATTTCAAAGAAAAAGTTCCAGTGGTGTAATTGTGAGAAATGGTTATGTTTGCAGCTGGTGTATCTGAGGAAGTTCAAGAATCTCCAGACGCTGAACCTGGGCGGCAACCCCTTCTGTGAGGACGAGAACTACAAGCCGTTTGCGGTGGCTCACGTCCCGACCCTTGTTTACCTGGACTTCAGACTGATCGATCAGAATACGGTAAACAATAATAATAATAACAGGTTTTTATATAGCGCTTTTAACTAAGATCAAAGCGCTTTACATTATTGTTACCCCTGATCATTGGGCCAATTAAAGAGGTTGTGGAATGCTCGAAGACATTTCCGTCATTTTTTGGGTATATGTAGCCTAAGGTGTGATGAAATAAAAACGACTATTGTGTCTGTCATGAAATGAGTACAAAAGGTACTTTTGAGAGCTGTTTTTCAAGTCCTGTCATGCCTGTTTCGACCCGAACGTGCAATTTGTGTAAAAGTCGTCGTTGGGGGCAGCAAACAAAACACAGTAAATCGTGACGTAATAAACAGGACTCCCGATGCAGAGTAGCATAAACGAGTCCTGTTTATTACGTCACGATTTACTGTGTTTTGTTTGCTGCCCGCAACGACGACTTTTACACAAATTGCGCGTTCGGGTCGAAACAGGACCTGAAAAATAGCTCTCAAAAGTACCCTTTGTACTCATTTCATGACAGAAACAATAGTCATTTTTATTTCATCACACCTTAGGCTACATATACCCAAAAAATGACGGAAATGTCTTCGAGCATTCCACAACCTCTTTAAACATTCCAAATACCATCTCAGCTCCCTGGGAAGTTTACAGCTCGATGCAGCCTGTTAGGCGCAAGGAAGCTATTTCAATCACAATAACCATCTCTGCCCTCACATGTACCCATGTTACTCCTGGGTGGGGAGAAGTAATGAGTGACAAAGTGCCTTGCTCAAGAGCACACGCACCATAGCCCGAGGCTGGACTCGAACCCACAACCTGCAGAATTACCTGTAGATCACGAATGCCCATGATACGAATCTTAACTTCTTAAATGCATGTCCATGATACGAATCTTGACTTTATACTCCACGTTTATTTTTTAGGAGTAAAACCTCTATAATTGTTGATTCTAGTTCTTTGAGAGTCAATTATACTGCCTGACAATTCTGACTAGTGCCCCTTGAATAAGGGCGTTGACAAATTGGGGAACTGCCAACGTAGGGTTTGATAGATCAGTTGGTCATGTTGGTAGAGCACCGGAACGGCAATCCGGAGGCTGCAGGTTTAAACCTTGCTTCAGTAATTTTTTTTTCAACCCTGAACAATTTACCATAATGCCCCTAGTCAGTTTCCCTTTGGGGTTCATTTTTAAAATTCTGAAAATGACTGAACTTGGAAAAGTCTTTAACAAAGAGTAACGCTAATTTGATACCGATAGTTCCATTTTCGGTGGATGACATACCGGCCTTTGGGAATATTATGATGTAAACTCTCCCAAAGAAACGCCTGCAAAAAAAATGAACAATTACCCACTATGAAGTTTCTTGTAAATCCACTTTCTGCCAATAAGCCAGTGAAATCTGTAAAAAAGATACCAGGGTTGTTGTTGCGAAGTCATCACAATTATTCACAAGTCAAATCACAAGTCTGGGAACGAGTAATAAGGCTGAACAGTGAAAATGTAATGATTCTGTCACAGTTTAAAGGCAAAAAGAATCATATACTTTTCTTACATTTTCTTCGTTTCCAATAATAACACCACTCACAATCCAAAAAAGATTGTTCAAAACCTAACCTGTTGAAGTTTCAGCTCAGTGGATATTACACTTTTCGAGAAACTTAACAGTAAAAAACATGCACAACCTCTGGATCACGAAACATGATTTTGTCCACAGCACTCGTTATTTCCAAAAATCAGGCAGTGAACTGATCACTGGAAATCGCGTCCATTTCTTGATTTCTTCTAAATGACAGCAAGCCAGACGGAATAATGTCACGGGGTGGTTGTGACCAGTACAACCTTAAATCCGAGTAAGATTTTGGGTAAGAACTTGGTAGGTTATTTTTAGGATAAATGCAAATGATCCAATATGTAACGCGATCCAGCTAAATGAGTCGTTTGTCGGGAGCTTTCATTTGGAGATTCAGGCCAAAATAGGGCCACTTTATCACATCACTTCATCACATCTCAAATTAGGTTTTGCCCTTCTTTGACGTATTAACACTGTTTACTCAGTGTGTTACCTCCCGAGTGAAAGTTAATACGACGGTGAAGGGCAAAACCAAATTTGATATACATCACCCCAACGCCCAAAAAAAGAAAAAAAAAAATTCTTTTCATCACATCAGTTTGTGTTCCGACTTCCATAATTTGTGAACTAAGGCCAAAAAAAAAGTCTCCGGTTTCTGGTATGCGCGCACGTCGCTGTAGCCATGCGCGTCGGCAAAATGAAAAAGTTTTTTTTTCAATGAAAGATGATGTCTCAATACTGCCAAACTCACTGGTTTGACTGGAATCCTGCTGCTGCACAATTTTAGCGTGTTTTTAGATTGGGTTATGGTCGAGAATAAGCTTTATGTGGCCTCTCTGGACTCCCATATTATTTGCACTAAGTTTAGTCGGGCACTATTTGCAGTCATCAGCCGACATTTGAAGCAAAAAAATTCAGGTAAAAAAAAAAAAAGCCGCGTAGCCGCACCACTTTTTGGGCAAGCTCCATACCAGAAACCGGAGACTTTTTTTTTTGGCCTAAAGATGGTATCAGCATGCGGTTTTCACAGCAGTAATGCTAAGATTGTGCTCTTTTCAAATCTGTAATGAAAAAAAAAAAATTTGACCAAGGTCGACAAACGACTCATTTGGCTTGATCCCATCACATATGCTTTTTAATCAGATGGCATGTCATTTGACTTTGAAAGGGAATGACTTGTGATTGACTTGTGAATTAGGGGGTCTTGATAAGCGCTGTGAGAGTTATTGCCAAAGTTTTAAGCTGCTTTTGACCGGTGAGCGAATCTGTGCACTTTGCAGAGGGCAGCGGCTGAGGAGCAGTACCGATACGCCATTGAGGAACTGGTAGCCGATGAGACGGCCTTGGAAAACAAACGCATTGATCAAGAGGAAAAGGACAAAGAATTCTCCAGACAGAAGGTGGGTGCACAGCAAATCCTTTGATATCGCAGTATTTTTAATGTTAAACCCATTCGCTCTTTTAAATTGTATTACATTGTATCATTGTATTTTCTCCTTAACCCTAAAAGGGCCGGGGCTCCCCCCCCCCCAACTTTTTTCCGAGATACCCTTGCAAAAACAAATTTGCCTGACCCGAGCCGTCCTGACTTTTTAGCCTCGAGTCTCGCGTATCTTTTGATACCAAAAACATAAAATTCCAACCATGGGTTACCGCGCAGCAACAAATTTTTCGCCACTACGCACTGTGATAACTGAATTTTCTTATGTATTTATTGTACACAAAGCAGAATTACCATTGGTACGTGCATATGAATAATTAATTAGCCGATTAGTCCAAAACCCTTTAACCTATAGTCATGAAATTTCTTGGGTATGTACGTATTAAAGCTATAGTCCATCATTTGCAGCCATCCGAAAAAGTAACTGGCGTATTATTGTTGAAAAACATACTTGGTTGAAAGATAGTAAGGGGACTAAACTCCCTGTGAAATAAATCTTTCTGGCAAGCTATCATTTTGAAGTAATCAACGAATTAAGGCCTTTCCAACGGTGCGTCTTAAGAAGCACCGTAGGAAAATTTAAATTAGTAGTTCGTTTTGTTATTCGGCGCAGCGCGCGCAAGCATTGGCACGACGCACAGGCGCGCGCGGTTGCTATAATTCGTCGGATCAGTGCGCGACATCGCGTATAGCTGCAATTCAAAACAATTCAAAACATGATTCAGCAACTTTTGATTTGAAATTGAGATCCTAGAATGCTGTTTTTCTCGGAATATACAGCTGAAGCTGAGCTGAAACTTCATCAGGTTAGTTGTTCAGTATCCCTCATTAGATTTTGAACACTTTTGTTGCTTCAAACGAACAAAATGCACAAATTACAAATGATGGACTATATCTTTAAGTTGTTCTGTGCATGCTCCAAGTTTCATAATTTTTCGTCACTCAATGGCTGAGATCTGAGGGGCGTTGTGGAATCACAGGGTGATAATGTCGCGCGGCAATGTTGTAGACGCTCGTGTGTGTGAACAAATACCTGATGTGTCTCGTGATACATATATTTGTACAAATAATCGCCTATTCAGGTGCAGGGTCTATTTGCAATACGTATGCGACGTTTTGTGTCATGCGACAAAATCACTTCGAATTTGATTGAAAACAGTGGCCCGTTGCCACGACTTTGTCCCGTAAATGTAAAAACACTCATTTGTTTGTGTGTATGTATAAAAACGCGCGACAAAGTTGGGTATGTGTAAATTTGCCTTAAGGCCAAAAAAAAATAAATACTCGGTCTCTGTTCAGCGCGCGCATCGATTTTAATCATGCGCATCAACCTTTTTTTTTCTTCAAATTAACACGGAAGCTACAACAGCGCCCTCTATTGCCGCGCCTCCTCAAATTTTTGTACCAAGGAGCACCAAGGAATGGGGAAATTGCACCAAGGCAAATGATAAAGGGCACCAAGGCAAATTATGGAGGACACCAATGTATAATGAGGACACAAACAAGCAAAATAGTACCCACCTTGTCTGTAAAATACAAGCTTGAAAAAAAAAAAAGCCACCAAAAAACCCCCCAAAAACCGCGTCACCGCATCAATTCCGGAACTTCGGTCTGATTAGAGACCGACTATTTTTTTGTGTGGCCTAACAGTGCATTTTAAGACCCTTTTTTCGTGGGATCCTGTCCCGAATCGTATAATGTGCTTAATTTGCTTCATCTCCGGCTACTAACCCTCTGTTTACTCACCGATTCAATCTGTTTAATTCAGGATGCCTACGTTGAGAACCTAAACGGCCCCCATCTCTTTGACAGCATGTTCCTGGACGACCCCGAGGCACCTAAGCTGGGCGCCCTGCCTGGGGTGGATGAACTCCTGGTTGTATATCCTTTGCTTTGCACACTCTTTTGAATTGTCAGCTTGACAACTTGGAAGGAATTTACATGCTCTCTATTCACATACTGGCCTATATTTTCCCAAAGTAATTCCTTTGTTCTGCATTCTCTATAGAGTGCTGAAGTGTGACGTCATTTTGAACCGGGAAGTGTAGTGCAAACGAATGGAGTAAGCACGCGTGTTGGTTCACGGGCTGAATCACGCACTAATGTCTTTTACACACATATCGTCACCATCACCACGAAGTGACACTAACATCGAAAAATCGATATTTTACGATTCCGATTTTTTTCCTGATTTGTGATTAATTACACATAATCTATCACCTCAAGAAGTTACTAAGCAGACATAGTTATTTAGTTTTGTCAAAACATTAATGAACGTTTGCAACTTAATGGGTCAAAACCAGAAAATGCGTTTTCACGAAGTGTACTATACCATTCTTTCGCGTATAAAGTGCCTGCACACTACGCGTCAAAAACGGGTTTTGCGTTTTCACGAAGTGACACAATGTCACGTGATACGTGCGACTCACTTCTGGCGTAATCACACAAAGTAGCGCTAACCCATTAGCTAATACACATGGTTAGCGTCACTTCATGAAAACTCGAACACAGCGTAATCTGAATTTTGAGTTTTTACGAAGTGACCTTATGGTTAATTAGTTTGATAACTCATTAATATTATTTGTTTTCAATGAAAATCATACATTAACGTAACATTCAAGATCCCAGCTTTCAGACAATGTAAAAAAAAATATGAATATTGAGGCTAAAACGATGTTCAGATCACCGTTTCAAAACATCGCCAACTTAAATCGCTTGTATCTCGAAACACTCATTTTCCACTTTGCGGGGGTTAAGGTCACTTCGTGGTGTCGGTGACGATATTTGTGTACATGATGTATTCACTTCGGTGCTCTATGTACACAATTATAAACCGTGTTATTTCCGGGCATACCAATGTTGCCGTTGAGTACCATCACAAGTCCATCAAAAAGTCTGGTCACTAGTAAATCACAAGTCAAGTCACAAATGAAATGGGATGAACGAATAATGTTGCTCTGAATGTGCACAAAACAGTTGTGCCGTAGGGTGGCCTCAGGTCGACCTGTGATTTGCTTGTCGCCGCGACGAAACTGTCGGCATCAAGCAGAAAAGTAATATGCTCAGGTCACAAAACTGAGAAATCGTGTGATTCTCGTGGAACAATCAAGCGGCAACTCGACACATAATAATTGCAACAATGCTCACATCACCCACAACGCTACGCCTAATTCTCGGCATAGACACGATCATAGGATGTCTTCAAAATGGTGGTGCACGTGTTGAAAGCAATCCAACGATCTTCCACGGCGTACGTCTCTTCATTCAACCATTTTTGCCGCACTCTGATTGGCTACCCAATGAAGTTAGATGCTTTCGGATGCGCAGTTGGTATAGGTATGTTTCTAGTTAATTAATAATGATAATGGGTTCTTATATAGCGCTTTTAAATAAGATCAAAGCGCTTTACATTATTATTACCCCTGATCATTGGGCCAACTCATCATTCCAAATACCATTTCAGCTCCCTGGGGAGTATACAGCTCGATGCAGCCTGTTAGGCGCAAGAAAGCTTATTCAATCACAATAACCATCTCTGCCCTCACAGGTACCCATTTATTCCTGGGTGGAGAGAAGCAATGAGTGACAAAGTGCACACGCACCATGACCCCAGGCTGGACTCGAACCCACAACCTGCAGCTTTAACCACAAATCCAATGCCCTTAACCACGAGGCCACAGCACTCCACCGAGTGCATAATTGCAAGTGTTATTACACGTCTTTGAAGGGAAAACTTGGTATTGCCTTAACTCACTCCAACACCTTCAAGGAGAAGATGGTAGGCATCTGCAAGCAGGTCTTTGATCACGGTCTGGCAGAGCACGCCAAGAGGCAGCGAGAGGTGGAAGAATTCTACGCCTGCGTCCAGGAGGCCAAGATAGAGAACAAAGACATGGGCATCACTAAGATCCAGGACTTCAACAAATACAAGAAAAAGGTACTCAAACGATTTCATCTCCAATGATGAAAATTACTTCTGATCTCAACACAACACGAACAAAACTGATTCCGTACATGATATTGTTTTACCAAAACCCAAACCTGTTATAAAATGGACCTTGCAACCTAGGGGCATTCAGATTTCTTGATGTATAGAGAATATATGAGAATGCTGCTATAGAGGGCAATTTGACCTATCACTGTTCACAAGCACTGTCCAATCACAGTGACTGTGGAATATCATGTGATATTCCAAAACCTTGGATAAACAAAATATTTCCAAACACGTGCGATCCACCAGCATACGCAGTATGCAAACACACGTCAAATTTGACCACGGTGAGGAAAGTTGTCTCGGAAATCTTGAGACAACTTCGGTTGCGTACATACGTGCAGCAAATGCTTTCAGAGCTTGTGCGTAATGTGCCGTCGTGCACTGCGCCCGTCGCACTGACAAAGAACTCGTGCAGCTCGTGTTTCACGTTGTCTAAGGGGCGTGGCTAGCTCGCAAACGGCGATAGGTCAATGGCTCACAGTTACCGTGGTGGCTAGTTGGGTTAGGTAAAAGGTAAACGTCCAATACTCATTACTGGCCGTAGAGGCAGTGGGTTGTTAGAGGTCCACTGTGTCTTGGGCGCGGCATATGAGTGGCGGGGCCCAGTCTTCTCCTCTCGCCGTCTTACCTTCCCTGAACGAATCAGGTACCCATTTTACTGTTGGGTCGTCAGAGAGAGTTTTCAAGTTTTTGGTCCGAATGGGATTCGCACTGCCAACCTTCCACTCAGTAGCTCCATGCTTTAACCACTAGGCTACGAGGCCCCTCTAGCTGGGTTACATGCACCTAATATGACTTGTTATGTATAACTTCTGCTGTTGACAGGCGTTTGCAGACTTTGCCATGATGAGTGATCCCCAGATGCTGGAGGATAAGGTGGATGAGTTCAACCAGGAGGTGACTAAGCTGTGGGACACCCTGATGGGCTATGAGCTGCAGCTAGTCGACCAGCTAGAGGTATGGGACTTTATGCATGGCCTCAGTGTTTATCGGAAACTATTTATTAATTTTGCCAATTTTCTCAGTCTACAAAAGTAGTAAGTAAAGTCTGTCACGAGCCAATGTGGCCCATCAGGCCGGCGTTTATCTCCGGTTTCAGTAGCAGGAAACAACTTTGAATATTTCTACTCCCCCTGGATGGGATGCTAGTCCATCGCAGGTTACTCCCCAGCTAATGCCGGTACCCATTTACAATCCTGGGTGGAGACAGGCAAGTGGGGTGGAGTGGCTTGCCCAAGGACACAACATATGGCCAGCAGCTGGATTTGAACCTCTGACCCTCTGATCATGAGTCACGAACCTTAACCACTACGCCATACTCCCACAACAGTGGAGTGCCAGTAATTCAATTTTTTTTCTGTTTTTTTTTTTTTGCAGGACACAATCAAGGATTTTGAGCGAGCGATGGCCGACATGGTGGTTGTATTTGTGGAGCAGGTCCAGGGATTATATCCTTTAATAATAATAATAATTGTGCTTATATAGCGCTTTCCATCATATTACCCCATTCATCAGGCCATGGGACCACGTTCAATCGGTCCTCGACCCTCACAGGTACCCATTTATACTCCTGGGTGGAGAGAGGCAATTGCATAGCTGCCAACTGTTACAAATTTTTCGTAATTATTACGAATTGTTTGTTAAATTACGAAAATACGATTTGCCACTAAAACATTACGAATTTCCCATTTTCTACCTAACGAAAAAAAAATAATACTTGTAAAGTATCGTTTTTGACCGAAAACTTCTGGCGAAATGTCGCGATAATGGATGGACTGGTGACAAGTCTAATAAGAATGCAGTCAAGCACCTGATAGACATCAATGCAGTGTGCGCAGTGGAGTACTTGAGGACCAGACTAAAACTATTTTTCAATGGTGTGTCATATGTGTGCTGCATCTCGTGGATGTGTGGTTGTGTGTACTGTATGTGTGAGTACTTTTCAGTGACAATCGTGAGCACATTTGGTCGCTTTTTGCCGGGATGAGACCCATCAGTGCGAGATTTTAATCATGGAATTTAATAAGAGTATGGTTGGAATAATTGGTAATAGAGTTTGAGTTTGTCACAACGTCCAGAAAAGATAAATCAGCATGCGTTTGCAAGGTATGTTGGCGGGAGATTTCTATTGCATACGGTGGCCCTAAATCAACGTGTGTAAAAACATTGATACGATTACAAACTCGAAACTCCACATCGATAGCATGCATCTCAAAAAAAATATGCGCACGTTATTATTGTTATTATTTATTTGACTTCAACAAACAAATACAGACATTAAAAAAAAAAAAATATTAAAAAAAATTTTAAATTTTTTTTTCTTCTTTTTAAATTATCTTTTGGCCTCCAGTACATTATTATTCACAACAAGAAGGGTATGCACATGTATATGTACATGTAAACCATGTATCTGTACTCGATGTTGGTAAAGCTTTTGATAAAACGAGCAGTTGAATATGACCGCGCGGGTTGATTACTAATTGGGATTTTGAAAAGTTGGCAGCTATGCAATTGTAGTTAAGTGTCTTGCCCAAGGGCACAAACACCATGGTCCTGGCCGGGTTCGAACCCACGCACCTTCATCAAACACCGTAACCACTGGACCATGGCTGGCATTCTACTTTCCAAATACAGGGTGGTCCAAATTGTTTGTTTACACTTTTTCAGGGGCAGATTTCTAAAAATTGAAGAGACATGTCGAAATTGTTTTAAGATATTCCTAAACTTCAAGATCTTGGTGGTATATGGTGAAAACGTATGTAGTGATAAAGCTCAAGTTAAGAAATAGCGGGCATTTACAGAAGAATGGTCAAAAACTAGTTTGTCCACGTCTATGGCAGTCATGTAGACCTTATCTGCTCCGTTCACAAGTACCCCCTCACAGGCAAAGAAAGCACAGTTGGGGGGGACCGACTGACGCCATCTTGCCTGACTACAATTTTGCCGCGATGCGCGGCCGTACCATGTACCACTGCGTGTACATAGTACAAATCCCCTGGTGAACGTGCATCACACACAAGGAACGGTGCGCATCAACCAGCTAAATGTCCCGCCCATGGGATGTCGTTGCTAGGTAAAAGAGCGCTCTCTTTCGTTAGCGCACGGAGCCCATTACAATTATTGCAGTTCTTTGTGCATGCAGTGCAATTATGTTGACCCATATCTCATAGTCTTGCATGGGGACAAACCATCTTTCTTTAAACCACCTCCATTACTCAATTTAGGCTTTGTTTTCAGAGCTTTAATTTTCGAGCTTGTTGGGGTCAGCCAGCTTCGGCCGCCTAAGAATGGAGAAAATCTGAAAATCCTCTGAAATTCCAGGTAAAAACTATGTAATATTTATTATAAAAACTTACCCCGAACCCATTACAAGTCATCGTTTGTCTTTGACTTTCGAAGCACGATTTCTCAGATTCGCGACCTGGAGAACGTCCACCACGAGAGAATCCTGGAGATTGCCATCATCACCCTGGAGAAGTACGTCAAGAATGAGCTGGATGATGAGATACCTGAAGAACTGAGATTGGTAGGTGACTTGCTCAATGTATAAATCATATTATGGAGACTCCACAGGCCATTTTGGTGAAGTGCTGTGGCCTTGTGGTCTGTAATTCTGCACATTGCAGTAACTATATGTATTTACAGTGCAGATATCCACCAGTATTAAGGGGGACGAACCTGTGTTCACAGGAACGGAGTGCCCATCTCTCTTTCGAAGCGATTGGGCCAGACTCACATGCTGCTGTGGGGGGATCGCCACACCTCCTCCACAGCGAGTCTGTTACCTTCCCAGCATTGAATGACGCCGGTACCCATTTAAAACCTGGGTTGAGAGGAGTAATTGAGGTAAAGCGCCTTACTCAAGGGCACAACATGCATGGCCACGGCGGGGCTCAAACCCACAACCTCATGATCATGAATCCTGTGCTCCACCGCTAGACCACACGTGCCTACAATTTGTCTAAAGACGCATTTTTGGAAATTTCCGTTAGTAGTCCAGTATTGGTGCTCAAGGCACTACATCATTATTACCCCGGCTTCCATAAAACATTCAAAAGACTAACTCAGCTCCCTCGGGGAGTATACAGCTCTCAAACGTACTCTTAATCATGCAAAGATCCCATAAATTATAGCAACCGCAATCGCGTGTGTGTTGTGTTGAAACATGCCCACCCATTCACGGTGTCACCAAATTAAAAACGAACTACTAACGGAAATTTCCAAAAATGCGACTTTAGACACATCTGCCTTTTATGTATTTTTTTTCTTCAAAATGATACCAGAAAGACAATTTTCACAGGGTTTGGTGCCATTACTATCGTTAAATCAAGTATACCTTTCTACAATAATTTTGTCCGTTACTTTTTGGATAGCTGCAAATGATGTACTCTACCTTTAAAAGTGTTGACAAATACTGTCAGATGCTTTTCTGTTTGGGTGCCCGGCTTTTGCCTGTCAGCATGACGTTACAGGGCACATGGTCCGTGTATCTTGGTTCTTGAAATTACCGCATCTCTGTGTTTCCACAGCTCTTGGTAGACAAGGACACCATCACCAACGCCGTCAGCGCCTCGCACGACACCCACATGCTCAAGATAGACAACCGCGAGGATGACATCATCCAGCGGGCCAACGGCTGGCTGGCCGCGCTGATGGAGCGTATCCACCAGGAGGAGGAGGTGACCAGGAACCGGGACCGTGTCAAGGAGATCAACAACTTCATCGATCACCTCAGGGAGGAGCTGGACAACTTGGACCTCCAGACGGGCATGTGAGAGGTGGTAACCTCACACAGTGGCAGTAACCTCATGTATGAGGCTTTCAAGACACTTTGAGGTTCAGGGAAGAGGGTGTATGGGGATACGCCAGGACTAGACCTCCAAATGTATCATACCGATAGACACAGTGAGCTTTGTTTTAGTGATGTCCTCACAAAGAGGTAGTAACTTCCTTAGGGTGTTAGATACACTTTGAGGTTCGAACTTGAGGTTCAGGGAATAACTAATTTTGGGGGAGATGACGGGGATATGAATTCACACTGTTATGATAGACACGTTGAATCATTTTAGTTGTCCTCAACCTTGGAGGAGCTGCTCCGGGGGATATAATGGGAAATTGAACAGCAAGTGTAATAGTTATTGATAAAGTTTATACATTTAAGTGGTGTCCTTGCGCAGAACTTGAGGTTCGGGGAAAAGCTGATTAGGGGGATGATGATGGGGATATGAACTTATACTGTTATAATGGTAGACACGTTGAAACATGTTTGTTGTCCTCACACAGAGATAGTGACCTCACAAATACGATGTTTGAGGTTCAATCAGGGAAGAGTTCATCCAGGGGGATATAATGGGAAATGGAAACAGCAATTGTTATACTGATTGACAAGTTGATACATTTTAGTGGTGTCCCCTCACAGAGGCAGTAACCTCGCAAGAGAGGCACTATGAACACTTTGAGGTTCAAGCTGATACTTGAAACTTGATCAGGGACATGAACACCAGCTGTAGTACTGATAAACAAATTGTAAAAAAATGACAGTAGTGGGGTATTTTAGCCTTGATCCTCAGAGACAGTAACCTCACAGTGAGGCATTAGAGACACCTCGAGATAGTACCTCAAACATGAGGTACATTTGAGAAACATTTTGAGGTTCACCATTTCACTGAAAACAGGAAATGAAACTGGCTTCCCTGTTGAAGAAAACTGGCACTAGTGGGGTATTTTAGCCGTGTCCTCGGAGACAGTAACCTCACAGTGAGGTATTAGAGGCACCTCAAGACGGTACCTCAAAAATGAGTTATTTTGAGACATTTTGAGGTTCACTGTTCCACTGAAAACGGGAAATCAAACTGGCTTCCCTGTTTAAGGATTTGCATCCTTTATTTCTGTCTTTCCAGTCTTCACGATACGTAATTTTAAGAACCTCTCCAAACACAATTATTGAATAGGCCTGTACATATGTGTAAACAACTGTGTATATTTTACAATGGCTTTGTACAAAAAGTATTCCGTCCAATAACTTTCTGTACTAAATGTGTGCGTCAATAAAAACTGTTTTACTTCTAAAAAAGTTTTCATTTGGAAAAAGTTCAAATTCATTGAATCGTGTGAATGTGTTGTGCAATTGTAGTTTTTGGAAACTGAGTTTGCTTTACAGCACATGATGGATGTACTAGGTTATTTATAAAAAATATGATTCCCCCCCCCCCATCCCCCGCCCTCGTATCACTTTGGGGTCCTTACGAAAAATTGAAATGTAAGCAAAACAAACTGACAGAAACAGACGTACAGCGCACGCATGAAGTGTTCGAGCACCACAAAATGTTCAATAAACTTCAGTGGAATTGACTAACTGATAAACAGTCAAACATTGATGACGACACTGGAAATTATCACGAAGACCAATCAAGTTACATACTGCCCTCTTGTGACTCCAATACACCAATCCAGCCCAAATCTGTTCACGAGGTAAAGTCCGATGCATACTTGACATAAGATGGTATAGGGCTCGCTCAATGACGGCCATCTCTGTTCGAGAACTGCAACTGCGTATTTTAATCAAGCACGCATTGCGCAGTGTTGAAAATGTTCAAAACATGTTCGCTTGTTGCTCGAAATGTGTTTGAAATACGACGCAGCCGATGCGCGTTATTGCAAGTTGACGCTCAAAATGCCGATGCATGTGGATGGTCTGTAGGAAATGACGTCATTTGAACGAGACCTATTGTCACACAGTCAATGCTGCTACCGTCATCAGTTTACTGAATTGGTTGTTTCTGTTTGACCTCGTGTGACCCGGAGACCAACTGGGTGAAGAGTGACGCTGCCGCAACGCGTGCCTTCAGGTCTGCTATCTCCGTGTCGTGCGCCCATTCAACGCTGCCCCATCTTGCAGTCTGAAAGCAAATAATAAAGCACATTTTTTAAGGAAGATATATTTATATTTTTGGATTTTGCAGTGCAAGTCAGCCACAAGTCAAATTTCTCAAGTAAGGTCACAGGATTAAGCAGGCCATGAATAAGATGACAATGAGATTTCTTTATCACATAATTATGGGCAGCTTCTTTGCTGTATTTTCTCGTCAATACTGTAATTTGCAACAGCCTAACAACCAAAGGAGCTTGAAAAACCCTCACAAATTGCAATACAGGGTGAGTAAAAAAAAAACCGAAACCCAAATGTTGGGACCATTGTTTTAGGAAAGTTCTGCATGAAGCATTTTCTAAATCTAGGATATGAAAGCCCAATTCATAAGCTTTTTTTTTTAGTACAAGAATCAATCTAATCACTTATGTACTTTTCAAGTTACAGAATTTTAAACACAACCATCGTTTGAAGGTTCTGTCCACGGATCACAAAAAAAGGTGTGATTTCTTTCACCAAAACGAAAACAATTCACACACATCCCTATGTGATTTGTTTTCGTTTTGCTGAAAGAACACTGAAGTTTGTTGTGATCCGTGGACAGAACCTTAAAACGGTGGTTGTGTTTAAAATTCCGTAACTTGAAAAGTACATGAGTGATTTGAATGATTCTTGTACTAAAAGGAAGCGTATGAATTGGGCTTTCATATTCTAGATTTTGAAGGTGCTGCATGCAGAACTTCAATAAAACAATGGTCCCGACATTTGGGTTTTGTTATTTTTTTACTCGCCCTGTATGAATGCTAAGATGCCACTGAACAAATTCCTGTTGCAAGGTTTGTTTGCACCCATTTCACGTGCAACTCAAATCTCAACCCAAAAGACTTTGACTTCAGACAGGAGACCTTTATGCAAAAACGTTCCATTGATAGTCGTATGGCGTGCAAATTTAACGCTTAATCCTGAAATAGAGATACCTCTTGTAATCGCCATCTCACCTGGAATTCGGTTTCTAATAGCGACAGTGTGACAGCCTCCTCTACACCCAGCCTCCTGTCCATCAGGGCAAAGGTCAGGACTACCGATTTCAGGCAACTCACTGTGTTTTCATAGCCTGTCACAAAACAAAAAAGAAAAACTGCTCTGTTTTCTTCAATACATGCAAAGTTAGGATGATGACAAAGGTATCGATATGAACCACAGAATTTCTTGAATAAATACAAAGGTAAAGATATTGGAAACAAAAATTGCCCGCTGCAGACATAAATACGGGAATATTCTGCAGACACTTTTAACTTTTCAACCTTTTAACTTCATCTTTTGGGATGATTTATTTATTCCTGCAACATTTTTTGCTCCAATAACTCAACAGATCTACCTCCAATTTCGACACACACTCTGCTTGTGATGGATTTGTGATTCCTCACACCTCAACAGACTACCACATTGCTACAGGAAACTCAATAATTTCATATTTCTTTTAACGACACTCCATTTACTAATATTGTTGATGTACCCTAACGTGGCGCGGCCCCTAACGTGGCGCACTTTGATTTTTCACCCGTAGCGCCTAGCTAGAGCAAAAGTTTTAACTGAAATTTCACAGAAAGTGAAATTTCATCAAGTTCTAAACACTCCCGTTCATAAATAGCGCGTTTATCTACCCATTACAAAGTTAAAAGAAAAATTATGATTTTCCAATTTTATTTCGAAGTGCACAGTGAACCCTTTGAAAATGTCCCCAAAAAATAAGAAAATAATTTTCTTATCAGAATTTATCAACTTTACAGAAATTCTTAAATGTTAATTTTGAATTTTCAGAGAATTGTTCAAGTGTGCCATGTTTAAGGAACAGTCGGCCAAGCTTGTCCCCAATTTCCGCAGGCACCGTTTTTGAATTTCGGATAAAATTTAATGACACCAAAATTGTTACAAAGGTTGAACAGCAAGCATTAATAAGGTAAAAGTACCAGTATTTAACTGTATGAATTTGAAGTTGGTCAACAAAGCAGTTTGGCAACACCGCATGAGGAAAGTCGGGGTAAACGTCGAAGTGCGCCACGTTAGGGAACACCACTATATATATACAAATAGAGGTTACATGGTCTTCTGTTAAGCATGATATTTGTCCATTCTTCAACCTTTTTCTCTGTGAATTATGATCTTACCTACAAGAGCCCAATCAGAGTGTGTCTCTAAATGATGGCCCAGGGTCTGTCTGGTGGCGTCGGGTATCTCAGGCCCTGTGATAGAGGTTGACGAGGACACTTCAACCTTGTACCTCTCGTTGATCCAGTCTAGTAGCGGATCCCACTCGTTGGTCTGAAGGGCAAACAGCTCTGGTGGGTCCTGCAATCTGTAACTGCAAGACAGAGTCGTTTTGAGACTGAATGGTTGTTTTAATGGACCGTTCCGGCGTATCATGAATTTAGGACTCTTATGAAAAACGGACACATTGGTAGTATTGACCTATCACAGTAGAATCGCGTAAGAATCGCGTCAATGCAGCTTGTGAAATATTGTCCAATTACATGATGTACAAATGGATGCGGAACACGCAAAATCTGAGACAAACAAAACTACGATAGGTCAATTGCGCATGCGTAAGTATAATTTAGGAGAGCCACTGGTCACGTGAGAGGGTTTAACCAATAATAGGGTAAAGGAGTCAGATTTTCATATAACACCAGATTTGGCCATAAGCCCCGCCCACCTTTGGTTTGTGTACATTTCTCACAGTGCATGTGACTGAGCTGACTTGGTCACCTGACCAAAAGTAATAATCTAATTGGTCAATGTGTAATATTTGATTGACAGGCAGGAATAGTCCATTACGGTATAATGCATCTAAAGAGAGGCAAGTGGGGGTGAAGTGGCTTGCCCAAGGACACAACATACGGCCAGATTCTGGATTTGAACCCCCGACCCTCTGATCACCAGTAATTAACCCTAACCACTGAGCCACACTCCCAAAAAGGTGCTATAAAAGCACCATACTATTATTTTTAACCCCAACTCCCTAGGCATTTTTGCTAGGATGTAACCTCAATCCTGCAAAATCATCCACTATTTCTTGAATGTGGTCCTTGGAGGGGTGACCACTGCCTCAATCCTGCAAAATCCTCCAGCAATCACTGGCAAAATTTTGAGGCAGAGCCAGTGACATCCTGGAGCAGTGCGGAGGATTTCAAGTACAATATAGGCCTAAATTTGTGCACAGCTGAGCATAAACAACATCAGGTCCGGCCTAAGACCTTGACACAGTGCATCCTCCAAAATCAGCCACACATTTTTGCCATGAATAGCCTCAATCCTGCAAAATCCTCCATTTTGCAAAGAGGATTTTGGAGGATTTGGGAAGGTTAGAGTTAGTTAAGAGGTTATGTTGCTCTTTTCTTACCATACTGTATCAGTGTCCAGGTAGTGCAGGATAGCCCTAATGACCTGCTGTTTGTTCCTTGTGGAGGGGTTGTCTATGGCTGTGTTGCATAATGAGGTCTAAAAATAGAACACGAAAGTAAAGCCGATTGGTCAAATCACTGCCAGAAATGGTACATTTGTATTGAAATATATAATGGACATTGAATAACTTAACAGAAAGAATTTACAAACATTTAAGCAATGTAAATGAAGCACATACTAGTACAGACTCAGAAATCAACATAAATTAGGCCAAATAAAAAACACACACCGTGTTTAGCGTCCTGCCTTTTTGAAAACAAAGGAAGCTGGAGGCCTTTTTTTTCCCTCCAAAATGGCTGCCCGAATGGGCTATTGTTTTTAAATGGCCGCCAGTTTCTTTTTCAAATGGCCGCCATTCAGGATTCACGAAATGACATACCAGCTTTATATTGGCTAAATGCAACAGACAAAAAGGCCAAAATGATGTCAGTGTTTACAGTTATCTTTTTTGGGGCGTTAAAAAAAAAAAAAAAAAAAAAAAAAGGAAGAAAGAAAAGGAGGCGGCCTCCAAAAAGGAAGCGGGTGGGGACGCTAAACATTTATTTTTCATTTGGCCTTAGATGGATGTTAAGCTGAAAATCACAAATCGTGCCTACATTTACATGAAATAGATTATAAAATATTAAACAAGATGAGGCAAGCCTTGTTAAAGCTTTTCCCAGCTTCCACAAAATTCTATTCATTGGATTCAGAATGGCTTATTCACTGGAAGTCTATTTATGCATCTGGTCTACACAATGGGATCGATTTTAGCCCATTCATTGGTAATCCTATACAATGGCACTGCCAGACACACAAATGAGTCAGTGACTGAGTGAGTAACTGGAGAGTCAGTCAGTGAGTCAGCGAAGTGCAAGAGAACTGTAGGTCAGCCCTCTCTAGGACTGGCAAAACGTAAACCCTCCTGCTATTTAACCCTGGGAGCAGCTTAGCAAATAAAATCACATGGAGTTGCCACGTGGAGAATTTTATCACCACATGTGTTTCATGCCTGTACATGCACAACATATAGATCATTCACATCGTCAGGGATTGTTTACAACCTGTCTGAGCTCTGGGCGGCACAAGGGGTTGACACAAAGATCGGTGGCACAAAGGGTTTGGCCGCCATTTTCTCTAATTACTGCACAAAGGCATGAGCCGCCATCTTGGCTTCTGTCTTTCAGCACTCCTTACTCCGGAGTGGCTAGAGTCCGGCCAATGGGAGTCTACAGGCTTGTGGTGTACAGTAGGGGTGAGGATTACATGGAAGCTTGGCCTAATTGGCCCATTGAAAAACAAATTATGCCCAAATTTGGAAAATGTGGAGAATTTTATCACCGCTTCGCTGCTCGGAATGTTCACAGTCACAGACAGTGAAAATTCCCTTCCACGTCCCCTGCTATACTTTTAACAAAGGCTAGTCACCAGCAGTCAGATCATATGTAGAGCAAGCACTGTGACTAGTCAAACTGGGTCATGACAGACAAAGCAGGTAAGCTGTGGTCACAGCTGTTTTATCACTCACCCGGAGTCAAAGCATAGCTGTATCAAGTTACTTAATCAGTCCAAAGCAGTCAATCCTGCTTTATGTAGGCTGGAAATTCTTACGGGTTGAAAACAGCCATTTGATTGATTTTAACTGCAAGGACAACTTGACACAGAATCTATGTTTGCATCTAGGACTTCAGTAGGGTTAAACCACAGAAAAATGGACTTGATGTGAAAAAAATATTTATGAGCACAAAACAACTTCGCCAAAACAGTGGCATTTCATTGAATTTCAAAAGAAGGAAAACAATGAAAAATTGTGTAGTACAACAAAACAATGATAAAGGGCATTTTTTTTTTTACCAAGATTTTTTTTTACCAAATGCATTGTGTGCTGCTTTATGACGTCTCCTTGGTTATCCCACTCTGTTGCCACGGCGATAGCCAATGGCTCGTTGGGAATGACGAGGAGTTGGCCGGCGGGTGTCTTGACCTTCCTGCGGTCCAAGTTGATTTCAAAGCTCTTCCCTGATTGGCTGATGCTGACATTTTTGTAAAAACGCTTCCTCTCTGCCAAATTGAATAGAATGAAAACTTGGTAATTTACTGATTGATTGATTTATGTTAAACAAATACCAGTTGAACTTGATTGTCCCCGCCCACCTCCTTTTTGAGGTTGCGTAATTTTTTTTTTTATATATTTAAAATTGTTGGCATCATATTTTCAAAACGATATTTCAGAAGTTCAGATGTTTCTAATAAAATACTAATGTTCAATAAGCACTTTAAGAAGGTTTTGTGTTCATCAACTAGTAGGTAACTACCCAGAACTATCAAATAAAAAGGGCCTCCTCCTTTTGAAGGCACATATATCCTGCAAGCTAAATATGTTTTTTTTTAATTGGCCTTAACTGAAGTCCCTGAACATATTTTTTTTTAAAGAATGTCTTTTCATTCTCTTAAATTAATGAGTCTTATGGAACAGGGTCCTAAACTACACGAACCATATTTGGAACATAGTGGCTATCGTTACGGCAGCCGTAACACCATTTTCAACTTCCCGACCAACCAGAATGCTTCAGTAGCTCGATTGGTTACACCATGGTTACACATTCAACTACCTCTTCATTTTTTACAAAGTTTTCTTTACCTTCATGATTTTTTATCAAGTCTTTCTTTTAAATTAAATGATACTACTAGTCTGGCTCCAAAAGCCAAGACAAAGCTTCTGATGTTATTGCTAGGCGATTAAGATGGTGGTTTTTTTTTTACTTGGCCAAACGACAATGAACAATACTCGATCGATAGCCTTCTCACAAACACAATCTCAGTCATGACTCATGTCATTCCTAAATTCATGTTTTTTAACATTTTTGCAATGACTGACCTTCTTTGCAATAATTTATGTTTGAGAAATGGCGTCAGGCATGTCTGGATGATACAGCCTTTCAATTTCTCAATTCCCCACCCTTCCCACCCTTCCCACTACAGCCAACTTAAGCCCCGCCCCTTTTTAGTCATTCATTTGTACATGATAACTTTGTCATTGTTTGTGCAGTGTGAACAGGTGAATGACACTTTCAGTTTACTTCCTCCAAATGCTCTTTTCTTAAATTTAAGGCTCACCTCTGTAAAATCGTTTCACATTATTCATAAAAAATGGATGCGAACTGCCTTGTAAAATTCTCCTCAAGCTTTGACATGATCTGGAAAGAAAAATACTGCCGGACATTCTGATTTCTGTCTTCGTTCATGAATTTAACGCACGTGCGCATAATAGAGGGCGCTGCTCATTATTAACGGCGCGCCTCAATTCATCTCTTTTCCACTCAATGTTATCAATGTCTTGATTGGTCGGTATTCCAATGTTCTTTTCTTTTGACCAATCAAATTTATCGTTACGAACACTGAACTGTCATCCTTGGGCGCTGCCATATTGGTTTTCGGCGGTTGCGGCATATTTTGGTGAAAAACTTTGACAAAAAATGCCCGGTCTTACAGTTTATCCACCACCCCCGAAAAGTAGCAAACAGCAGGGCGTTGCACGATCCCTGCTGTACAGTGGTTCAAAATTTCAAGGCTTCCAGAAGAGCAGGGGTAATTCTTACGTCGTAGAAGTTGAACTTCAGGTAAAACACTCGACTGACCATATGCATACCACAGCGCTTTTGCACCATTGCAATGCATGCAATGTAGCCCCACTAGTGTGGCCGTCGGTATGCTGCGCTGAACCTCTAGCCACACACCGTGGTACCGCGCGCTACTGAGGACGAAGTTTCATAAAATCTGCGGTCCGTTTCTTACATTCTCGGTTTCTTACTTTCTTATGGTTGTATTCTATGATGTTTCACCTATCACTTCTGGGATGCTTAGGTCTAATGATGTTCCATTTTCCGAGATATTCTTCGATCTTTCGGGAGCCCATATGCACTCGTGAAACGTCTGGTGATGGCAGCCATTTTGAATGGGACAAGCGATGACCTCAAGCTGTGACGTCGCGTTTATGCAAATTGCTTGTCGAGCGCGCGAGGGCGCGAGTTGCAAATGCGACGGCTGTTTTCTGTACCATGCATTTATCGTCAGGGGGCCACGTGCACCGATCTCTATTCAGGATCTACGGTACAGGAAACAGCCGTCGCATTTGCAACTCGCGCCCTCGCGCGCTCGACAAGCAATTTGCATAAACGCGACGTCACAGCTTGAGGTCATCTCTTGTCCCATTCAAAATGGCTGCCATCACCAGACGTTTCACGAGTGCATATGGGCTCCCGAAAGATCGAAGAATATCTCGGAAAATGGAACATCATTAGACCTAAGCATCCCAGAAGTGATAGGTGAAACATCATAGAATACAACCATAAGAAAGTAAGAAACCGAGAATGTAAGAAACGGACCGCAGATTTTATGAAACTTCGTCCTCAGTAGCGCGCGGTACCACGGTGTGTGGCTAGAGGTTCAGCGCAGCATACCGACGGCCACACTAGTGGGGCTACATGCAATGATGCATATGGCAGATCACACTCATTCACTGTGCATTGGCCATTTCCATTGCATTGTGCACAATGCCATTCCAATCGCAATATGACTTCTGTAATCATGATAATAATATATCCTAACATACTTAGAACTTTTTACAGACTGATACTAATTACTAGCTATAATTATTTAAAAAAATGAAGGATTTTTTTTGGTGGGGGGGGGGGGGTCATGTTTGGCATGTTTACAAATGTATTTTTGTTTTTGTTTTATTTTTTTTTGTTTTTGTGTTTTTAATTTTAGTTTGTTTTCGTAGTAATGTTTACGTAACGCGTAGCTAGTAACAGTAACATGAACCAATCGAGCGACCGAAGTGCTCTGGTTGGATGGGCAGTTGTAAATCTGATATAGGCCTACATGTACGTCCGCATTTTGTTTTTACAGTGCTGTAACAATACAGAAGGCCTATTTGAAAATTGTGTAACGGCTGTTGTATTAACACACCACACTACCACTAGCATGACTAGGTAGTGCGGTGTGTTACGACAGCCGTAACACAATTTTCAAATAGGCCTAGTACTACTGTATCTTTCATGTGTCTTTGTTACACCCCAACTATGTATTGGTCCCAACTATAGTTGGGATCGTCCCAACTATAGTTGGGACGGTCCCAAGTTAACTGTAGCTCTGCAGTTGGGCTGGCCCACCTATAGTTGGGACGGTCCCAACTATTGAAATTAGCTACGGGTGGGGCCCATCTATAGTTGGGCCACTACAATCTTTTTATTTTGTGGTCCGAACTATAGCTTATGTTGCTGTACAACTGTAAAACATTCCCAAAAGCTCTTCTACACGTCTGACTTTTACTTGGGACCATTGAAATTAGCTATGAATGAGGCCCATCTATAGGCCACTACAATTTTTCTATTTTGCGGTCCCAAAACTATAGTTTACATTGCTGTATGACATGTATGACTACAGAACATTCCAAACAGCTCTGATGCACGTCTGACTTTTAGTTTTACTTGGGACCATTGAAATTAGCTATGGGTGGGGCCCATCTATAGTTGGGCCACTCCAATCTTTTTATTTTGCAGTCCGATCTATAGTTTATGTTGCTGTGCGACTACTCTACAGCTCTGTTACAAAGCCTGACTTTACTTCATGTACTTGGGACCATTGAAATTAGCTATGAGTAGGACCCATCTATAGTTGGGCCACTCCAATCTTTCCCAAGTTGATTGAAAAGTCGGACTTCAATCTCAACCTAACCTGGTGACAAAAACCTTTTTGGTAGGGAGACTTCCGATTACTTGAGACATTTGAGGTCAAAGGTCATCTAGGGGTCAAATGAGCCTAAGGTCATCTTGGGGTCAAATGAGCCTGAGTCGTTGTTTTTGGAATAGTTAAACTGAATAGTGCTGTCATCTGAAAAGTCAGACTTCAATCTCAACCAAACCTGGTGACAATAATTGTTTGGGTAGGGGGACTTCCGATGACTTCAGACCTTTGAGGTCATCTAGGGGTCAAATGAGGTCATTGTTGGTTTTGGTTGGGTCAACTGAAAAGTGCGCTTACTAACTGACTGTATAAATACTGCCAGCATGCCGGGGGATCATGCAAGTTTAAAGATACAGTCCATCATTTATAATTTGTGCATTTTGTTCGTTTGAAGCAACAAATGTGCTCAGAATCTAAAGAAGGGTGCTGAACAACCAACCTTATGAAGTTTCAGCTCATCTTCAGCTGTATATTTCAAGAAAAACAACATTCTAGGATCTCGATTTCAAATCAAAAGTTTGCGAATCATGTTTTGAATTGGGCCTGAAGTTAGCGACCGAGACACGTTCTCACTGAGCCGATTGCATGTATGTGATGCTGCACACTGATCCAACGAATTAAAGCAATCGCACGCGTGTGCGTCATGCTAACGCTTGTACGCGCATCGTCAAATAAAAAAAAACGACACTACTAACGGATATTTCCAACAGTGTGTCTCAAGATGCACTGTTGGAAAGGCCTTCTTTCTTAGATTTCTTCAAAATGACAGCTTGCCAGAAAGAATAATTTCACAGGGAGTTCATTCCCCTTGCTATCTTTGAACCAAGTATGTTTTTCAACACTTATTATGTCACTTACTTTTTGGATAGCTGCAAATGATGGACGGTAGCTTTAACTTGCAGTAATTTTTTTCTACTTCAGAATGTGGATGAAGAGAACAGCTACCTGTGCGGCTACTTGAAGATCAGCGGGCTGACCCACGAGTACCCGGAGCTGGTCACCTTCTTTGAGGGAGAGATCATCAGTGACAAGCACCCTTTCCTGACGAGGAAGTGGGACGCGGATGAAGAGGTGGACAGAAAGCACTGGGTAAGGTGCCTCAGGAGACACCGGTAGACCGGTCCGCTTTGAACCGGATTGAAGAGTGGTTCTGAACCAGTTCTTGACATCCCTTGTGGTGGTGCACTCCTAAAGATTAACCTTTTTTTACCATAATATTCTAGAAGAGGCCACAAGTACATGTAGAATGCCCATAGCAGCTGTAGACACCAATAACTTTCAACCAATTTTTGCAACCTATGAAAATGTTGAATAATTTGCCTTAACCCTAACTTTCTAGAGTCTTTTACTAGGAACTGGACCAATTCCATCAAAATCCATCAATCACTGTGCGTCCAATTACAAAACTGTACATGACATAATGAAATCCACCACTGACGCACTGGTTGACATTCATGGACTTGCTACACATGGCTTTTATCACAATAGCAGTACAGGAAGCTAGGCAAAATCGATCGGATACCCCTAGCACTGCTTCAGGCCATTAGGCCCTAGTCCATCATACTCCATCAATATTTAGTCACACCAGGCCTTCTGGACCAAGTCTCCCAAAATGGGGGGATGGATTTTGATGGAGTTTGGGTGGTTAGGGTTAAGAGTGTACAATTTGGGTAATGATCTGGGCATACAGAATTGTACACTGAGAAAAAGTATGGCAGATGGGCGTTGGGATTGTGCCTTTGATGATACAAGCATGGAATTTGGCACAGTCAGAGTATGTTATGAGAAAGATATTTGGCTATAGGGCCATCCCAGATTTGTCCTTTGAAAAAATATCGGTAGAAAAACAAGCAATGGCAGCCATTTGGAACATTTAGAAAATTGCTTGTTATTCTACCTACATTTTTTTCAAAGGCCAAATCTGCGACGGCCCTATTATATAGCCAGATATCTTTCTCATTACATACAATAATCTGACTGTTTGCCAAATTCCCTACACGGACCACATTCAAGAAATAACGGAGGATTTTGCAGGATTGAGGCTGTATGCCATTTTTACATGGAGGCAGTTGGAGGATTTTGCGGGATTGACGTTACATCCTAGCAAAAAAATGCCAGAGGGAGTTAGGGTTAACCGAAACTTCCTAGCATGATTTACTAGGAACCATACCCATCCTGGCAAATTCCAACACCATATTTGAAGCTGCAAACGCATATTTCTGACTTTGATTCTGGAGGTGTGCCAACCCGATGTAAAAGACTGTCAGTTCAGGGGAACTGTACCCATCCTGACAGATTCCAACAAAACATGCCGTTGGGGTTTGATGGGTTGAGGGAAGTTAGAGTTAATGTAACAAAAACACTTAGTAGAGCTACCGTTCAAAAGATCTATTCAGAATCGTGGATATTTCTCTGTTTCACAATCGGAGCCTGGTCACCAAAAGACATTTGAAGACATAAAATCAAAGACAAATAAGTAGTTGGTCTTACATTGAATGTTTGCATTTAGTATTAAGTGTGTAACTGTAAAAGTACAGTATGGCATGGGTGGCTTGTGCATAAAGCACTCGCCTCTCACCAAGGTGACCACGGTTCGAATCCTGGCTGCGGATCCTGGCCTGGCCGCGGATCACATGTGAGTAGAGTTGTGCGTTGGTTCTCTCCTGTGCCACAAGGGTTTTTCTCCGGGACCTCCGGTTTTCCTCCCTCCGGAAAAATCAAACACTTTCGATCTCAGGCTGTGCTCCGTGGTCATATATGGGTCAATGTGGCCGGCAGCCGTAGGCGCCTTTACGTGCCAGCGGCCCGACCACGTTGTAGCCGCGTCCTTCGCAATTCAGCTTTACCAGCTGCCAGTAAGGATGATAAGCCTCCCAAATTATTATGTATATGTGCCGTATTTTCTCACAAATGCCTGACTTTTCTTTCCAGGGCCAGTTTTTATTTTTTTACCAGTATGCCAAAACGTTCAACCTGGACACATTTGACTATGAAGCCCTCAACAGCACAGATTACGTCTTCATGAGGTGGAAAGTAAGTAGATTTTTTTTTGCATCCACATAAAAACAAGTACAACATGATTTGATGTGCCCTTTTTGTGTCGCCTAAACAAAGTAGGACAGGGTAGGAGTAGGGTGGGGTAAGGATGGGGGGTGGGGAGGGGGGGGGGGGAAGTGTGGTGATGGCGGTGATGTGGTACATGTACATGTACTTAGTGTAAGGACATTTTATGTTCGCATTTAAAAAGACTGACACCTACACCTTGGCACATCATCCTGAATCCTGATCCCCTTCCATCATGCCCATCCCCAACCCTACCTTCAGCCTCCCTTTCCGCCTTCAACAGCGAGCTATCCACTCTGTTCACAAATACCCCCTCACCGGCAAACAAAGTACAGTTGGGGTGACCGACCGACGCCATCTTGCCTGACTGCAATTTTGCCGCGATGCGCGGCCGTACCACATAGTACAAATCCCCTGGTGTACGTGCATCACACACAAAGAACGGTGCGCGTCAACCAGCTTAATTTCCCGCCCATGGGACGTCGTTGCTAGATAAAAGGGCGCCCTCTTTCGTTGGCACACGGAGCTCATGGCAGCTTGGCCGTTCTAGTTTAACTTTAAACTTTCCGAGGCCTTGAAAAGTGGGAACTGAAAATTACCTACATGTATAACTCGTCGGATTTTGTCCAAATCCCATATTCTCTCATTGAAAAGCTTATTCAATAATCAAAATCCCAGATTAAAAAAATTGGTCCACTTGACTGTTTTTTTTTGTGCCGGATGGTAAATAATTGTAACTTGTCGACGCAATAGGTATGTGGAAATCGGGATCCAAAATAAACAAATCTGTTTCTGGTTCTATTTGCAAGGAGCGCTTCCTGGTACCAGACCACAACATCACGAACATCGAGGGCGCCTCGTTTGCCGGCTTCTATTACATCTGCTTCCAGAAATCCACATCCAACATTGAGGGCTACTACTATCACAGAAGCTCGGAATGGTGGGTCTTCAAAATCATCTTTGTAGCTGCGGGTAGCTGCTCAACATATCATCATGTCTCTCCATTAGTCCGTTCGTTAGTATACAAATATTGAGTGGCTCAGAGTGAAATGGGAGGAATATTATCGCAAGGTAAAATCGGGACTTTTCCATTTCACGAGGCGAAGCCGAGTGAACTGGAAAAGTCCAGATTTTACCGAGCGATAATATTCCTCCCATTTCACAATTTAAAGCCACTCAATATTTGTTTGATATAACTGACATATAGATCCTTGTCATTTGATATATTTGAACTTTTATTTCACTACAAAATTGATGGGAAATGTATTTCTCTCTTCCAAACCACCCCTTCACGAAAATGTTTGAACCCCACTCTGTAGCACTGGCTCTTTGGAACAATACGCGCTACGCGGAACACTGAACGCGCACACCAGCATGCATTTGCACACAAATACCGCGTCTTGGAACAAGACTGATCCTAACTGTTCAATAGCATTTCCCATTCCCCATGGGCAGATAGTACTTTTTGAGACCCGGCGTGAATGGAGGTAATAACAAATGTCACGTGATGTGAGTTCCACCAATCAAATAACAAGGATATGTATGTCGGTTATATAATAACACACATTGACATTGTCTATTGATCCTACATATTTTGACCGATTTCAAGCAAACTTTGTCAAAAGTATCAGCAGCCCAGCCCCAACATGCCATATGACCAAAATACTAAATCCCCAAATCCATACATTTCTGAAAATTACAGCAAAAGCAAATGCCGTTTATTCACTTTTACACTTGCTTACTTGTAAAATGAAAGGTTCCTTTGTTATTTTTTTCTCTCTTTGTTTTTAGGTACCAGTCACTTAACCTGACCCACGTCACGGAGCACAGCGTGCCAATCTACGTTTTCCGGTAAAGTCCCCCCAAACCACCGCCAACTTTGTATGTTTTGTACAGTTTATATATATTTTGGATACGTGCGGCATCCACTGTGCAGTTTTCAGGTCTGCCGTAATGAATGTAAATTGTATTGTGATTATTTATGACGGATACAAAGATTTCGATGGAATAATAATAATAACTAGAACTATGTCTGTCCCATGAACAGAACATAGGGCTTTTCCGCATTTGAAATAAACATACATGTATATATTTAAAAAATATTCTTTATTGATGAGGTCACTCATGATGCCAGGCACATTTCTCACAATTTGAACATTTATCTGCCAATACTTTGGTAAGAAAAATTGAATTTAGTATGTTGTGTTTGTTACTTTAACAACAAAAAAGATTAATCATCGTTGGTATGGTGTTCCTGAAGGGGCACAAACAGTTATGACGCGTAGATGTCGACGTCGTGTAGTTTTTCATGACTAGAAATTAAATTTTTCACGACGTCAAATCTTTTTGCCACAAATAGTCAGGACATTTCGAGCGAATAGTCCTGAAATTTTTCTGACATCGTTAATTGTTTTTAACTAGACGTTAATTTCTTTTGCAACATTGTGACTTTTTTGTCACAAGAAATGAATTTTGTTCTCAATTTTTTTTCATGCGACCAACTTCACGACTGATTTTGAAAATGAAAAGCATGATCTCTTAACCGAAATTACAATGAGAGAAATATATTAATATTGTGAATTCGCTTTTGCACGACCAGTCGTGAATTTTATCATGACTAGTAGTGAACATTTTCCAACATGGTTAATTTGTTTTCTTAATACAACGTTTATGTTGTTGTTATATCGTGAATATTTTTATCACTCATCGTGAATTTTTTTATTTTTTGCACACGTCAAAATTCGTGACTGGTCTTTAAAAAAGTAACGGTGTTGCAAAAAAGTTGAAAGCTAGTCATGAAAAAAATGCCAAAATTGTGAAATATTTCACTTGTGAAAAAACTCACAATGTCCGAAAAAAATGCACACCGCCTTGAAAAAATCCACGACTTGTCATGAAAAAGTTCATAACATTGTAAAAAAATTCACAACTGCTTATGTCGCTTCATGGCAACCATATGTTGGTGAGACATCCTAAGAAAATTGAAAACTTTAAGACATCTTCACACGTGCACTAGTAATTTTTGTAGTGCTGTGGCCTCGTGGTTACGGGCATTGGATACGTGGTCTGCGGGTAAAGCTGCAGGTTGTGGGTTCGAGTCCAGCCGGGGTCATGGTGCGTGCGCCCTTGAGCAAGGCACTTTGTCACTCATTGCTTCTCCCAACCCAGGAGCAAATTGGGTACCTGTGAGGGCAGAGATGGTTATTGTGATTGAATTAGCTTCCTTGCACTTAACAGGCAGCATCGAGCTGTAAACTCCCAAGGGAGCTGAGATGGTATTTGGAATGTTTCATTGGCCTAATGAGCGGGGGTAATAATGATGTAGCGCCTTGAGCACCAGTCCTGGTGGATACGTGCGCTTCATAAATACCCACTTTTGTTATTATTATTATCACCCGTCAGTTAGTCCAACTGTGGAAAGTCCTATTCCATAGACTAGACAGGCACTGGGGCCTGGAGCACAGAGCTGCTAAGCACAAAAATTTGCTTAGCACAAAAAAAGTCTGGCTTATAAAAGCAGGTTACCAGCCAAAACTCCACGTTATGTATATTGCTCGTGATTAGTATTCTGCTGTTGTTTGCTTAGACCCCCCCAAAAAGTCTCTGGTTTCTGGTAAGGAGCTTGCTCAAAAAGTGGTGTGGCGACGCGGCTTTGTTTTTGTTGTTGTTTTTTTACCGTTTTTTTTTTCTTCTTCAAATGTCGGCTGATGACTGCAAATGGTGCCCGACTAAACTTTGTGCAAAAATATGGGAGTCCAGAGAGGCCGCATAAATTTATTCTCGATCGTAACCTCCTCTAAAAACACTTTAAAATTGTGCAGCAGCAGGATTCCAGTCAAACCAGTGAGTTTGGCAGTTTTGAGACATCACCTTTCATTGAAAAAAACTGCGCATACCAGAAACCAGAGCTTTTTTTTTTTTTGGCCTTAGCATGAAAATCACATGGGGTTTTGAATGGTAACCTACTTTTATAAGCTGGACATTTTTGAGCTAAGCAATTTTTGTGTGCTTAGCAGCACCGTGAAATTGGGCCCAGCTGGTCTGAAAGATGTTACCGTGCACTGACAGCATTTGTTAACCGACTAAAACCACACACGCTCGGCGGGTACGTTGGAAAGTTACGCTGCGCGATATTGCTCAGTTGCCCCCCCCCCAAAAAAAAAAACCCAACAATCTCAATCTCTTATATGGCCCAAAAAAAATAAGTCGGTCTCTGGTCAGCGCGTGCGTCGATTTGTTTTTTTTTTCCAAAATGTTCCGCAGTAGCTCCAACAGCACCCTCTATTTCTGCACCTCCTCAATTTTTTTTACCAAAGAGCACCAAGGAATGGGAAATTGCACCAAGGCAAATGATCGAAAGCACCAAGGCAAATTATGGAGCACACCAATGTACATGAGGACACCAAAAAAGCAAAATAGTACCCACCTTGTCTGTACAATCCAAGCTTGAAGAAAAAACATAACAAAAACAAAAACAAAACAAAAAAGCCGCGTGGCCGCGTCAATTCCGGAACTTTGGTCTGACCAGAGACTGAATATTTTTTTTTTTTTTGGCCCAAGATGGAATTTTTTGTTTTGTTTTTTTTCTTTTCAATCTCAATTTCTGTCCATTTCGTCTCGGTCCATCAACAGCGACCATCCCCCAACCCGGTCATTATCACGCAGTGAAGACCGGGTCCTTACACTGTTATTCTCTAATTATAAATTAATGAAAGCAAGTAACACACTGTCAGTTATATGCAAAGACTGCATATTTTGTGCTTAAAGATCAGTCTTTAAAAAGTGTGAGAAAAAAAACCCAAGTAGTTCGTACTGTGCACTTTGTGTAGATTTTTTCTTAAAACTTCGCAATGAAATATCTAACTTCTGAATGACCAGATTGTTAGTTTGAAGTATATATACTTTGCAGTACTGGAATATACACTGAAAAAATTCTCAAGTGTGCAGAGAAAAAAAGGAATTGCTGAATTCCACTATTTGCCAAAAAAAAATGGGGAAAAATAATATGTTATTTTGGTTTTGTAATCATTGTCAATAACCCAATTAATAAGTACATTTTTACTGACAACTTTATTTCTGAGGAATGTTATTGATAAGTAAAAAATGGCAGAACTAAGAAGTGCAGTTCCTCAAATTTGGATAATAATTTGCTGTTTTCAAATTGTACGGTTCATTATTCGGTAAAAACTAACCTTTTTTTTTTAATGTACTGCTGTGTTACATGCCAAACAAAAAGGCCCATGAAATTAAAAAGGTTATAATGTGTGTCAAAAAAATGACAAATATATTTAGTTATTTGAAATATAGGGACATTTTCCCGGCATTGTGCTTTAATAAAGTGAAACTCTCCCAGTTTTAATAGTTTCAACCATTTCTTATTATGCACAAGAAATGGTCATGCACAGACGCAATGTAGAGATGGCCATTTTGTTTCACAATAATATTCCCACCTGGATTTCTTTTAAAATGTGTTATTATAAAATTCAAATTTGAACAATAGCCACATCAGACATCAAGTTTACATGGTTAAGGGTTATTGTGAGCTGTGGATGGGCCAATGAAATGGGTCACAAGTGATCAGTATTGGTGAGTCAGGCAGTTGCTAATGAGCATTTCCCCGGAATATGTCCGGGACAATGTGTAACTTTATGTGTACTTTTTTAAACATTTAAAATTGTCTATGCTTTTCCTGACGAACCAAGGGCGCTGTTGCTGTGATGCCATTTCACAAAGACACTGTTCACTCAGTTTTGGGGGTTTTCTGTTCAAATTGTTAGACCAAAAAATTTGCTCACTGAAAAACATTTGTGAGAAAACTGTGCTCACTGGCTTACTGTCATGTGCTGAAACAACAGCGAATCACCAAAGAAGAGACAAATTACTGCAGCAAAATATCCCGAATTCTAACACATTTTGGCGTTGAAATAACTGTAACATTGAGGTTTCTGCCTGAAATGACACCCCCCTCTGCTTGTGAATACAAAAATTGGCATTAGCAAAAATAACCAAAAAAGGCACCAAAATACCCTTACAAGTTGCAAAATGGAAATTGAAAATGAAGTTAAATGGGACACAAAGGTGCATTTTCGAGGATTGCATAAAAAAAATGAGCCCTTTAAATATTATTTTGAGCTAATTACTTGCGTGGTTTTTACATTGTGTTCAACAGCAATCTGTCTTCAGTTTGTAGATAATCTGGGGCAAAATTGATTCCATCTCATGTCATTGTTCAGATATGCCTTGCTGGTATCTCGGACGGTTTTCATTTTAATTTATTAACAACTTGATTGCACAAAAGGCTAACTCATGCCTACTATAACGATACAAAAACTATTGCTTAAGGTGTATTGGTCTGTATTTAATACTTCAAGAATATTTCATCCATTGTCTCCAAGTTGTTGACCTGGAGACAGTGATATACTTTAATGATATCTGTGAAAATGAAATACTTTTTAGATTACAATTACGTGTACAGTTAAAGGTAGAGTAGATCATATGTGCATATTTTTTTTTGGAAGCAATGAAAGTGCTCAAAATCTAAAGACAGGTGCTTAACAACTAACCTGATGAACTTTTAGCTCTATGAATGCTGTATATGCCGAGAAAGCAATGTGCTGGAATCTGGATTTCAGTTCAAAAGTTCAGAGTCATGTTTTGAATTGCGACCCAAATCAGCATCCAGAACACGTTCTCATTCAACCGATTGCAGCTCTGCGCGATGTCATGCACTGAACCGACGAATAATATCAACCGCATGTGCGACGTGCCAACGCTTGCGCGTGCACCCATTCACGGATTCGCTGAATTACAAACCAACATCTAACAGAAAGTTCCACAAATGTGTCACTTGACGCATCTTTGGAAATGGCCTTCTTTTATTGTTTTCTTCAAAATGACAGCATGCCAGAAAGAATAATTTCACAGGGAGTTTAGTGCCATTACCATCTTTCAACCAAGTAAAGCTTTTCAACAATAATTTTGTCAGTTACTTTTTGGATAGCTGCAAATGGTCTTCTCTAACTTATAAGTTTGTTGCAAATCTTTCAATTAATTAAGTTATATTCAGAGGTAAAGTTTGAAGTGTGAAAATTAAACGGATAAAGTTGTGTGCTTTTCCTTGTCACGGTAATGTAGTCTTTTCCAATACTGCTTAGATTTTGTTGTTAGAGCAATACAAAAGAAATTGACTAAGCCAAAAAGTTAACCTGCTCAATGTCATATACAAAT